ATCGCTCACCCATATCACCGCAAAATAACCGACGAGTAGAGGCGTAACATTAAGACGCTTAGTGTTACAAACAGGCCTAAGTAAATTCGCGCCCAGCTACTCTATAAGGACCCGCAGTCGCTCATCACGGATACTAATATTAAGAACCACCGTGCCAAGAAGATAGTAGAGCGCCTCGGCGGCCTTACAAGCCTACAAACGATAATAAAGGAGCTTAAGGACGACGACGATTAGGTATATAACTATTAATTAGACGCCGAAGGACACGCCCACACGGTGTTTTAGGCATATAAGCGCTCGCTTAAGCTATAGAGACGCTAGAGTAAAGTTATCATGCTTGATTACACGTATAAGTCGAATATACTTAGTATCCTACTACTCTATATTATCGGCGTTACGCCAATAGGCCGTCTATTTACTATTACCTACTACCTACTAACTAGAGAGGGCGAAGCTAAATACATATAGGCGATCGAGCAGCTATCTTAGCATATTATAATACCAAGCGTCTTTATCACCGACTACGAGCTAGCACTAAAGAATACTCTCTATAAGCACTACGACGTCCCCTAGCTAATATATATATAGTATATCAACAAAAACGTCGGTATCAAGATTAAGAAGGTGTAACGAGGCCTCTTCAGCCTAGGCGTTGGAATCGCCTAGCGGGTGAATAGGTTCGAAGGGTTTACCTTGAAGGACAAGAAGTGTAGGAAGTTGAGAGACAAGTCACGTGAAGGATCGGGTGTAGGCGTGTTACCATCAAACTATGAGTATAGATTGATACTTTGAGTTGACCACGAAGGCCCTATCTACTGCTAGAGAGCGTGGTCTAAATACATGTAGGAAATGCTTAACAATCTGGATCCTAACCTTGGGATTAGGGAGGTTGGATCAAAGGTGTAGGATCACTGTGATCCATGGGTCCGTGCGTCTGGTTTAGAGACGTTGGATCACTGTGATCCAAGGTGGGTCTTGCACGTGACTTTTGGTGCCGCTTTTCTGACGGCTGACTTTCTGCAACTTGACAACCTTCTTCCTTGTCGCAGAGCGGACGCGATAAGTTCCTTATCCTTGATCGCTCTGTAGGTTTACTTGTCGGCTTGCTGCTTTCGTCCTTGTGGACATTAATCCCTTGTGGGTTTTCTGGAGTCGTCGCCTTTTGGTCGGCTAAGTCCCTGCGGGGTGTATTCCCGTGTGGGCTTCTTGGGGTTGTGGTCTTAGTTCCCTTACGGCCTTGTCTGGCACGTGTCTGTTGGTGCCTTGCGGGGCGCGGGCCCTTGTGGTTACTAAGCCCTTGTGGTTTCCAGGCCCGTGTGGGCCTTCTTCCCATAAGGTCTTTCCGACCTTGCGGGTTGATTTCCCTTGCGGTCCATAACAGAAGGCATAGGCATATAACGACGAGGAAGACGACGAAGATAGCACTAATATTAAAGGTCTTCGCGAAAAATACGAGAAGCGCTTTAATCAGCTATTACTAGCTCGCTCTAAGGCCGAATTTAATACTCTATAGGCGTCCTTTCAGGCCGACTACGCTAATTAGCGAGGTCTACTCGAATATATTACCGAGCAATAGATCCCTTATAAAAAGGAGTAGTATAGGGCCTAGATCGATTAATACCTACATCTTAGCAACCGGTACTACTACTACTCCTTATCTCTTCGTATTAAATAGACTGACTACACATAGTATAACGTCGCTCGTAGAAGGGTCCTATAGCCGTACAAAGTCCTTTTTCAGCTACAGCAAGTAGAGCTTCATTAAGTTAAAAGACAATATATTAGTAGCACTTAGCAACGAATAGCAGGATATACGAAAGGGCGAATTAACCGACTTCGGACGCCTCTAGTTTTAACTTAGGGGTCAACACCTATTTAAGTAGTTAACTAGTTATATATTCTCCAAGGCGCTCGAGCTGATACTTAAGTAAATCAAGCTACTAAAGGACTACGACTTACACTACTACGGTAATTTTAAGAGCTCTATAGGACTACCCTACGTCCACACGATTAAGTAACTATTACTAAACGAATAGTAGACCATCCCTCTTAAGCTAATACACCTATTTTGGCGCTATAAACGTCCTGCTACAACGACTACAGAGATAGGTCCTTACAGCGGCATTAAAGACTTCATTCAGTACAGCCGCAAAGGCCACCTACGTACACAATAGTAGCAGCAACAGCGCTCAACACCATCACAGAGAGAACTATTACAATTCGAGGTAGCAGAGTAGGCCGATCAGGCCACTCAGCAGAGGGCCAAGCGTAAGAGGACTGCTAAGGCGAAGGACAACAACACGCTTAGCAAAAAGGTAGATACACTACAGCAGATAATAACTAAATTCATACAGCAACAGTAGTAGTAACAACAATAACAGGACGAGGAGGAGGTTATAGAGGAGACAACTAGGAAAGTTACACGTAAGAGGAAGCGTACAACAACACGTCTAGTAGCTAAGAAGCAACCGGCAACCACCATCAGTAGCAGTAGTAGCAGTAGCAGCAGCAGCAGCAGCAGCAGCAGCGACTACAACACCATAGAGGAGGATAGAGATATACCGTTCAGCAGCAGTACGGCACCTTCGGTGGGTAGGGAGATACCGGCACGTACAGGACGTAGCCAGAACAAGTACCGGCAACGTAACTAAATAATACGTGATAGAGCGAGCAGGCGGAGGAGGACGCGAGCAGGCGGCGGAGGAGGACGCGGGAGCGCTCGTTTGCGCGAAAAAGCGACGTTTATAATATTGTAATAACTAGCTCAACTGCTTACCGTGCTGTAACAGAGAGGTTAGAGATATGGAATTTTTTAGTTGATTTTTGGTGTGAAATGAGGGGTGCTAGTTCCTGTTCCCCGCTAGCGCGTCCTCGCGCGGTGCTGCGGCGCGCCCGGGTTACGCGAAGTTGACTTTCTGCCGGGTAACTACCCGATTAGGCAGGCGGTGGTGGGGGGGGGGTGTACATATAGTCGAAAGGGGGGTGTACAAATATCCGGGGCCCTCGCAAAATTCAACAACAGCAACAACTGCGCAACGGTGACTTTGAAGTATGTGCCTTTTTGTATGGGAAACAGTATCTTTTTGAAAGTGTTGACATATGCACCTGGAGTAGCACCGATGGTTCAGTCTCTTAGCTCTGGGAGGAGGGCATGTCGTGCGGACAGAATTCACTTACTTGATTTAGCTTAGATTTCGCCTCTTGCGGCTGGTCTCATTTAGTCCGAAGCGCTGCTGGTCTCTTGCAGTGGCGCTCGTTGCTTGAACAGCAATCAGCAATTTCAGGCACGTTCAACAAGTACCACTGTAGTCGTGCTGACTATGCTTCAGGCGAGGCATTGCTTCCCTTGAAATGGAGGTAAAATCAGCAAGCAATTTATTCTCATTCGGTTCTCAATTTGCTGCTTTCAGTCACTACAAATCAATCTTTGTATCGCCGAATAATAACCCTTTGTATCTCTACACATTTAAGCCAGCTACCCGAGCAGTTGTGCTTACCGGCGCAGTTGTGCCACTGCCCACTGACAAATAAAAAAGGACATAATGTTTTCCATCAGGACACCAAACTGTGTACAGCTTTCCACCAAGACCTCTCCAACGACCACTCCAGGAGTAGGTCCTCCACATTGAGTGCTTCTATTGTTTTAAATAATGATTCGACAAGCTTTCGGATAAGAAATTCAACAACTTCCCCAAAAATTACGAGGGAAAATCTTTCTCTTGAACTGTTATCCGCCACTGAATCAGTGACGACTTCTGGAATCGCCACCGCCTCAGTCATGTCGAGTCCAAGCCCCCTACATCTATTTGGTCTCGAAGTCGGTACCGCTCTATCAAGATCTCTATGTGGCGAAACTTCACTGGCACGCACGCCTCGATCCGCTTTCTTCTTCTACGGGCGATATCGGGAAAGAAAGTCATACTCGTTGGAGCTGGGACCTTTTCGGAAAGTTGACACTCAAGAAATCTCGGGTCTCCCCGTCGAATCCAACAGAGCCAAGCTGCCCATGAACAGCCATAGGGTCCTTGTCGGTCGCGCGAAGGAGCCCCCAGCTCAGGACGGACTCTAGCCTCAGCAGTACGAAACCTAGTTGGACTGATGGCTCGACAAGCAGGTACGAGCATATATAATGATCAAGAGCCGTTTGCGCTATACCGCTCGATAACTTGTTGACACGAGGAACAACACAGTGCACCTGACTTCGATGGCCTCAAAGAACCGGCTCTGGCCAACTGACAGCGCCATCTTTCGAGACTTGCACGCCCGCTATCAAATCTCACTTTTACACAGTACACGAGTCACGGACTTCGCAGAGAAGCTTAAGAAGGCTAGAAACGAACTATTCGAGCTGAACGACACCAACCAGATGAGTGAACTAATGTTTGTTGATAAGTTCCTGACTAGACTCGGCCCTGTACATGAATACTTCCTGCGGGCCTTCGACCAACCCCACTTCGTACCGCGTAAAAGAAATGAGTGGAGCACCGTCGTCTAACCGACTGTCACTTTCGGGGGTTCTCTCCGCGCTGTCAAACGGGAAGAACAAATACAACGCCGGGGCAGTAAAAACCTCTTCCTAAGGGTGACCAACAGACTAAGTGCCAGGAAAGAAATGATTGAAGTCGACACCTGCACCAACTATGGCAAGGAACTCCACGCAACCGCTAAGTGCTGGACTCTCTACCCTAACCTCGGCAGGGACTTTTCTGACAATCGCCATCGGACTTGGAGCCGCAACAACAAACGAAACAAAAGACAGAGCGAACAGACTGGGGAGCGGGACCAGGCAATGGATATGGGTATAGATATACGTAGCACGAAAGTTCTACGACATTTTGAAACAGAAACACACGAGGATACAAGTGTCCCGCAAGAGCAGAAAAATCAAATCGTTCATCAAATCGCAAAGGCAGCCACGTTCTTGCGATTCACCGTTCATTCCATCACGCTCCCCATGGCCAAACATCTGACACATTTCTCGAAACTCCATCGGTTGTTCTTCAGTTTGCGCCGAGAGCCTGGAGCGCGACCCTCAGCTCCTTGACCGCCGTCGGAACATCCTCAAAGTTGAGTGCAGAGATAGCCCACTTTGCGTGCTTCTGCGCATTCATGATCGCGTCATCGTCATATCTGTACCCTGTGGATCCACCCCCGCCAGTTCCACTCATAGTCGTATCGACTCCAGCGTAGGTATTTGTTGGTGGTGATGGCGCAGGGATGTTGTTCACTGGAGGAACTGAAGGTGGTGCACGTGTTTGGTAGTAGTCCTCGGGACCAGAGGGTGAATCCGCCATTGGTGCATCCGGTGCAGCGGTCGGCAGGCTTGGGATGGGATTCTCAGATGTGAAGGTTGGAACTGAATTTTCCGCGGTGAAAGTGGGAACTGAAGGAAAGTACCCGCCGCCCACGGAATTTGTTCGAGAGCCAGGTGCATCTAACGGGGAAACATCGCTGTGGTCAGGCCGAGGGGGAGCAATTGGGGGTGCGTCAGCAGGGGATATGGCTGCGGGAACACTTGGTTGATCGAAGGTCGGAGAAGGCAGGAAAGATGGAGGCGCATCTTCAACTGTGGGCTGCATTGAAGCTGCACCATTGATCCGCTGGACTTCGGGGTCTGTGGGGTCTAGCGCTGGGGCAGACTCTTCGGGCTCGGGCTCTGGGGCTGGGTTCGAAGCATTGGGGTCCTCGCCCGCCTTCAGGGCCTTCGCGATACGTAGAGCATGGTATTTGGCATATTTAGACTTGGCTGCAATCTCAGGCTCTGGCTTCCCCCATACGTTGGAAAGGTCGAGAAACGTAGCTGCAGCGCGAAAGGTATCGGCCGTTTGACTTGACTGGTGTCAGTATCCTAGGCAAGAAGCAGTGACGGAGTCCTGCTTACGCCGAAACCTTGTTTGCCCGTACAGCATTGTCTGCCCTCTGAAATGTTTCCAGCGCGAACTGCTCGACGTACGCGCGCGCCGCGACGTCGTCGAGTATGGCGTCATTATCCGAGTGCTGCGTCTTGGTCTGCTCGAGCTTGTCCATCAGAGTCGTCGTGTAGCCCATGCAATCTTCATCGGTGGTGTGGAGGCCTTTGGCAATAATCTGGTTGACCATGTAGTATTCACCTGCAGAGCACATTAGCTGCCCGTCGAGCTCCCGAGACGGGAGCGGACTTACACCAGTACGATATGACGGGCTTCACCTTCTCGAGCTGGGCAGCGCGAACGGCAAAGCGCGAGATGTCGGCGGGCCTGAGCCCGGGCGGGATTTTGCTTGCCATGGTGAACAGGGCTGGGATGGAGCGGGTTGGTGGTGCAGCTCGGCGATGCTTAACGTTGACCGCGGGCGCGGCCGCCTGCCAGCCCGCGTCGGCTCCAGTTGACGCTAAGACTTAGCGCCGGAGATCATGGCTAACTCCGCTCCGCTCGCCAAGTGCGCCCGCCCCGCTCCGCTTCTAAAAACAAAACAAACAACCTAGTCACCTATGATTCATTCGCAAACACCATGCCCGGAAGGACCAAGTCATATACTTTTACGTGCGATGGGCATCGCGTGGAGCAGGCGAATCTATCCGATCCAAACAATTAATTCATTGATTGAGAGAGCCGCTTCCCGCCCGCTCCCCCTCGTCTTTTTCGTTTTCACCTCCCTCATGCATCATCCTCGTTCATAAGCCAAAAACACCAGCCCTAATGCAAATCTACTACAACCGAGCATCTTTTCGCTTGTTCAAGTATGCCTAAATCAGCAAAGTCAGCCAGCCCGCTCAGGCCGCCCCGTCCAAGGAGTTACGCAGGCGCAGGTTGTTTAGACCTCCTTCTTCTGCAGCTCGGCCGGCAGCGTCGCCACCTTCTCGTGGAAGAGCTTCTTGGCGTCGGTCCACACGCGGGCCGAGTCCTTGTGCTTGAGGTCCAAGAGGCTGGGGAGGAGGCCCTCGCTGAAGGCTTCCGAGGCTTCACGGGGGAGCAGCGAGGGGAGATGGTCGATGCTGCGGTGGAGTGGTTAGCTTTAAGCTGCTCGGGGGAAGAGGTGCAGGAAAAACACCAGGGCACGACTTACGAGATGACCGAGATGGGGACGTTGTTGGCATCGTTCTTGATCTCGACCGGGACGGTGGGCTTGTCGAAAGTCGTGTTGATGCTGTAGACGGGGATGGGGTTGTGCGGGTTCGTCGTGTCGCACGATACGTCGCAAATGACGGAGAGCTTGCGGCCGGTGGCGGAGAGGGTGTCGTTGTTGACGAAGGGAGGAATGGGGTCGGAGAGGTAGATGGCGTTGAGGAAGATGTCGCTCTCGACAATCTCCTTGTAGGGGCCCTGCTTCTCCTTCGTCTCGTTGATGTCCCAGCGGACGAGGTTGCTCTCGGGCAGGCCAGCCTTGACGAAGAGATCGCAGGCACCACGGCCGCAGCGGCCGAGCGCACCCATGATGAGAGCGGAGGGCTTGCGGCCAGCAATCTTCTCACCGGCAGCGACGTCTTCCTGGATCTGCTTGACGAGCTCGTCCTCGTTCATGTAGTAGCCGCGGCCGTTCGTGAAGTTCTCGACGCCGGGAAGCTGCTCACCGGGGTGCGCGAGCTGCCACGCCCAAGTCTTGACAGCCAATGCTGCGCCGGCGAAGCCGGCGTGGTACCCAAACGCGCTGACGCGACGGCCCTGCTCGTCGACCAGGAACTCAAGGTCATAGAGGGTGGAGCCGCCACGCGGGAAGCGGCCCAGGACCTGCTGCCAGCCACCCTGGTTCTTGTAGCAGTGCGAGAAGGCAATGTGGTCGTTGACGAGCGGGAAGTCCTCCTCGGGGATCTCCTTCAGACCCAGGATCATCTTCTGCTGCGCGCCCACGCTCTTCCACGTGCCTTCGGGCACCAGCGTCGCGCCCGCCGCTTCGTACTCGCTGTCCTCGAAGATGCGGCGGAATTCGGGCTTGGTGGAGGAGCGCTCGACCTCGACGGGGTAGCCGTCCTTGACCAGGGCGGCGATGGTCGAGGGCGCAAAGGAGCGGTGCTCCAATGGCTTGGTCTCGGCGCGGAGGAGGATGGTAGGGTGCGACATTTTGCGTGGATGGATGCGCGGAGATGATTGGAAGTGGTGTGGTGTGAGAAGTACGAGCAGAAGAAAATGTTGATGAATCTGGTGTGAGTCAAGCTCCGAGTGCGGCAGCGACGGCGGGGTGACGTTCTGCCTCCTCCCACCGCCTGATCCGCGACATCATCACCAGCCACAGCCTTTATAAGCTCTTACATTTCCGCTTTCGATGGCTGCTGAGTCTGCTGGCTGCTCGGTGACAGATGTTGCAATTCTTGCTACTCTATGCACAAAAAGACAAAAGCCGCCCATGTGGCGCCGCTGACGGCTGTCTGTCTGATATCTAAATTTGACCCAACGCCATACAGTACCTATCCAGCCTCGATTGCTTGGTATCCGATCGTAAAACGTAAAATCAAAAAGTCGACCGCCCCCAGTAGGCCGAAACACATCATGCCGCCTAGAATCAATTTAGACCGTCGTAGAGCCAGAGGCCTCGGCGACAGTCTTCCCCTTGTTCTCGGGCTGGTCCTTGCCTGCAACCGAAGCTGCATCATCATTGTAAAGTGCGTTTGCCTCGATGTACCTGGTGATTGACGTCAGCAAAGTGTTCTGCTTTCCCTCTACCTCGACCCAGGTTAGATCTACTTAATAATAGGCTCTGGCACTAAGTAACGAATCGACATGTCCCGCTTCAGGAACAGTCTTATCCTCGTGCTGGAAACGTCGTTCTTCACAAGCTGGTGGATGACGTAGATGTTATCCCGCCATTGTTGGAGACTGGCAAGGGCGTCGTCGATATCGGTGCCTGGATCCGGTCAGCCGAAGTCGCACGTCAGATATGGCACAACTACCTTCGCGCTCGACAATAAATGCGCCGTAGTCCCCTAGAATGTGGTCGAGGTCCTTGGGTGCCCACAGATCTATAGACGGATTAGACGAGGTCCATGAATGATTCTCCGGGGATAGGGCAGCGCTTACTCGGAGTAGACATGGTCTTTTGAAAACAAGCTCATCGTTAGTTTGGCCCGCACATGGAAGACATGACTTGACGTACCTGGATCAAATCGGCTAGACAACCCGTTAGCTATCGCTCACTACGTAGGAACGGAAGTCTGTTCCAACCTACCTCCAGCGAGGAGCGCAACTCTGATCTTCTTCTTCTGGCCCGTGCAATCCTCGATGCCGCCAAGGACCTCGTTCAGCTCATGGTCGAAGTGGTCCAGCACACGGGCCGTGGGCTGGTACTCCTTATGCAGCGGCTCTAGTCACGGCGGTCAGCCTTTCCGATTGGGCACGCTCGCGCCAAGGGTCGCGCCTTACCCCATTTGTCGACGACGATCCAAGGCGAGTCGTCGACGGCGAGCTCGCACATTCGCACACGGTGGTTGGCAGAAGCGAGCCCGGCTTTCTAGGGGTGGGTCAGCGTCGCTGATCGAAATACAAACACTGCGTGCTCGGCCGGCCACGTATTCAGAGCGGGCTTTTGGAAAATTTGAGGGGCCCCGCAGAGTGCGGGCTACCCCGCCCCGCGCATGCAGAATCGCATGGCAACAGCCTCATGCTGTGAAGCCAGGCCAAGCATGCAAGGCCTTCGCACGTACCTTGTAAGCGTCGCCGACTGTTTTTCTGGACAGTTAGCACGATGCTCTCCAAACCAAATCTCGCCGTGGTCGCGTACCGGGCGAAAGGAAACCACCTGGGCGGGCGTCGAGTTAGCAGTGGTCCACGGCACGATCGTAGGGCAGGCGCCATACCGACAACCTCGAAGTCCGTGTTGTAGCGCGCCCAGTCGCGGGCCATTTCGAAGATGCGCAGGTGCAGGTAGGTGATGGGGCTGAAGGAGCCGCAGGCGACCAAGACGAGGGGGGTCCTGGCGCTGTCGCTGAGCACCTTCCTCAGGCGCTGGGTGGGGAAGCGGTAGTCGGCCAGTTCGAGGGCGGGCGACATGGCGGCGGCGGCGTCTGGGGGAGGTTGGTCGGAGGCCGGAGGTCGTGCGCGGGTGGGCAGGAAGGCAGGCCTTTTGAGAAGAGGGAGGGGCGAGGGAAAGCGAGCGATCAAATAGGTAGGAAGTAAAGTCGCGCTTTACTGCTTGACTAGCTAGCAGCAGCTGCTCGTAGGTCTAGGCAGGCACCACCAAGGCAACGGCCGGCGGGGTCGCGAGGCTGTGGGGCCCCTGCACCTGCCTCGGTCTGGGTCGGCGATTGCGACCAGCCAGCTCCGACGCTAAGCCGCATGCGGACAGCTCTCTGGGAAATTTTAGAATTTCCGAAAAGGAAAGAGGAAAGAGCAACCCCCGTCAGCAGCAGCAGCAGCAGCCATGGCCGACCAGCAGTCGCAGTCGCAGCAGGTGCGCGTCCAGCTCACCACCCGTCAGCCCGACGTCGCCATTGCCCAGGACCCGGGCCCCATTCTCGTCTCTACCAACCTCCGCCGCTATGCCCTGTCGACCCTCGTCAACGACCTGCTCGACAACGACCGCCCCATCCCCTTCGAGTTCCTCATCAACGGCCAGTTCCTGCGCTCCTCGATAGACGACTTCCTCACCGACAACGGCATCTCCGCCGAAACCACCCTCGCCGTCGAGTACGTCCGCGCCCTGATACCTCCGCTCCACGTCGCCTCGTTTGAGCATGACGACTGGGTCGCCGATGTCGATGTCTTGTCGCGGAATTCCCCTGCCGGCCGCTGGGCCTCTGGCGCCGTCGCCGAGGGGCAAGAGAGGATACTGTCGGCCTGCTACGACGGGCTGCTGCGCATCTGGGACCCAGCCACCTCCGACGTGATAGCTACGTCCCCGGCTGTCGGCGGCCACACGTCGTACGTCACGTCGGCCAAGTTCGTCAACGCGACGACGCTGGTGTCGGGCGCCGCCGACCGGTCCCTGCGCGTGTGGAACTACAACGAGACGACGGACGGCGCGAACAAGGCTTCCCTGACGCCCACGCTGGAACTCTACGGCCACAAGGCCAGCGTCGACGCCCTCGCCGTGCATGCGCCCTCTTCCCGCATCCTCTCCGCCTCTGCAGACAACACCGTTGGCGTCTGGAGCACGAGCGCCACAAACGCTCCCGCCGCCCCAGCCAACCTCCTCCCGACTGCCTCGGCGCAGGCCAACAAGCGGCGGAAGCTAGGACCGAAGGGCCAAGCCAGCGGCAAGCCGGCCGCGCAGCGGGGCGCGCTACAGCTGCTGCACGGGCATAGCGCGCCCGTGTCGAGCGTCGTGTTCAAGCCTGGCGACGCGACGGTGGCGCACTCGGCGTCGTGGGACCACTCGCTGCGGACGTGGGATCTTCCGACCGGAACCTGCGTGGATACGCGCACGCTGGCGCAGCCGCTGCTCTCGCTGGCCGCGATGCGCGACGTCAACCTGCTCGCGACGGGCACGAGCGCCCGGCACATTACTTTGGTGGATCCGCGGGTGGACGCGCGCACCGTGGCGGCGCTGACGCTGCGCGGGCACAGCAACGCCGTGGTCGCGCTGAGCGCAGCGCCCGATAGCGCGTTTGGGCTTGCGAGCGGAAGCCATGACGGCACGGTGCGGCTGTGGGATGTGCGGAGCGTGCGGCCGTCGGAGGACGGCAAGGGCCAGGTCGGCGACCCCGTGTACAGGATCACGCGGGAGAGCGTGGGCGATGGCGCGGATTCGGAGCGCAGGGTTGGTGGCGAGGGCGTCAAGGTGTTTGGGGTTGTGTGGGATGCCGACGTCGGGGTTGTCAGTGCGGGCGAGGATAAGAGGGTCCAGGTTAATCGGGGAGAGGGTGTTGGTGCAAGGGAATAGGGGTAGAAGAAAACAAAATGGGGGTTTGGCTTGCGTTTAGATGGGTTTTCTGTGTTTGATATCATAGGTTTCTTGGTGGTGGCGATGGTGGCTATACTGGGAGAAAAGCATGAAAGATTTAAGAGAGATCGGGTGGTCTTTAAATGGCATTCACTGCTGTCGCGCGTCGACTTCTGCTGCTCAGTATGCTTCGACGCTTTTGTTCCTAACACCCGCTCTACAAGCCATGTGCAAGCGCATGCCTTCATGGGAAATCCACACAGCACGACTACCCCTGCCTTGTCTTACAACCCACCTCGTACGTACTTACAGCGCTCGCGCGCGTGCACACACCAGACGTCTCAAACAACCCAAACAAACAACCCTCTTTCATTCGTCAAGGAAGACGAAGATGAAGAAGAAGAATACCCAACAACGCCCTCGCTATGCAAACCAGCCAGCCAGCCAGCCAGCAAGCTAGCCAGGTAGGCCTCAGAAGGAAAAGGAAGAATCACAAATCCACCCACCCGCACATAGACTTACGCCTCATGGACCATTCCCGCCATCAACGCCCTCCCCTTCCCCTTCGCTCTCGCTCTCCTCCGAGTCCTCAATCCGCTGCATCTGCCGCTTCGTGAGCGGCTTCTTCTTTGACCGACCGCTGGGATCCGAACGCTCCGCGCTGATGGCGTCCAGGTACGCCTCGTTGGACAAGCTGGAGCGGAGGCGCGGCGCGGCCTCGGGATCCTCGACGAAGAGTTTCTCGTGGTAGGTCGCGAATGCTTCGTCCGTCTGCGGTGAAAGCGGGGAGGTTAGAAGGAGAAAGGTGAGAGAGAAAATAGAGAGGGGTGACAAGCACATACATCTTCGTCGTAATACCGCAGTTTCGTCCACTTCTCCTCCTGCGCCCGGAACAGGAACTCCTTCGACTGCGCCGCGTCCGCCGCGTCGCCGTAGTCGTTCTTGATCGTCATCTGCACGGCGCGCGGCTCGCCTACACGCGGCGGCTCATTGGCCTCGCGCTCACGCCTACGGCTCGCGTTCTCCAGGTCGCGCACGGCGTCGAGGTGGTGGAACTGCGGGCGCATCTGCACAATGCCCGAGATCTTGGTTAGGTGCAGCTCCTTACCGCGGAAGGCGCCGAGCATATAGATGGGCTTGCCCGTCTCGTCTTTAAGGATCTGACCGCCCAGCGTCTGCTTGTTCATGACATGGCCTTTGTCGTTGGCGTCTTCGAATTTGGTGAGCAGCTGCTCCACCGTGTCTTCTTCGAGCTCTTGGTTCTGGATGTCGGCGCGGCCTTGGGGCGCGGTTTTCGTAGGGACCGCGGTCCGTGATAGGCCGCTGAAGCCCGCCGCCAGCCCGAATGCGCTCTCCCCGTTTTCTTGCGATTTGCGCATCGCTTCGCCCCACATGACTCCCTTGCGCTTGTCGTAGTTGGCGTGGACGTTCATAGGCACGTCGACCTCGATAAACCCGGCCTCGGGCTTCATGCGCATTTCTACCGGTCTGGAGTTGTTGCGGTCGTTGTAGGGTTGGTCCCGGCCGCGGTTCGGGTATTGCAGGAGGAAGATTTGCTCTTGCAGCTCGGGTGTAATGTACACGTCGTACTCGGCCGTGACGGGGTCATCATCGTGGTCAAGAGCCGTTGCTACAAGGTGAATCAGCAACTGGTCAACACGGACAGCAGCCTCTGAGCAGTGAGTGGTTGGATGCGCATTCCTGGGCGCATGCGCATAGCGAACCGCACACTGCGTGCCGGAGAGGCTACTGCACAGAGCCTCGAGGACGGATTACTTACGAGCCATGGTGCGCGTTGTCGCGATTTGGAGAGGCGGACGAGTTTCCGGCAAGAAGTGCGAAAGCGGCGGGTGCGCGGGATGATCAGTGGGAATCAGCGCGCAGGGATCGGCTGACTCAGGATACTGTATGGAGTACGGAGCCGAAACACTAACCCGACGCAGTAAAAGAAGAGATATGATTAACCTGCGGTTCGCAGTCGGTCTGGATTCGTTGTGCGGAACTGAGCCCATCATGCTAACCTGGAGTGGTCGTCTCGTTTACCAACTACCGGACGTCTCTTTAAACTCGCATAGCTATGGAACTAGGAAACTATTCTCCGGGCTTCGTGGGGGAGTGTTGTAATCGAACAAGTGAGGGTGACACGTGCATAGTCACGTGCGTTCGTGTTGGCAGGCGAACGCAGTTAGCTGCAACAATTAATCAGTTTTGCATGCCGAAATCATTGTGGACGATGCGGTTCGTTGACGCGATTCAGCCGGGCCAGGTGAAGTAGCTGAGCGACACGAACATCGATCGAGTCAGGGGACCAGGAGGGAGCAAATACAGCGGCCATGGCACATATGATGTTGAAGCAGTCCTTTATGGTGCTCTTCGGGTAGGTATCTAGCGTCGGCGCCGATGACGCTCGCCGCTCCTGCTGCCTCAGTCAAGCAACCTGCACCTCTCAACAACCAACACTCTACTTGCTTGCCCGCATCACTTGCATCGCCTGAGACCCGCTGCTTGCTATTTTCTTTCCATCTCGTGTATTGTAGACAAACCACCACTCAGCCCGCGTCATGTCTTCGGGGCGTCGCGGGGTTGGTCTCTCCGCCTTTGACCGACACAGCATAACCAGCGCTCAATATGCTTCTCACGGCACCGCTCTCCGCTCGCAGCATCTGCAATCCCTCCAGACGCAGCTTTCCGTCTTCCAGTCTCTACTGCACCAGTTCAGTATCACCCATGCCAAGGACATTCGCTCGAACCCCACGTTCCGCGCCGAGTTCGCTCGCATGTGCAATGCCATCGGCGTCGACCCGCTAGCCTCCTCTAACCGGAAAGCTGGCGCGAAGGCCGAGGGCGGAGGCAGTTTCTGGGCGCAGATGCTAGGCGGCAGCGTGAACGACTTCTATTTCGAGTTGGCTGTCAGGGTTGTCGAGGTATGCCGCGACACGAGGGCTGAGAACGGAGGCATGATTGCCCTGCATGAGGTTCAGCAGAGGGTGCAGAAGGGAAAGAGCATCGGCGGTGGCATGGAGGTCTCCGAGTATGCTGTCCCATTTAGTACCATTGTTTTCTCACCGGTTGCTTATCGCCTGTTAGTGACGACGTATTGCGCGCAGTCAAGTCCTTGGAGCCGTTAGGCTCTGGCTTCACTATCATAAAATTGGGCCACAACCAGATGATCAGGTCCATCCCCAAAGAACTCAACACCGACCAGTCATCAGTTCTTGAAGCTATACAAGTCCTTGGATATGTTACTGTGTCCATGCTGCAGATAAACCTTAACTGGGAACGGGCAAGGGCACTGACAATCCTGGATGACCTCATGGCAGATTCGCTCGTGTGGGTGGACAAGCAGACCGAGGAGACAGAGTATTGGTCGCCGACGTTCATACACGACACGGGGGTCAGCGAGGCAAACGCGACCTAAGTGTGAATGCTTTTGTTTCTCCATTTAATCTAGACTCAAATGCTTAGTTGATCTCTTCAGAGTGGTGCCCCATAACCAAGCTGCACCGCGTCAACCACCACAACACGCACTTGACCCGCTACAACCATCGAAGGTGTCGGCGCTCCTTCTCACTTTCCAAGCCTGGCTCAAACACGGCGAGTCCCGTCACTCGATAGCACGAAGGGGCCGGTATGAATTCTGCGACAAAGAGGCTTGACCGATACCGAAAGTTTACTTTTCTACACGAGTTTGGTCTTTCTTATAATTAAGCACGAACCCACCAACTCCGACGACATGGCATAATGCCTTGCTTTTTTCTTTTTCTTTTTTCCCCTTTCCGTTTCAATCTCGGCTTTTTGATTCGCTTCCGCCACTCGCCAGCGTGCCCTTCAACACCTAACGCGTGCCATGTAATATGATGGAATAAATAAGAATCTCTCTACTACCGTTTGAAAGGCCCAGCCTCCCTCAGAGGGCTTTTATAGTGGTTCATTGACCGTACAGAAGTTTGAAAGTGGCGAATGGAGCTCCATGGGCCCACAAAGTGTTCTGTTTTTTGTTTTTTGGTGAAGTCTTGTGAACGTGAATCCTGCGAATAAAAGGCCTCGCGATCCAGTTTTTGTATAATGTACAAATGGCACTCAGCGGCACTGCAGCCACATGGATCGTCACCAACATTTGGTCAAGGACACACGCGACTGATTCGGGTACCACATGCGTTGAAGGGACGGGGCCTTACATGTCCCTTGGCGTCAGTTTGCCAGCGGTGGCGGTCTCCGTAGCATTGAATTTTGTTGTCATGGTGGTGGAGAGGGGGTCTGGTTTTGGCCGATTAGGGCTGATATGACTTGGTCAGAAGCAAAACAAAACAAGAAGGCAGAAAAGAAATGGAACTTTTGGTAAGCTTGATTGGGCAACAGCATTGTAAAGCGGTAGAGCTTCCCCATTGGCGGCGAGTGCTGAAGGTTGCCGGCGAAATCAACACAACATGCAACGCCGAACGCGCCTTTATGGTGCAAACCTTACGGCGCTTAAGACGCAAGGGTCGCATTGCCGTTCTCGGCCCGCGTGGCATTGTCGCCAAAGATCTCATCGTCGGGCACCTCGCCGTCTTCTGAAACGTCGCTCTTGTCATCTGCAAGTGGGTTCGCACTGGGCTTCCACTCCGCAGCCGCAGGATTCCAGTCCCCGCCTGCGGGCTCTGCCGGCATCCACTCCGAAGCTGCGGCGCTCGGCGCCCATGCTGCGGTACCGTTTTCGCTGAACGGCAGGGCGGCGGGAGTAAATTTTGCCGGTTCTGGGGAAAGCACAGGAAGAGAGGGCTCGAATTCGGCAGACTCAGGAGGAACAACAGGAAGGGAGGGAGTGAATTCGGCAGCCTCGAGGGAACCCACAGAAAGGGCAGGCGCTTCATCCGTCGACTCAGCCAACAATGGGGCTGCCGGCATCCATTCGGCGGCGCTCTCAACGGGGGTCGGCGTCCACTCAGATGTTAGAGCAGTCAGGGGGTTGAAATCGCTGACGTTGGGGTTGAATTCAGGCTTCACGTCCGGCGCCATATTGACACTAGCAACGCTGCTTTGGTCGTCCATGTCTATGGCAGGCACCCATTCGGCCACCTTAGGATCCAAATTATGCGCCTGGAAACAAAATTTGCAAGGTTTTCCGCCTCTGCATCCCGGGCGCTGGCATACGTGGCCGTTATAGCAATCGGCACGACGGCAGGTAGCTCGCTTGGAGCACGGGTAGCCTTGGACGATGACCTTCAGGACATGGAAAAGCTCGGTCGGAAGAGGATCATGGTTGAACTCGCACTCACGCCCCGCGGTCAACGCATTGCAGTGTCCCTTGAGTTGGTAGTCGTTGCAAGGCTTACGACCAGGCTCTTTGACCATGCTGTTGTACTCGGCATATTCTTCTGCCTTGGGACGCGGAAGGTAGTAGTCCAGCCGGTCTCCGTACTTGTTCAGCGGGATTAGGCCCTCGGTCTCGGCCGAGGGACGAGGAAGGTCGGCGGCAGTAGTGAAGGCGTTACTAAACTTGCGTTCTTGCTTGGACGACCGGGCTGGCGGCTCCGGCTCAGCCTTTGTCGAATCAGTCGCGTCGACCGAGCCCCGTCGGCTCTTGAGGAGGCCCATGGGCTGCGATTTCGGTGGCGCCTGCTGCGGCGGCTGAGAAACGGGCTTGGCCGCTCGCGAATTCAACGTCGACGTCGACCGAGACATAGGCTGCGAGGTGCCCCAGTCGTCGGCAAAGAGGGGCCCGTCAGGCGGCTTCGCCTCGGTCCCCCAATCGTCAGCGAAGACTGGTTTCGCTGCTGGCGCTTGGCTCCTCTTGCTCTCGCTCCCATTACGTTTCGGGGCGGCAGTTCCCTTGCCCCAATCGTCGGCGAAGCTTGGCGACTGAGCCTTGACAGGAGCGTTCCCCCAATCATCGGCGAAACTTGGCGGCTGAGCTTTGGCCGGCGCATTACCCCAATCATCGGCGAAGCTTGGCTGTCGGCCCTTGGGCGGGGCGTTGCCCCAGTCATCGGCAAAGCTTGGCTGTTTGTTCTTCACCGGCGCACTACCCCAGTCGTCGGAGAAGGCGTTGGCAGTGGGCTCTTGCGCTCTCCAGTTGACGGTCAAGTCTTTAGACCCGGACTGGACGTCGCCCGCTTTGGTCTTCAGGTCCCCGGCGGCCTCGGCTGGCCTTTCGTGGAGAAGGGAACATCCCTTTCCAAACTTGCACCAACCCTACAAAAATCAGTCGGGGGCTGCGCGAGCCTGGCCGCATACACTCACCTTCTGGATGAAGAACTTGCAGGGCTTCTTGGTTTGGCCGTTGACAGACGGGGCAGGGCTCGACGTCTCACTGGCGCCCTTGACCTTTGTGTTGGGTGCGTTCGCGGTCGAGCTGTCCAAGGGCTTTACACGGAAGACAGAGGGAAAGATTTGGCTTGGCAGACTCAGGCGCTGGAACTCGTGTTGGTGGTCGGCAGCCTTGACGAGAGTGAAGCGTTCGGTACGGCCGGCGTAAGACGCGAGGAGGTCAAGGTAGCGGGTGTTGTGACAGCCGGCAAAGAAAATGTGCTTGCACTGGTTGCTCTCGGAGAACAAACGGAACGTCTCTGCGAGGAAAGATCCATAGTCAGCAACGGAGCGGAGCGGGGCGGGGCGGGGCAGGCCAAGCGATGCAGGCATGGACAGGCATGGACGCACCCTCGACTTTGGTGCTGACGGCTAGCTTCTTGTCACCGCAATCGACGACTTCGAACAAGTCTTTGGCGCCACTGAAGGCGGCGGTGAAGGGAGCAATGGCACGGGCTTCGCCGCCGACCAGACCGGCCCTGCCATAGACGCGCGAGACGGCGGCGAGGTTGCAGCACACGCGCACGACGACGCGCCAATGCTCGCCGTCACGGCTAAGCTCCAGGACGCGCTCACGCACGGCAGCAGCCAGCAGCTCGGCAGCCCGGGCCCCGCCCTCGGCGCCCGCCTTGATCAGCTGGTCGTCGAAGAGGTAGCCGTCGCCGTCAACAAGCAGCAGGACGAAGGGATTGCGGTCGACGAGGCCGCGGGCTTGGCGCTTGTACTTCTCGCGGTTCTCCTTCTCCTCCTCATAGTCGCTGCGCAGGCTGCGGTAGTCGTCGAGCAGGCGCTCGTACTGGCGGACGACGTCGAGCAGGGCGTCGTGCTGGCGGCCGCTCAAGACGCGGAACTGGCGCACCTGCGCGTCGAGCGAGTCGAGCTCGGCGTCGCGGAGCATGGTTTAGGCGGGGGGGAGGGGCCGAGACAAGAGGAGCGAGACAAGCAATGGCTAAGAGTTGAAGCAGCTATCCAACATGACGAATTTCGCCCCGGTCTGTGCCCGCTTAGCGTGCGCGGCGCGTCGGTGCGTCGGGGCGCGGCGCGTCCCCCTCGCGTCGCCCACGTGGCCGCCGCCCCTCACCTCCGGCGTCCGCTCTCACCTCCGCCTCCGCCCCCGCCCTCCTTTCCATCGCAGCCCCGTCTTCTTCTCCCAGTCCTTGACCGCCTCTGTCTTCTTCAATTCCGGGAAGCGCTCCTGGTTCGCAAACACTAGCGGCGCCACATGCCCTTCCATTCTGTTCAGAGCTTGCTTGAGCACCTCAGCCCGACCGTCCTTCGTCTTCATGAACGAGAACAGGGCCGACCTTAGCTCACTGTCGCTCTCTACCATACCGTAGCCCCTGCCGCGAGGCTTTTCTAAAGGCTGTGTGGCGCCGTCAGTCCGCATACCGTCACGGTGCGACGGGAGACTGACCTTAATGTTCTCGAGCTCGCGAAGCTGCTCCACGATGGCGTCCGCGATCGCAGACTGCTTGTCCATGTCCAGCTCACCCCAAAACGCTCTGAGCCTAGGCGGTACTAGATGGCCCATGGCGGGGTTCCTGTGCTGTTGTTTGGTTTAGTACCTGCTCTTCGCAGGGTACCTTTTGCTTACTTACATCGCAAATGTTTTTGAACACGAAATACTGACCCTTTAACTCCGGGAAGGCCTGCACGTTGCGGGAAACCACGTTTTGCAATACGCGTTCAGCGGACAATCGATTCGCCGGTACTGCCCTTTTGAAAATGCTTCTGTGCATGTTTGTTTCTGTCAGCTGCTTTCCGCGTAGAACACTCTCTCCGAACTGAGGCTGCATCGGGCCGTTAGCGAGTCTCGCATGGTGCGGGGATAAAGCTCTCACGTTACGTCGGGCACGATCCACCAATGAACGGACTGCCTGAGCACTACAGACATCGCTAGTCTCCTTTGTCCAATTTTCGCGGCCGCAAAGGAGCATCACTGCGGGGCTCCTAGCGGCGCGTAGTTGCTTCTCTGGTGTTAGCTGCTTTACGAAGATGTCATCGCACCGGGATGGAGACGACTGACCGCGGCATCAACCACCGGAGCCCACGGCACTGACGGGCCCGCCGAGGCGCTCGAGCTGTGCTCGCATGCACGAGAGACACTGGAAGCCAAGCTACCCGGCGTGCTTGTATCTTCTTCCTTTACTTCGACCGAGCCAGTCGAAGGCCTCGGCTCGAGAGTCCCACCCGCTACCGGTCCCGTGCCGGTCGGACTCTCGCTAGATCGCTCAGCGGAACTCTCGGTAGAGCTTTCTGAACTGCTTTCATCGGCGGATTCGGCGCTCTCCTCGTGGCTCGCTTGCCCGGCCACCCACCGCACGCCATTGTTGTCTTCGACGGTGCAGCCGCCTTGCACATCGTAGCCGTAGAGTGACTGAGCCGCGGCGGCCAAGGACCCGAGCGCGTCGGCGAGGTCCGGGGCGCGGTTGAGGCGTTCGGCGAGCACCCAGAGCAACTTGTGCGTTAGCTCTTGATTGACCAGGGCCTCTATTTCATCGCGCTGGCTGTCGTCAGTATCGGCTCTAGCCAATCTGGCCAGGACGTTCTGGGCGGTAAGATCGCGGCTGCTGATGTGGTTGTTGACGAGATCTTGGACTGCGGTGCGGATCAGGGAGTCACGAGGGCTGTCGTGAGCCAAGAGAGTGAGGGCCAGGTGTGGCTGGCCGGTGTTCCTCGGGTTGAATGGCTCGTCGTTCGGGGCGTAGGCGGGTCTTGGAGGCGGTGCAATGGGGCCGAGGCGCGGGCGGGTTGTGAGCGGGCCCGGGCCGGCGGACGGCGACGGCGGAGAAGCAGCCTGGCGACGGTCAGCGCGAAGGAGAATTGAGCAGGCGAGAGAGAACGAGCACCTTGCGTTTGCGGGCCGAGGGCATGAAGAGGGGCGGAGGGCAAGACCTAGGGAAGGACCTTTTTTTTTGGTTGCGCGGTACACGTATTTGTAGGTAGAGACAACGGGCGCGCGTCGGATATACTACTAGTGACGCGCGGCGAGTCATGCGGATCGACGGCGCGACGCGGGAGCGAGTCAGGGCGCGGGATCTCTTGGCGCGATCGCCTAGGTTCTTTTCGCCGCGTCGCACCTGCAGCTTCTCGAAGGAGACAGCTGTGGCAGGAGCGAACCGGCGTAGGTCGCGGCACCTATGGATATAAAGCCGCCGCATCTGTACCTATCCTAGCACTTCAAGCATCTTACCGGCGGGTATCTTACCAGCCATATACTTAACACGCCAACAACAACGCGACCTGACGAAGCACTTCTTCTGCCCACGCCATGCGCCTGCTCGTGAAGGTGCTTCCGCTTCCTGGGGCTTCGGGGGCGGCCGGCTCCGGTGGGGCCAAGCAGTTCAATCTGCTCGTGAAGCCGGGGTCGTCATTCGGCGACATCTGGCCGTTGATCGAGACGCGCTTCAAAAACGCGTATCCCCTCGAAGCACGGTATGACCCCACGCAGTGCGCCCCGCACGGCGCAGTCAAAGCACGCTTGCTGACGTTGTCGCAGGGATTTTATCATCAAGAAGCTGCAGGACATATACGGCTGCGACATCGCCCTCGAGGATGTCGTCGACCTCTTCTTCGAGGATGAGCCCGACCAGCAGAAGCGCATGATCCATGTCGTCCAAGCACCCCTCGACCGCGACATATCCGTAGCCCTCGGATCCGGCCTACGCCCTCCCAATGCCCTCAAGCGCGCCCTCCCTCCCGCCGTCGTTGAGGCCAACAAGCGCCGCCGCGTCGAACGCGACCTTTATGGTTGCGCCGTCGAAGACATGCAGCCAGACCGCCCCGTCCGGTCAAACGAGAGCGACAGCGACCTCGTCGTGGTGGAGGATTCCCAGCGTGAGACCGCACCTCACTCCGAAGACCGTCTAAATACCGTGGCTAAGAGCGAGTCGCCAGGTGGAGACGAGCGTTCACTCATGGACGTGCCTACCGACGGTGGCTTCCGCCTGCCGGGCTTGCCCGCTTCCAGCTTGCGCGACCGACGAGTCGACCCCCAATCCCAAGAGTCGGCGCCGGAGCTTCCGAACGGTCAGCTCTCCCCTATCGCAGAATCCCCATCCGTCAGCGAGCTTGGCGTTGAACGCACGAGACCGCCCTCTTCGCCGTTATCGTCAACGCCGCCGAGCGCCCAGAGGCCTCGCGGGAGCCTGCAGCGCGAACATCCTCGGCACAGCACGCATTCGCTCGACCCCGATCCTTCAGAGACGCCAATGACCAGCCAACGGCGGCTCCGGATGCTCAAAGACCGCATACATGACAAGGGTGATACACCTCCCGCAGCCCAAGGACGACCCGACTCCGCCACACCTTCCCGCTCTATGAATGCGCCAACTTCCTCCGGCACGCAATCTGGGGCAGAAGAAATCCGCGCGACAGCTCTGGCGAAGTTAAAGGACCTGGCAGGAGACAAGCCGTTCCGTGACACATCTGGTAGTTGGACAGCAAAGGAGGATGATATACTGCTCACCGCTCGTGCGGCTGGTCTGAGCTACGAGGAGATTGGCAACAAGTGGCTCCCAAGTCGCGGAAGAGAAGGGGTCAGGAAGCGATACGCGAGGATCAAATATCTCCAGGACTCGACCGCGCCGTCGCCCACGACGGAGGGCTCGACAAGAAAGAGGAAGATGTCGTTGGAGGCTGCGGCAGAGCTGGAAAGGTTGAATGAGAAACACAGGGCAAAGGAAGCCGAAAAGGCGGCGGCCAAGAAGAAACAGGAAGCCTGTATCCAACGCCAGATCAAGGCCAAGAAGTATAAGGACGCAGAGAAAAGGATCGGGAAAGAATGCCGGCAAGAGGAGGCGCAGGAAGCCCAGGAGAAAAGAGATGAGCTGAAATTGAGAAAAAAAGAACTAGCAGGATTGCGCAGGACCCGAGAGGCACTCGAGAAGTCGCTCTCCGCTCCACCGCGCTCTTCGCAGGAGTCGGCGCCAACGACGTCCCAAGACCAGACCGCAAAAGTTCCCCGACAGTCAAAGCTTCCTTTTCCTCGACAGAAGGCCAACAACCTTAAAACTTACGGCCGCTCTCCGACCAAGCACAAAGTGGCCGAAGATCCGTTCGCTGTTCCGTCTGACAATGAAGATGAGCCGGCTGGCCCAGCTTCGAATCTAAGGCCTAGAAATGCCGCAGCCGCGAACGAGGGGCCTACCGAGCACCGATCGACCCGGTCTTCGAAGGCTACGAAAGACGGCACGCCAGTACAGGCAGCGCCGCCAGCCCCTGCGGCTTCGCAATCTTCTCTTCCTGACAAGAACGTGCCTCTGCGGCGTTCGGTCTCTTTCAATGAAGAACTGGACATATCCAACAGATACGCCCAGCCGCGTGAGCCCAACCATGGGACGGAAAGTCCGCGTAGCAGTATCTTGAAGAGCGCGAAGAAGTCAAGGGAGGCGCTACCGCCGACCAGCGGACTCCGAGTCGAAGGGCTACGAGGAGATTCGTCGCAATCGCAGAAGCTACCTCCCACGGAGCACCCCGTTCGACCTTCAGCATCATGGAGTTTTGACAAGCTCGACCTCGACGAGGCAGCTGAGCAGCCTGACGAGCGGCACCCAGATCCAGTGGAGCCCACGAATGAAGATCGCGCCGAGTTTCCTGGATCGAGTCCTGTGCCCTACGAAAGAGGCGGGCCGACGCTGCCGTCTGAAGAGCTCGGGGAGAAGTTGGATGATAGCCCGGCCGACAGCCAAAAGACGGCAGCGCGTTACGTTTCGTCATCGTCGCCCTCAAGTCACTCCGGTTCCGAAGCTGCCTCAGCTGGTGGCTCGCCGCCGGCGTCATCGCCACCCGCCATAAGCACCACCGCCAGAGAACGAGCGCAGGTCTCGGGCTCGCCGTCGGGCTCAGATATCGAGTCGGAAGAGTCTGACAACGACGGGTCTTCGCCATCACCGCTTCCGCCTTCTCCTTCTCCCGCCCCCATCACCAGGAAGCCATTGCGCAGCGCGATGAAAGGCTCGCGTAGCGCCTCGCGAAGTGCCACATCGAATACGCCAACGACTACGACGAGCAACAGCACATCCGACAAGGCGGCCTCAGCCTCGGCCTCGAAACGCCTGCCCGCCTCCGTCCCTCCACAAGCTGCCACTCCGCGCGCAATGTCACGCACACCCGTCCCAGCCACGCGAGCATCAAACACGCCCAAGCCGGTCACCACGATGGCGCCACGACCTCCGTCTACGACACCTCGTCCGCTCTCGCGCGTCACGTCGGGCGCGTCAACGCCGCGTGCAGCCAACCGCTCCGGCTTGCACAGTTTAAGCTACTTGAAGAGCCTGCCTCCTGCTGAGATTCCCAAGCCCGTATACACGGGGCCGATGCCGAAAGCGAAGGGCACCGCAGCCGATGAGGAGAGCAGCAGCGACAGCGACAGCGACAGCAGTTCGAGCAGCGACTCGGACGATGACGAGGCGAAGAAGAAGGAGAGGAAGCCCAAGAAGAGTCGGTGGAGCGGGCTTGTCGATCGTATGTCCCGCCCCTTTTGGAACCTTCTCTTTCCTAACAGCAGTGAGTTCTGAATTTTTGAATTCGTACGGTTCTAATCGTTCTTGGTGCAAACAGTGGCGAACGCAAACAGCTTCCCCATGTAAGATGACGACGGCGGCGGCGGCGGCGGCGGCGTAAGGGCAGAGGAGTCTATGATCATCACGAGGGCAGACGTACTTAGTGGCTTGCTTTCGACGATTGCGTACATAGCACATGAATAAACCCATTTACTTTCATGCACTGTTATGTTGGCTTGCAGTGAGATATGCGATGGCCGGTCAGGGATGAGTTGATCGGATCAATCGTGGCCAACTGCAACCCCCCAGAGCGCTTCACGGGAGATTGAAGGTGGGCAAATCGAGGGCATTAAAGTCGGAATCGGGTTGGCGCAAACAAAAAGTTCAGCACTAGATGACTGACGGCAAGGCATGTGTGTGGTACACTTCGAGGACAGATGACTGACTTTTGGCAGGACACGAGATACGGCTGACGACGTGGTTGTGAGTACGTCTGGGTCTGCTGCCGGATTGAATACGGACAATTTGAAGGTCGCATCGAGCCCTCCGAAAACACGGCCCGCATCAAGACAAGAATGCCTCGAGCTCTACGAGCGAAAGACATAGTTCAATGAGGAGAAGACCGTGGTTTTACTTAGAAACATTGATTTCTATGTCTTTTCCGTATAATGTCGTACCCTCGCATCCATCACCACTTCAGCCCCGTAAGATTCTCCCACGTACGCACCAGTACCGTCCCCTTGAGCTCCGGGAAGAAAGATCTGTTCATAAGGACCAGCGGACGCAGTCTAGTCTCAATGGCGCTACTCTGCGTGTGAAGTTTGCTGCATCGCCTCACAACGGCCACAATCTCGTCTTCGAAGCAAAGACTGAGGGTGTACCTACGGTACCCATTGTGTAATTTGAAAATTCCCTTTTCATATATCAGTCAGAGGCACGGAATTTGAATAATGAGAACCGATAAGAGCTGCTTACAGACTTAGAATCACTCTTGCGCTGCAGTGTCTGGACAATTCCGTGCGCTACACAATCGAAATTTCCATCTTTCAGCTTGGGACCGCCGCGGCAAAGTAGGTCGAGGCAGGGGGTCGTATCAGGAACCATAGTCAGGAAGACAAAGGGGCACTGGATGAGCTCCGGGAAACAGGGCAGATTGGCGATGACGATGGACCGGAGGCCAGATTTAACGTGTTTGCGCATCAATTGTCGTATACTGGTGAGCTTCTCTCTCAGAACATGTGCCGTGAGGTCTTTCGTCTTGCATAATGCTACGAGGTATTGTTTCAACTTCGACTGTTAGAGGAGATAATCGTCAATGAACCACAAGCGTTAAGGCAAGGGTGTGAGACTGGTAATTGATAATACTTACGTGGTCGTTGGCACGGCGCAGGAGTGAGACATATGCAGTCATGGGTCCGCTCTGCGTCTCCCAGCGCCCAGCACAGAGTAGTTCGGTGATGGGCGTGGCCGAATTACTCAGGTCCTGCGGAGAGAGAGCTGCAGAATCGTCTCCAGAATCAGAAGATTCTGTAGAAGATCCAGAATCAGTAGTAGATTCCGAGTCTGAGCCTGACGAAGGTTCTGGCTGCTTAGTATATTTCAACTTCGTAGAAGCCTTTGCAGAGCTTGACTCGTCTTCGGAGTCGGAGGATTCTGTGTCGGACTTTGACTCTGAAGAAGGATCTCCCTCGGAATCAGAAGACTCTGTGTCAGATTCTGAAGAAGATTCCGAATGTGTGACAGGCTCCATCTCTTTAGAAGTCTTCAATTGGGGGTTTGATTTAGATTTCGAGGAAGCTTTCGACGCTGTGGCCGGACCATCAGCGACACTCTCGATAGCACCCACACTCAGATCCTCGCGCTCGGCATTTTCCTGCTTGATCCTGACGGTGATCGTCTCCTCGCTTTGACGAGCAACAGGCTGGTCATGAGTGACAGACTGGATCGGACCTGAAGAGGGGGCGGTTGTCGTGCGGGCGATTGACTGCGAGAGCGCAGGCGAGGCCGGACGTTGCGCCCGTCGGGGTCAGGGGACGGCGGGGGGCGCGTCTGCTTCACGTCAGTAGTATTGCGAACCTTAGGCTACGAAGGCGGTGGGAGAGGTAAATACATCGCGCTTGCGCATGGCCGACATGGTGGGGACGCGAGGGTGACGAGTGAAGATCAGTGAAGGGCCGTGGAAGTTTATGTATCATGGCTGTGAAAGATTGGATCGGAAATCTTTGGCCTTGGATGTCTGGAAGTCGTCGGATGCGCTGATGTTCGGCAGGGATCATGCGCGGAACGGCGGGGGCCGATCGCGAGGCAGCCAGGCAGCCAGGCAGCCAGGCATCCAGGCACCGAGGCATCGAGGCATCGAGGCGCGTCGGCCGTCGCCATCGATGCGGGATGCGGGAAGCTCTTTCTCTCCGTCATCGCCCTCGTCGCATCCGCGTCCGACGAATCCAGACGCGCGAACCGGCCACGCTCCATGCTGATATGACGGCCGGTCGCCGACGCCGACGGGCGCGCGACCAACCCCACCGCGCCCGCCGCCATTGAGTCACTGCGCTGTCGGAGGGCCTAAGAAATTGTTCACCACCCCAATCACAACACCACCGCCAACACCACCGCCCTCCGACCAACCCCTCCGCTTCCGCCAATTCGCCATGGATCTCGTCAACCAGTCCGTCGCGCCCCATGACTCCCGTCGCCAGCCGACCCAAGCTCACTGACGTCCTCCGCCAGCCTCACCGACCGCCTGCTCTTCGCCGTCCCCAAGAGTCCGTAGCCCTCCTCCGCCCGAGAGACATGGAGAGAGAGAACGCGCGCTGACGCTCCCGCAGAGGGTCGCCTCCACCAGGCCTGCTTGGACCTGCTCCACGGCTCCGACATCCAGTTCCACCGTCACTCGAGGCTGGACATTGCCCTGGTGAAGAACCTGCCCATCGCCCTCGTCTTCCTTCCCGCCGCCGATATCCCTACCTTCGTGGGCGAGGGTCGCGTCGACCTGGGCATCACCGGCCGCGACCAGGTGGCCGAGCATGAGGCCGTGTCGCCGCCCACCGACACGACGGGCGTCGAGGAGGTGCTCGACCTCGACTTCGGAAAGTGCCGCCTGCAGGTCCAGGTTCCCGAGAAGGGCGATGTCGCCTCGCCCGAGCAGCTCATCGGCCGCAACGTCGTCACCAGCTTCACCGCCCTCGCCGAGCGCTACTTCGCCAAGCTCGAGGGCGTTGACGGCGACAAGCCCGTCAAGACCAACATCAAGTACGTCGGCGGCTCCGTCGAGGCCGCGTGTGCCCTGGGCGTCGCCGACGGCATTGTCGACCTCGTCGGTGAGTGACCGCCGTCGCGGATGGTTAGAAGAAGCGCGCTGACACCACCCCTACAGAGTCGGGCGAGACGATGCGCGCCGCCGGCCTGAAGGACATCTCCACCATCCTCGAGACGACGGCCATCCTGATCAAGTCGAAGAAGGTGTCGGACCCGGCGCTGGTCAACGTGATCGCCGCGCGCATTCGCGGTGTCATCAGTGAGTCTCCCCTTCCCTCTTCAAACCACTGTCCCGCTGACGCCTCCCAGCCGCCCAGCGCTACGTCCTCTGCTCGTACAACGTGCACCGCGACAACCTGGCGGCCGCCTGCGCCATCACGCCGGGCAAGCGCGCCCCGACGATCAACTCGCTGGAGGAGGACGGCTGGGTCGCCGTCAGCGCCATGGTCGAGCGCAAGGCCATCGCCATCGCCATGGACGAGCTCGTCAAGATTGGCGGTACGGACATCCTCGTCACCCGCATCGACAACTCGCGCACCGCTTAGACGCGGATGGACCACCTGGGCGGAAGGCAAAGAGCGTCGTTTGCGTTATCGGGCGTCGGGCATCATCGCCGAGGACAGAGGGGCTTTGGTACAGGAGAAGGGATAAAAAGGACGGCGCGGCGGTTGGACAAAATAAAGCATTAGACGTTTCTCTCGTACTCTGCGGAGACACAGTTGCGTGTCGTGATTCATTGCCCTCCGATGGCTCGAGAAAGCAACGGTTCAGGGAGGAGATCTACATACATGTGAGGGGTTCTCCCGCTCCTTCAAATACAAATACCCATTGTGTAAAAAATAATAGAGGGAAAACACAAAACCGAGAAGGAGAAAATGAAAAATGAAAAAAGAAAAGAAAAAAAAATGGCGGAAATAATCCAAGACCGAAATTGTATCATCCCCCCTCAGACGAAGTCAAGTCAAGGGGGCAAGGAATATTCCCGCGGCGCCAATGTTGCGCATGGAACTCAGGACCTGCGTGCTCCATCGTTGGGCGTTGCTGCTACCGGGCATTTAGGCCTTTCTAAGGCCAACTTCTGCTGCTAGTGTATGTACGTATGTCGTCGCTGAGAACAGATGCGAGGGAATTCCCCTGGGCGCAATGTAACAATAGGTTATGAGCCCGAAAAATTGTTCCAAGAATTTGTCTTTGTACGCATTATATAGCGATCCAACCTCAGCACTTCAGCTGCACAATCGCCGCGCTCGACCACGGCACGCTAACGCCAAACACGCCGTCCTGGCCCACCCACACAATCTCGTCCTTTGTCGCGTTCCCCAAAAGCACCGGCCTGCCCTGATCGCGCTCGAAACCATAGGTCAAGCCGTTGAACGACGCGCCCGTCAACGCGTCGCTCCCGCTCGCCATGACGCGCTGCACCACGCCCGTGCCGTTGCACGCCGTCGGCACCCCGAACCAGTACTCGGTCTCGGGCCGCTCCGAAGCGCCGCCGTCTTGCGTGGCGTTGTACTCGCGCAGGTTGACCACCGTCACGCGCTGCAGGGCGTCGTTGCCGTACGTCGCGTACGCGGCTTCGCGCGCTTCGGGCAGCGGCAGGTTGTCCACGCGGACCGGGGCGGCCGTCAGATCGCCCAGCGCGGCGGCGACGCCGATGTTGCCGTAGTAGGGCGCCTTGGTCCCTTTGGTCGCTTTGTCCGTGTCGACGGGCTGCCAGGACGCGTAGCGGTAGTTTGTGCCCTGGTGCATGTGCACGCGCTTGATGCCGACCGAGGCGCACCACAGGTTGAAGTCGATGCCCCAGAGGGCGGCGCCGAAGGAGTCGGAGAGGCCGGACGCGCCTTGGTTGTAGAGCGAGTTGGTCTCGCCGAGGATGAAGGGGAGCGAGTAGTTGGACAGCAGGCGCGAGACGTTGAGTTGTTTGCTGATGCTGTTGACGGTCGACGTGTGGCTCATCAGTGTGCCTTGGAGGGTCACTCCAGGCTCAGTGGCGCCGTCAATATAGCTGATAGGTGTTAGTGGGTTTGTCTGTGGGGATCTTGGCTGAACTCACTTATGAGAGGAGATTAGGGCGATGTTCTTGTCTTCATCGAATCCCTCCTGCCAGGTCTTGATCGGATCAAGGCTATTGCTCGTTCCCGCAAAAGACGGCGCGATGAACTTGTACTTGTCGTCCGTCGCCAAGTCCGGGCACGCCTTCGCCAGCTCCGCGCGAATCGCCCTCGTCCCGTTCAAATACTCCTGCACATAGTCGTGTTCTGTCCAGTTGGTTGGACGCACGATGCCCTGCTTCGCCGACGTCTTGAACAGATCCGGCTCGTTGCCCAGCTCCCAGTAAAGAAGCTTGCCGTCACTCAGAGCCTTGCAGGCCAGCGGCACAGTTGCGAGAAGACTCTCGCGGCCATCAGTTCCATTTTTACCGAGGTTGAAGCCGTGGATGAACTTGACGCCAGGCCACGAATCATAAGACTCGAAGAACGAGGGGCCAATGGTGAGCGTTGTCGGGTAGTCTTCAGATCTCTCCGGGTCGACAATACCATTTTCAGCAACACCAAGTGAGGCGTCGTACAAAGCCAAGTCCCTGGTCCTTCGTTAATCATGCTTCAGTTTGGGCACAAAAGCCGTGGACTGACTGTGTATTGCCGCCCACGCGGATATACGGCTTTGTTCCGGTCAAGTTACCAATATTGTTGAGGAGGTTGTACGAAAAGAGGTTGGGTCCGACTGAGCTGTTGCCAGCAAAGTCCGGGAAGCTGGACAGCTCGATTGAGAACGAGACAAAGCCCTCAGGGATGACGCCACCAGAACCGGTTGGGGTTGGATGCACGGCAATCGTCGAGATGGTCGGACTGCGCGAGAAGGTCGTGCCCGACTGAGCGGCCACGAGGGCAGTGCTCCACAGCATGGCGCCAACGATGACTAGATTGCAAAGCGGTCTCATGGTGCCGACAGACATACGCGGTGAGTATCAAAAGGTTGCGAAGGGGGGGGGGGGGGGGGGGGGGGGGGGGTTATATATTTCACGAAGGGTGATAGAGGGTCGCCCGCATTCACCTCTTGCCAGGCACCCCCCATTGCGCCGGCAGCTCCCCCGCGGCAGATCTCCAACGTCAGCTCTCTGCGGGGATGCGGGGTTCCCGTACCTGCAGCCAGTGATGCGCCGAAGCTGAGCGACGGCTGATGAATTAACTCTGTGGCTTGTCGGCATGTGGAGGGGAAGAGAGAGAAAAGGGAGAAAGAGTCGTATTTCCCGTTCTACCTCGACGCCAGGCTGAAACGCCTGACATGCGGCCCCATATCCCCGTCGCTGCACAACCTCGCCTCGCTTCCCCGATCCTCGACCCGTACGACCGCGCCTTCAGCTCTGCGGCAGCGTCACCTCACGACATCTACAGCCGCGCCTCCTACTCGACTTTCGCCGCCTGCAGCCACTTCCACACTCTCCGGAAATACTCTTCGTCGACGGCCTTCACGCTGCCCAGCGCTGGCGCTACCTTCTTGCTCTCGTCCAGTGCGAAAACCGGCGCTTGCTTTCCTTTTCCTTCCTCTTTCTGCCCATCCTTTTCGCAATAATTCTTTTTCCACAGTCCCAGAAGCTTCATTGCCGGGTGTTCCTTTTTGCCCTCGTCTCTCGCTCTCTCCAGCCGGTCCACCCAGGCCTCCGGCTCCAGGACGTCAAACTTCTCCATGGCTTGCAGCCAACCCAGCAGCTGCATCCAATCCGGCGTCTGATGCGGGTTCACGAAGTGGTATACCTGCATCTCAAACCTCCTCCTCCCGACCGTATCCATTCCCATGTTGTTCGCCGCCTCAATAAACGCCTCCGCCGCCACATCCACCGGCAGCCAGTTCAGTGGCTCATTGCGTAGTGCCGGTAAGCTGTTCGTTACGCGTACACTACTAAGCATTAGCGGCCAGGCCTCCGACGTGTTCCATATGCCGTGTTTGGTGTCGCCGCCGAGCTGACCGACACGAAATACGGCGATCTGGTTGTGTAGCGCAGTATGCCGGTGCGCTTTGAAGCAGAGATGCTCCGCAACCCATTTGCTACGCGAGTAGCCTAGCGGAGAGGCGGACGTTGGCTCATGCATTATATGTTCCGGTATAGGCGATTCGGCTGTGCAATTGATGGCGCTGGCTACCGATGAGCAATACACAAAGCGCGGGGGCGCTCGACGGGGCGAGTGGAGGGCAAGGTTGATCAAATTGCGTAGCCCTGCGGTTCATGTGTAAGTTATGGGCCATCGGGCAACTTAGAACCTTACTAACCAGCGATGTTGTCTTTTTCGAAGCTGCGCAACCGCATGCGGAAGTTGACCGACCACGCAATGTGCATTATGACGGTTGCATTGCGAGCAATTTCTTCGTAAGTATCTGGCTCCAGACCCAGACCAGCCTCGCCGAGTGAAGACTGCAAGACAATGATCTTGTCGTTTCCTGGGTGTTCTGACGAGATACCAGGCATACCCCGTTGCTCGAGAGCTTTGTTGACTCTTTCTCTTGCGGCATGTTGGTCCGCACCGCGAACGAGGCAAAATATCTGAGACACAGACTCAGTCTTTCGATAGAGGTTCAGAAGATGGGAGCCCAATGCGCCAGTAGCCCCAGTTAGAATCTGTGCATGTCAGCAAGGTAGGCTAAACAGTGTCCTCTTGTAAACTTACAACTACTTCTTTAGGCTGCCCAATCAGTGCGTTTCCGCTGAAGGAGGGGTCAGACTGCGTTTTGTTGTCAAATTGGCCGTATTTCTCGACCAAGTCAAGCATGAGCTGATTATCATCCTCATTTTCCTCATACACCTCGCCGTGGCGTTGCTTCGTGATATAGTCGCTGAGTCTGGTACCTATCAACATCCTGCTTATGGGCCATGGAGCAACAACCGGCTGTCTTACCTTTGCACTGTGCCACAATCCTCCACAATGCTCAAAGGAAGCTCCGGAGATTGAGCCGGCAAGAGCTGCCTAAGACCGTATCGTATCTGCATGCACGCCACTGAGTCCGCGCCATACAAAAACAAATCGGTATCCACGAAAAGTTTCCCGGGTTTCACTACAATGTCTTGAATGAGCTTAACGACGAAAGGTTGGATTCCTTCATCAGGAACTTCGCTGCCGTCGGCAACACTCAGCTTTGCATAAGCGTCTTCTATTTGCTGCGCATACCGCTCCTCGGCTTTGTTCCGCATGACCGTTCCCTTGCTGCTCTTCTCAAGTGGCTCCTCGTTGTGTTGCATGGCAATGAGCATGTTGCGAGGTATCCTGGCGTGAGCCTGGCTTTCCGCATTGAGCTTCTCAACCAGGGGCTGAAGAGCCTTCAGGAACTCGTCATCAGTTCCATGCGCATGTTCCTTTGAGCGGAACAGAAATGCGCCGGGGAAAGGCTTGCCGTTCCCAAATACTAGAACATCGTCGACATGCTCATTCGCTGCGATGGCAGATTCCCAAGGCGCTGGGTCGAACTTCTTTCCAGTGATCAGGGTAAGTTGAGAGTCTGCACGCGAGTGGTACTTCCACGCGTTGGGGATTTCGGGATGTGGCGAGAAAAGATCTGCCGTGGCAAAGGATCCATCCTCTCTATTCGTCTTGGCCTGCTCAGGTCAGTCTTCTGGAGTTTGCAATATTGTAATCCTAAACCATACCTTGTGTGGCCATCCAGACATGATGACAAGCTCAGACGTGCCATCGTCCTGTTTTTCGAAGCGAATCTTGTCCGCGCCAAAATCACTACGCAAGCACTGCCACTCCTTGTCTTTTGCATAGTCTCGATGCGAGGACATCAGAAAACCACATTCTGCGCTACCAAATCTTGAGATTAAGTTCACACCTTTCTTGACCAGGCGATCACCGACCTCCGTCGGAAGTGCTGCTCCTCCCACGCCTACAATGTCCATGGATGTAAGATATTCCAGACCTTTACTGTCCGCTTCCATCATTTGCAGAACGTATGGAACAGAGGAAAAGTACCTTACGAGAGGCGTCTCGCCGCGATCGGAAGCAGCCTTCGCAGTGTCTAAGCAAGATATAATGCTACTTGCTGTGATTGGAAGCTCCTTGCCTGGAAAGAGCCAGATCAGGGCATCGCTAGTCCATGCTCTGAACAGGTCTGCAATGCCCCCGTGGTACAATGGCGTGGTAGTGTAGGTGGCCTTTTCAGATCCGTCAGGAAGACACGGCAGGACACCTACGCCAGCACGATGCGTTTGCGGAATGGGTTTGGGGAGGCCAGAGGATGTACCCGATGTGTGATGCAAGTACGCTACGGAAGTATCATCTACAATGGGTTCCTGAAAGTGCGTTTCTTCACTAAGTGACCGCTGAACCGTCTCGTAGATGTTCCCTCCTACAATGGAAGGAAGAGAATAGATACGAAGAGTTCCACCATCCATCTCTTGAGCACTCCTGCGGGCTTGGTCCTCGTAGACATCATCATGAAACAAGTTTGAAACCTCGCATGCCTTGCAGAGGTGTGCGATGGCAGGGGGTTGGCACTGCGGAGCAATGAGCAGGACAGCATGACCCAAACGCATCAAGGCGAGCCAAGCAAACAGAAAGTCGGGGGAGCTGGGGCACAGCAGGGCCACCGTCTGTTTTGGACACAGGTCCTGGCCGGTATTGCGCAGCATCAAGCCCGCTACGGCTTTGGAGCCGCGTTCAACATCAGCGAAGCTGAAGACATGATGTTCCCCGGGTGGTTTGAAAAACCCCACGGCTGGCTGGTCCCCAACGCGGCTGGCCTGACGGTCGATGAAGTCATTGATGGTGTGAAAATCGTTTGGCTTTTCTCTCAGGGCGGCCGCCTGGCCAAGAGTACAGACGAAGTAGTTGGTGTCCATCGGGAGGGCAAAGACGAAATGGAAAATTGCGAGAAAGAGCGAAGCCGCGAAGGCTGTGGAAAGCCCGCCATGGTGATCCACATGGTTTGCCGTCTAGTACGCAGGAGTTAAGGTTAGTGAGCCGTATCTGAAGTGATGAGATCATGCACGCTCCGGAAATGGTGGGAAAGGACGAGGCACGTGATGCGGCTCGGCTTGCCTCGTTCAAGCCCGCCGCGCCCACCAGCCCACCACAGCCAGCATCCTCTCGCATCCGCTGCAACAATGGCGGCGCCAGACGCTCCCGCCAAGTTCTCGCTCGCCCTGGGCTCCAAAAAGTCCGCCCAGTCGCGTGCGCCCCCGAAGAAGCGCCCGCACTCTGCCCTCCACGACTCCGACGACGAAGACGCCGGCCCCCAGGCGCAGGAGGTTTCCCACTTTGACCAGTCGGCCGGCGGCGCAATCGATGCCAGCAAGCCCTCCCAGACAAAGGGCCCGCTGGTCATCCCCAAGCAAGCGAATCGCGACTGGAGGGGCGAAAGCCAGACCAAGCGACAGAAGAACCTACTCCCGCCCGAGGCCCAGGCAGCACAGGCGGCAGCGCAGAACGGCGACACCAAGGATGCCGACATCCCCGAAGAACAGCGCACCTTCGGCCTAAACATCGTCAAGAAAGCGGACGGACTAGATGGAGCTGCGGCGGAGGATGACACGGCGCCCGCCGCCGACGAGCCAGCGCCCGCGGAACCAAAGACGGAAGATCAGTTGGCGCTCGAAGCTCTCTTAGGCCAGAAGCAGAAATCCGACCTTGCAATTCCGGCCGTCGAATCCGAAGAAGAAGCCTTCCGTCGCGACTATGACAACGCGCCCGAGATGGCGACACTGGAGGAGTACGATGCAGTGCCCGTGGAGGAATTCGGCGCGGCGCTATTGCGCGGCATGGGTTGGAAAGAAGGCGAAGCCATCGGCCGCAGGAAGGGACAAAAGGCTGTGCAGCCGCGCGTTCTGGAGAAGAGGCCCGCGCTGCTGGGTATTGGCGCGAAGGAAGACGCGGCTGTCGGTGAGGAAATGGGCTCGTGGGGCAAGGGAGCAAAGAGCAAGAGGAAAACAGAGCAATCTTACAACCCGGTCATGCTGCGCAACAAGAACACGGGTGAGCAGCTCACCGAGGAGGAGCTCAAGGCGAAAATGGAGGAGCAGCAAGTGGCAGAGCGCGAGCGCGAGCTCGAGCTGGCGAAGCGCGACAAGTCCCCCGCACGAGACTCTGGCCGCCATCGCTCTGAAAAGTCCTCCAGGCGCAGCAAATACGACGACGACGACTACGACTCTGAGCGACGTGACCGGGACCGCCGGCGGGACCGCGACCGCGACCGCGACAGGGACTACGACAGCAAGCACCGGTCGTCGCGCCGAGACCGCAGCGAGACGGACGAGGACAGGCACAGGCGGCGAAAACGCGACAAGGACTACGACGACTACGATCGCAGGGACAGGGATCGCAAGCAGCGCGACCGCGACCGTGATCGCGACCGCGACCGAGAGGATCGCTACTCCAAGGCGTCGTCGTCGCGGCGCGACGACAGAGACAGAGATAGGCACCGCGACTCGGATCGTGAGCGCCGTCGGAGACGGGACGACTATTGATTTGACCGCCGGATTGCGGGACGCTGGCTATATCCGTTGCCAGCACGTTGATAGAACAAGCGAACAAGCCTAATTAACCCGGTTCTGGGCTCGAGAGTCTCTGAAGGTGTGAATATCCCATGTTCTTTGTGAACTACTTATGCTCAATCCAAGCTTGCAGCCGAACAGGTCCGCTCCAGCACTGCGTGTCGAACAAACGTATCATTTGCATCGCTACGCTACGATTGTACTACGGTAAGTCCAAATATATCGCCGAGAGCAGATGAAGTCATTTACCTTAGGTAGGTCTACAAACTATTTGCTAGAAGGCATCATAACCGTACAGGCACTGCGGTCTTGCTGGATCCTAGACATTGTTCATGGGCTGGTCACGGGTTTTATGGAATTAATTCCTGGAGGAGATTGCATCGGGGTAGCAACCCACAACTCTGTAGCAGTATCCGATATCATACCCAAGCAATTTTACAATGGAACCCATAGTGTCCGCTTCAAATACACGAATAGCTTCTAATGAAGTCAGATTTATTATTCCATGACGGCATTTCAGCCTCTTCATCCATAGACCATTATGCACCATCGCCATGTGAACAAAGAGCACTCATCACCAGATCGCACAGGCATCCGAGTACCACATGAAAACGACTGACACGTACTTTTTGGCACCCACGAGAGATAGACCCGAGGACATGGTATTCATTTATTCATTGAACCGCGGGTATCTCCTGTCTCCTTGCAATGCACATCTCAAGTCTACATCAACCCCTCCTCATTTTTACAGCGCCCACTCGTTCGTCTCCCCAGCAACCACGAATGGCTCGTCAATCTGCTTGACAGCAAGTTCGCTGCAAAGAACACTGTAGAATTGAGTCAGCATCGCACACGTTCGCTTTCGACACAGACCGAGGGCGACACTTACCAAGCACCAGCCACAAGCTCATCCAACTCCTTCGCGGCCCTCTCCCTCTTTAGCCCAATGCTCGTCCCTCTCGACACCTCCGTCTGCAGCTCCTTGATTCTCGTCGCCTTCCACACGCCTGCTAGCTTGACGACCTTCTTGCCCAAGCACTCGCTGTGGAAGGCATGCTGGCAGGGGAACACGAAGAACTGCTTCGCAAGCAGCGGCAGCCGGCAGATGTAGCACTTTTCGCCGGGCTCAACGATGGCGTAGCGTGTGTCAAGTTGCCGGATCTCGGCCTTGATGTGCGTCGCAGTCTGCGTGCTCTCGTCCATCTCCTTCTTCAGCGCATCAATCTGTCTCGAGTACTCCTCGAGGGCGGCGCAAATCTCGTCCTTGAAGTCGTCGATGACGACAAAGTCTGGGAAGAAGGGGATCAGGTCCTCGATGCGAAGCAGATCCGAACGTTTCAAGAAATCGATGGCTGGTTTTATGCCTGTTGATTGAGAAATGACCTTCTTGGCAACGGCGAGCCACAGCTTCTTGCGGAGTGCGGGATCCGATTCGGGGCGGTCAGCGACAGAGCTGGCGAGGTCGATCTCATTATACTTGAGAGCGAGGTCCACAGCTTGCACGTATTGTGACATCGAGCTGTAGATGTGGACGCAGCTTTGAACACGCTTGTGCTGGATGCAGAGACGGAGTGCAAAGTCCGCGTCGTAGTTTTGTTCTTGAGCATACGACTGAGCTTCAAGGTAAGAAAGAAGTGCAGATTCATCCCGGGAAGGATGCGACGCGTAGATGGAGATGAGGGTGTTATGCACAGCGGCATCGGTCGAATGATGTTGGTTGATCTCGAACTGAAGATAACGCACTGCTTGGTTCTGCTCAGAGAAAGATTAGCGACTGCTCGGGCACATACAAAGATAATCATACCTGGGAAAGCGAGCCTTGCGTGAGCTTGTTGTAGTTCAAGAGCGCGGGGATGAGCTTCCGCGCATCGAGGTTTGCTTGTCTCATCAGAATCTCGACGAATTCAACGGGAACATTGGCCATGAGAACACTGCTATACTTGTAGAAGATCTCCGGAACGGTTTGCTTCTTCAACACAGTCAATGACTCTGGCCACCGTTCCCTCTGGACCCAATATGCGAGGACATAGTTATAATCGTTAACGACAGTAGCAAAGTACAGGAGCTCCTCCTCACGACCGTGACTGCTGATGATCTCATAGACAGTTTTACGGTCAAGGTCGGACTTGTACTTGGTGACAAAGTCCTGGAACTCCTTCCGGGTGACAGACAGCTGGTTTTCAGTATCAGTAGTGTTCATTCCTTCAGAAAGCTCAGCCCGTGTGCCTATGCTATCATCCAGAGTATTGAGCTTCGAGATATACATCTCTACGAGCCAAGTGGCAAGCAAAATGCGCTGCATGGTGGCAGACTTTTTGATCGTTGCAAGCTTGGTCGAAAGATATTTCCGTAGCGCATCTTGCTCTCCATGATCGATAAATGTAAGTGCAACTTGCTCAAAAGGCTTAGTACTCCGACCATAGACACTCGCAGCCTCTAGAAACTGCCCCCGGTTAACAAGGTAATCACCAGAAGCAGTAGCTACGGCGTCTTTTTGGGCCGGAGTTTTAGCATATTGAGATGCTGCCTCGAACTGCTGCGCGTTCAATAAGATCTTCCAAATATCCCTGCTCTCGTCATAGACGCTTATCTCAAAAACATCTTGCTTTGTGAATAGCCAGAAAGTGCTCTTCTTTTGGTCAATGACGAGGCCGAGCGGGACCTCGTCCGGCTCGAGTACCACCTGGTCATAGGCCACGGTGTCATCCAGTCGGTTAGTCGCAACAACACGCCCATCCACAAGCTGGAGAATGTGCCAATTGCTGAGGATCATGGAGTGCGTCGGTTCCTGCACCGCTTTTGGTCGGCCACCGGCTGTCTGCGTCGGCGGAAGCTTCGATCTCGGATACATCTTTGCCCCGGAGAAAACTACATTGCCCAGGCTAGAAGACTCGGAAGACGTCAGTAGTTTGCCATGGACGACACCTTGTGATGACAGCCATGCGAATGCCCTCTCATGTTCGCCCGAACCGCTGAGTGAGGCAGTAGAAGACGATATGTCCTGTGGATCGGGAGAAACGGCGAGCATTGAAGGCGCCGGTCGAGACCCGCCATCCAGTTCATAGACCGTCGGGCCTTCGGCCTCGAATAACCTGGAGTAAATGGACCCGCTACCTTCGCGCCCATGCCTGCCGACCTTTCCCACAAAATGTTGGAGATCTGTTGGCGTGGCTACCATTATCCGGCGCATGTCTGACCGCCCAGGGATTGCGTCGGTCCATAGTCCCACGATTGGGCCGTCGGCCTTGTGGACCGCCTTGAGGTATCTCTCCTCCCGACGGTAAAACTCGGCTGACGGCTCAATGTAAACTTCGTAGACGGTTCCATCGGAGGCGCCAACCAAGATTTCGCGGGTAGAAGCGGTGGGTTCGGAGGGATTCCACGAGATGCATTCGATCGGCACACTTTTCAGTTTGGAGAGCGGTTTGGGGGTGCGGCTTTGGGTGTGGAGGTAGAAGTTCTCGCCGAGGGTGGTGGTGATGATCAGGTGAGAGGCAGAAGGGTCGAGGAACATGCGTCGAATGACGCCAATCTCTGAGGGCCTCTTGGGGAGATCGACGTCTGCAACGGTCAGCCTTGGAGCACTTTGACGTCGGGCATTGGCCAAATACCGTCAATGTCTTCCGGGCTGTCGAGGTCGAACCTGAGGATGCGGCCTGTTTCAAAGGCGAGGATCAAGACGTTGTTCGCGACTTGAGCGGCGACGAAGTCAGAGGGCTTGTCGAACTTGAGATTCACGAGTTCGATGTTGAATATGGGGAGGGACTGGTCCTCGAGGCCCTGCAGGCCGCTGGGGGCGACATAGCCGGTGGAGGGGTCGAAAGCCATGGCATACGGAGGTGAGAGAAGCTATCCCCAGGGTTTGAACATGGCTGGTGGTCGTGGGCGCGGTGTTGGCCTGGTCGGAGCTCGAGGATGCGGCGCGCGCACGGACGCGAGGGGATGAAGTCACGGCCGAGCCGGACGCTCCATTCCACGGCCATACCTATGCAGGAGCTCTTCATGCGTCTGACGGGCTTCCCTTCAATGCGGCCCGGATCGCCTTTGTCCGGCTGATATCTGCCCTCTATGCTAAGACAACGGTACAACTGAGGGCAGAGACGAACAAAAAAAAAAGACCATGCCATGGGCCAGCTCGAATCGCTGCTCTCCTTGAGCTTCGGCATCGTTTTCGTGACCAGCGTCCCTTCGAGCCTCAATGCACCTGCAAAAGCCCCACCATTCTAGCACTACGTAGTATGTGCATGTTCACCAGCCAGTCACCCTGCCTTCTGGTCGTCCTCTTCTCCGGTAACCCCGATATCATCGGAGTCGGCTCGGCGTCGACAAACTCGTCTCTAGCACATTCCCCGAGCAAGAAACCACCCACTTCACCAGCTCCAGCTCCAACAAACAACAAACACCCCACGTGTGCGCCTCCCGCGCGATCGCCCAACCCGCCCGCACAGGCCATTCGCCGCACACAGACCATCGCCGCCAACGCCGATTTTCTGGAAGCAGCTCCATACCTTCCAACACCCCAATCGCGTCGCATCGCACCGCACACGCGCCGCGCCTACAACGATGCCGATCACCATCCTCGCGCCCGCGCCTCCCGCGCCCACCTACCCTCGCGCCGCCGGCTCCGAAGATGAAGACGAGGCATTCGACTCGGAGGGTGACGTCGACATGGAAGCTACCTCGCGCGCCTCCAAGCGGCCGCGCAGATCGCAAAAAAGCATTGTCACGCCCGGTGAGATGGTGACCGACGACCCGCAGTGGATGAGGTACGTCCGCGCCGGCATGCGAGTGTCAACGCCAATTGGGCAGAGAAGGCTGACATGCAGTCCACACGCTCAGAGGCCACGGCACGTACGTCCCCGAAGGAGGCACCGAGATCCTGTCAACAGTAGCGGGCACCGTCATGAAGACCAACAAGCTCCTCTCCATCACGCCGCTGCGCGCGCGGTACAACCCTGAGATCGGCGACCTGATAGTCGGGCGCATCGTGGAAGTGCAGTCGCGCCGCTGGAAAGTCGACCTTTCGGCCCCGCTGCTCGCCAGTCTCCCCCTCTCCGCAATCAACCTCCCAGGTGGCATCCTGCGCAAGCGTACCGCCGTCGACGAACTCAACATCCGCACCTTCTTCACCGAGGGCGACCTCCTCGTCGCCGAGGTACAGAGTCTTTTCCAGGACGGCAGCTGCGCCCTGCATACCCGCAGCTTGAAGTACGGCAAGCTGCGCAATGGGTACTTTCTCTCTGTGACGGGGACTGGGGGCGGCGGTGGAGGCAGACGGGGCGGCGTGGCCCGCTCGCGCCGCCAGGTCTTCACGCTTAGCACGACCAAGGGCGGCGAGATCGATATCATCTTGGGCGTGAATGGATATATCTGGATCGCGAAGCACGTGGAGCCGCCGAACGCAGGCAAGGACGTCAGCATCACGCGCATCGAGGAGAGCGTTTCCAAGGAGGTGTATTCCAGTCAGAACGACGACATCCCTGTCGAGACGCGGCGGGAGATTGCGCGCGTCGCGGGCGTTATTAGGGCGCTGGTAGAGTCGGGGGTCAGGGTGGACGAAGAGACCGTTGTGAAGGGCTATGAAGCTGCAGTGGAGCTGGAGTTTGAAGACGGGGAGGAGAGCAGGGAAGGCGGAGGCACGGAGTACCTTGGGGGCGAAAGAGGGCGGAAGGTTGTTGAGATTACCCTGGGTACGTTGGATTGAGCGAAGTGGAGGTACTACTGCTCTACACGGTTGCTGCGCAGGCGGGCGCAGTTAACGCCACCATACACTAAGTAGCAGAGAGCCATGAGCTACGAAATCAAAAAGGCCAAGACGGATACCCCGTCCAACAATTACACAGCAAGAAACTGGGAGGTTTATTGATGCTACGGATTTCTGAGTCAACCCAAATGTTAGGTTTCTTTGGTGGCGTAGGTTGGGGGACGCCGGCGGTGATATACTGAAACATGTAGGAGAGACAGAGAAGACCTCTCTTGAAGCGGGATGCATGTCGGAATAAGCTCTCACCGGGGCCAAAGATCGTCGGTGGAGTTTGCAAGTAACCTGGTGCTGATTATATCGGGTGTCCGCACGGTTGCGAAGTTGGTTGGTGTTTTGAGACAATGTTTAGATGAACCCAAGAACAACATCCGGCAGTTACACGACGACAAAAGCTCTAACATGCCCTTGGCACCAGAAGCGAAACCCAAAAAGATACACATTCAAAAAATAGTTGATATACCTACTTAGCGAACTGCCAAATATACGAAATCTACATAGAGGCAAGCAAAAGAGCAAAAAACTCTCGATGGAGCGTAACGCTCGACTTTTTGCAATCGGAGAGAAAACCTTACGAAGGAATATAAGATTTTATTGAACTTGGCTTACTAGCCCTCTGTGATGGAAATCGAACTTGCTCCGCTTGCGTGATATCCAAGTTGCCCCGACCGCGCCACTTCACCAGACGTTCCGCTGACAAACGAACTCGCTTTTGCGACTTGTGGCCCCAGCAACTGCGCGGTTGCGCTCTGTATTTAGGACGGCGACGGTGGTGGCTATTCCTTTTCGGTCCTGGTGTGGGAGGAGCTGTGTTTGTCCATTATGTGAATGTGTGAGCTGCATGTAAACGGCACTGATGTCTGGTTCCGGTGACATACCAACCACGAAGTCAAATCCCATCGCACTAGAGAAAGATAACTGACCCCGTTTCTGCTGACCTATATAAGTCAGTCACTGAATACTCATTCTGGAGCAAACAGACACTGAGCTAAACATGGATGCACATGCATGCCTACAATGTGAGAGCCATTGGGCTGTTCAATGAGAACTTCAGTTTCGGCGAGGTTCATCTGCCGCAAACGGTCACCATGCGAAAAACTGTTGGAAGGTTATTGCATTCGTTGATCAATTCACAAGTCATGGTTGAGATAATGCGAACAGCAAGTCATTTGGATTACGTCCTAATGCAGTAAAATATGTACGAATACAAAAAGGTCTGCGGCAAGAATTGAGCAAATGTCCACCTTCCACCGTTTTCGCCGCCGTCTCCCAACCTTCTCCTAGAGAAGCGTCTAGCAAGAAGCGCCGGAGGGGATGTTCTGGCACTTGGAGCTCTTGGAGCCACCAGTGACGGAGACACCGCTCCAGGACCAGCCAGAGCAAGAGCCCTTGCCGCAAAGAATCTGGACCTCGGTACCCTTGGAGCCAACGTTGCCCTTGACGTTCTTGACGGTGAGGCCAGTGATGGGGACACCGGTGGTGGGCTTGCCGGTGGGCGAGCCGTTCTCGTAATCCTGCTGGATGGTGATACCGTACTTCTCGATGTTGGACAGGGTGATGCCGCTGTAGGTAACGTCGGAGACGGAGCCGGTGGCGCCGTAGACAGTCTTGATGCGGACACCGTTCTGGGAGTCCTTGATGGTCGAGTTCAGGATCTTGACGCCCTTGACGACGTTGTCCTTGCGGCCACCGACGGAGCCGATGGACAGACCGTGGCCACCGGAGCAGTAGCCGTTCTGGAAGGTGATGTCGGTACCGGAGTTGATGGCAAGGCAGTCGTCCTGGTTGTAGATCTTGGCACCGGAGATGGTGACACCGTTGGAGGAGCCAACGTCGAAGGCGTCAGTGTTGTGGCCACCGGCGTTGTCACCGGCAGAGTTGTTGATGGTGACGTCGGAAACGGTAAGCTTCTCAGCGCCGTTGATGGAGAAACCCTGAACGGGCGTGTTCTTGACGTTAAGGCCCTTGATGGTGGAGGACTTCATGGAGTGGGCGTAGAAGAACTTGGGCTTCTTCTTGCCACCGTTGGTACCCTTGCCGTCCCACCACTTAGACCCGTTGCCGTCAATGACGTGGCCGGCGGCGCCGGAGACGGTGATGTCGGTACCGGAGACGGAGATCAAAGGACCCTCCCACTCCTTGTAGCCGAAGGAGGTGGTGCCCTTGAAGATGACCTGGGTGCCGCTCTTGAGCTTGGTGAGGTCGAGGGTGGTACCGGCAGGGACGGCGATGTTGTCAAGGGTGATGGTGGAGCAAGAGGCCTTGCCCTTGATGGCAGAAGCAGCATCCTTGAAGACGCAAGCACCGCGCTCCTCAAGAGCAGCAGGGGCGGCGGAAACGAGGGCGGCGCCGGCGCCGATAAGGAGGGTGGATGCCTTGACCATTTTGCAAGTTGGATGTTTCGATCAACGAAAGAGTGACTGAAGTGAAGAGTGCAGTGGAAGGAAAGAGGGAATGACTGTGATGGAGAAAAAAGACATTCTGCTGGCCGCTGGCCGGGTCTTATATACCACGGCGCGGCGACACGGCTGCCATACCATCGATCAACTGCGAGCGCTAAGACTTGATCGCTGCAAGGGTTGTGGGAGCTTGCCGGAAGGCGAAGCACTCTAACATTGAAGCTTGACAGAAGGAGATCATTCCAGAACACTTTACCGAATTTTAATATCCGAGCACTGAAGCGAACGGGCCGTACACACAAACATACGGCCGTCTCCCGGACTAGGGCATGGAGGCCTGGTGTTTAGCTGCGCAGACAACGGTCGTTTCCAAGAAAAGGCATGCATACCCAGCTCTGAATTCGCAGCTCTCTCGCACATGGACGAAGCAAGAAGTTGTTGCATCAGACAGGACTTCCATGGTGGTTGCCGGATTCCGGTGCATGGGCGGCGGTTGATGTTTCGTGACGTTGGACGAGGCGCGCTCTGACAGCGGGACTCCTTCCGGTTGAAGGTGCGCTAGAAGCAGCGAAGCGCGCCACAGGAATCATCATGCGGGTGAGGCGGAGGAGGACATGAGGCAATGCCGCAAGAGGCGTATAGGGCCGGCCGGAGTATGGAAATCCCGCGGCGAGATTGTTCAGGGGTCGCCGTCAGGCCCGTTCGCTTGTCTTCTTGAAACACCCGCTACAACCTGCCTCCACGAGAGTCTATCGAGTACGAGCAATCCAGCCTCAACGTGAGATGCAGCTTGGCCTCCGCATCTCTGCACGTCCAGCCGCCCGCGGATTCCGGCGGCTTCGTGACCCGCGTTGCCCCTATGTCCTACGTTTATCTGCGAATACGGTCTTCGCCAATTACCGCGACCGGCCGTACATACCTCAATGTGACGAACAACAGGCGATTCCGCCCATCACAGGTCCGCCGGCTGGCTCCTGCTGCAGCGCAACCCCGCCGATGCTACTCGATTCCCGGCTTGGCAACCATCTCAAGGAGGTGAAGGAACGGTCGGGACTGTATCAACGGCGGTTGCAGTGTCGGGACTCGGCGGTGTGCCAAAGACCACGGCTGAGCGCGATGCCGAGCTGCGGAAAATCCATGTTGGATGAAGCCCCTGTGATCGATCCCTGGAAGAATCCCTATCGATCCTCGGTCTTGGATCTCGAACCAAGCGATCATGGTTCAACATGTGGGCCGTGGACATGAGCTTGACATGATGCTTAGCTTGCCCCTTTTCAAGGCAAAGATTCGCGGTCGTGCTCAACCTCCAAACACCCCACCAGTTACTCGTGAATCCATTATTCTGCAGACGAGCTTGTATGCGCTGTCAACCCCTTTTCCATCGGGCATCCGTTCGCGGCTGCTGCCGATGCCTCTCGCACCGGCTCACGCTTTCCATGTGTCTCTGCTTGGATGTGCCTCAAATATTCCGTTAAGACCTCGGTAACGACAAACACCTGCATCCGGTATCACTGGAATTAACTACATGGCGATGGGCTAATGTTCGTATCACGAACGATTATACGGCCCGGCGTTGTCCCTCATACATCTCAATAAGGGGATGAAATGTCCTAAACCGAAGAGTGCAGTAAGTAGCTCCATTTGCAGGGCGAGCCGTCATGGTAGAGCTAAAGCAGCCGACCAAACAGCAGTTGCGTTTCACTCTATATTCAGGTCTGTGCCTACACAAGCGCGTAAGACCATAGGTCTCAGAGAACAAATTATCTCGATCCTCCTCGCTGAACTTTACCTTGCTACCTTTTGAATGTTACCTCCCAGCTTGTCGATAGCCGGTATCGCTTGTCCGCCCTCCTCTCTCTCCTGCCTCGTTGTTTATGAGTTACGAGTTCTCGCTCGCGCCTTTTTTTGCGCACCCTGTTGATTCAACCTCGTTCTCCATCGCAATCGCGAACCTGCAACGCGCCACCAGTTTCTCGGCGTCTGATTGCGCAGAGTTCATCGTGTAGCTTGCAACTTTCAAGCCAGATTGCGCAGCTCACTGATGGCCAGACCACACGACTCTGATTTTGAGCATGTCAAGTCTAAAGCCAACATGGATCAAGGCCACGGTAGACGCTGCTCCCTCGCACTTCTGACTGCTCCCATATTCGCGTCTCGTATTCCAAGAGCCGTGTGGATGTCACTTGGACCGCCACTGATGTGTGGGTGGGTTCGTTCATCACCTCACAGGATCGTTAAGTTCGTTGCTATAAGGTGATGAAGGCTTGCTGCCCGAATCTGACATCGTCAAAAACTTCTACACACTCACTCCGACTTTGACAGCGTTGCTAACTGTGCCAGCGTTTTTCGCAAGGCCAAAGCCTCCATATAGTACATTAACTGCAGGCTTGGAAACCGCGTCAGCTGCGTCTCCCTTGATCGGATTCGTGACGACATGCCTATGTGGATAACCAGCCTAACTAATCCCCAAACCATTCAACGCCGACCATGTGAACCGCCCGTCACGGTAAAGGTAAGATTTTTCAACGCCTTGATCCAGCGGGAGCCAGACCAGGCACACCGCTATATCTTTCTTCGCGTTCGGTCTTGAAGAGCACCTGGATCCAGAACTCCTTGCTATCCTCGTCAAACCAGGTCCAGAAGCGTCCTTCTCTCCTATCAACTTCACGGGCCTGGAGCTTGAAGCCGCAAGTCTCGTATGGTTCCGCAGCCACGAGTAGGTACTGGAAGTTCTTGTCTGGGGGATCCTCGATCTTCTGTTCGAAAGCGCTCATGAAGCGAACTCGGGGGACGATGCCGGGGGTGATCTCAGGGTACTGAAGCTGGAAGAGCAATCCGTGCTGGCGAGTGAGAGGGTCGCGCGTCTTTGTGATTTTGTAACCCGGCCTGCCAATCTTGACTACGTTCTTCTTGACTTGGACCTGGCTCATTCCAGGCAGCAAGCCTTCCTTGTCCCGTCCCTCCTTCTGTTCGCGGGCAGCACGTCGTGCCAGGTTGGTCTGGTGCTTGCGACCTTGGGTATGTGCGAGATACGAGCCATCGTTCTGGTGGACTGTCAAGCAGAGACGGCACTCGAAGCTGCCGACGTGGTTCTTGAAGAAGTAAGGGTCCTTGTCGAGATCGATAGTCTCAAGCGCGAGCTTGCGGAGACGTTCGCGACGGTCGGCATTGGTTGCGGACTGGGAGGCGACACCACCTCCGCCGAACTTGGAACCAGCGCGATTCTGCAGGGCACGGGTAAGTCAGTAGGGTGCGCGAGTTGAGCGGCGAGCAGGGCTGCAGACCTGGTAATCCATGGTTGCACGATGGGACGAGCAAGCAAGGAGAAATTGCTGGCTGTACGCGTGATGCGCGTAGGTGAAGATGGGTGCGCGCGGGACGCGGAGGTTAGGTTGCGGGCAGTTGCGAGCAGTTGACGTGAATTCCGCGGCGACGGCACGGACCACGGACCAGGCGCGGATGTTTGCATTGTTTGTCCGTCCCCACATCACCCCAAACCAACTACAACCTTTTGTCAAGGACAACATGTTGCGGCACAACACTAGAAAGCGCGTCTTGTTTCGAAACAGCACCTAAGCCCCTTAAAGGCAAGATCAAGCAATGACAAGCACGGCAATCCAAACACCATATCACCCGAAAATTCATGGCAATTCGACCTTGACTTCCCGCGACTATCTGCATAAAATATCGCTAATGGTTGGCCACAGGTCACATAGTCACAGTCGCAAGCAAATGTGACCATAGAGAAAGGCTTCATTTTCCGCCGTTCCATGTATACTTCCTTGTTGACGAGAGTTTTTAAACATATATGTCAGATTAGGGTCAAGAGCTAACTAGACGAGCAACAGTGAAGGCCTGAGGCACAATAATGCCGGTTTAGATCTTGACAACGGTGTCAGTCTTTTTTATAGCCTCCTCTTGCATGGTATACGCCTGCGAACAGCCCTGGGCTGCTTCCACTCATCCAAGCGGACGTCCTTTAGACCTTAGTCTACATCGAATCCAAAGCATAGGTCGTCAATATTCTTATAATACTTCTCCATCTCTTCCGCTCTCCCTTGGTTCCGCGGTCATATTTCTCAGGGCCTCTACTTATTTTGTTGGAAGTATCTTCTAGAGGGCCATTGGCCTTAAGAAACCTATCACGCCGGCCTGTCCTGTGCCAGTTCTAACGATGCAGGTAACATTTTTCTTCCCCGTAAACACCCATTTAGCCTCCGCAATAAATTATTTGATAGAATCGTTAGAATCTAGGCTAGAGCCTACAGAATCTTCACCATCTGACTCAATCGATACATTTAAAGAAGTTTGAGACGGCCGATATCGATCTGCTAGCTCTCAGGTTATGTATTCGTATGCTCTATTGCTTCGCACAGTACAACTTCGGAAGCGCCTCGGAGCATATACGTTCAATTCCGGCATATTACAAACGAAGCTACGAGATGCAATGGTAGTTTTCCACTTTTATCATTATTCAACTAACGTTTTGCAGCCTAACTATTGGCCTTCACTCCCAAACATCTTAGCCTCACCTCACTCCGGCTCTAGCCTAAGCTCGACTTCCCCTTTTATATCCTTCTACAGGATTGTTGCCCTAAGGGTACCATCATTTCCTAATGGTTTTGTTTTGAGAAATATTCGTTAAGCGAGAAATTCGTGAATTTGTACAGCCTATATAGCGGAAAGGTAAAATCTACCAAGGAGGATCGCTGTAAGCTCACATGCTCACCAGTAGGTTTCTTCTACCCAGCAACAAGTTTAATTTTACCAATGCTACTTGCCTCTTGTACTTATGCCCCCAATCAGGAATAGGTATTCGACAGTTGAGGAGGTATGGCCGGGCCACATATTCGTTAAATACGGGTCATGATTTCTTCGAAGATTAGCAGTTCAGATAGTTTCCTGATGCTACCTCCGTCTACACTGTGTTCAGTGAGTTTGCTTTGCTAAATGGTAAACTAACCCAAGGATAGCAAATGTAACCCACGCTCAATTTTTATCTCAGACACGTTCTGGTCATAAATACAATGAAGAATGGCATTTGAGAAAGAACTCATAAAGAGCTTTCCCGAAACAGGACGAAAATGTGCGTCGAGATTTCTTAGCGTATGTCTCACTGCTCGAAGTTTGGTAAACTTTATTCAGACGAGTGCTGATGTTTGCACGTTCAGTTGGAGTGGGGTATGGAAGTATCTACCCCGCAATATCAGCTTGACTGTACACGGGTTTTTCCCCTTACGTCGAGTAAAGAGGAAATGTATTTTTAGCAAGAGTTGTTTTTGGCCACCAGTCCCTTTCCGCCGTTAACCGTTTATAGACAAATTGTTAATAGATCGGCTCTATAGTCTAGGGAAAGCCTCGTAAGCCTCCTTCTTATGTTCTTTCAAACCCATTTTATGCCAAGATTAAAACCATAGTATTTTAAAATTCTCTATCCATCAAGAAGAATAATTGCCGGATTGTATTCTTTCATTTAAGTGAAGTTATGAGGAACCGCAGCAATTAAATCCTTCTAGATTCCTCCGTACATATAAACATCACTTCGCGGCTTCTATACTTAGTGATGTCCAGTCGACAATATTGTAGGCGATATAGAAACTTGCACTACTAATCCTCAACACTCATCATACCTCTCAAAATCCCCCATGGGTTCGCGAACAACCATGAAGAGACAGTCGAAAAGATTTCCGGTATACGAACGCTAGTAAAGCTGTTCTCTCTACCGATCTTAAGAACTTTACCAGGATTTAGGAAAGAAGCCATCGTTGATAACAAAAGAAGTCTTAATAGGGGCCCTTCGGAATGTATAATGCGTACACCCTACTTCTATGGACCATGAATTGAATCAGCACGTATCATGTTGCTCCTGCACAACGCTACCTAGCATTCAACGAGGCAGGACTACCTTCAAGGCAGCAGGATCACTGCGATGAATGATCATGTCGCTATCTTGTCAGACGAAACGGTCAAACTAGCATGCCTCCATTTAGACAAAGAATCTGGGCTCGAAGAAACTAAACTCGATGATGGCATGGACGACGTCGACATCCCCGACCTTTCAGTGTACCAGGCCATGTCAATGTTTTTACATGCATCATTGTTATTAGATCCGGTGGACATAGAGCGGAACTACAGGACCGGGAATCTATTAGCCTGAAGTAGTCTCTCCTGTAAATGAATTGGATAAATGTTCGCGTCCTCGAACTTGGATTGCGAGCCCCTAACAAGTCAGTTCTTCTCAAAGAACACACATTAACTATCTCGCCTTCAGATGCATTTCATCACCAGTGGCGTTATTCGGAGCGTAAGGATTATTACTGTGTTATGGTTAACTATATTCGCATAAAGCGAAAGAAACCACATCCCACAATTTACTTGGACCTGGTTGTCTGGAACAAACCAAGATATCTTCATTTTCATCATGTCTATTCTAAACTGACTACTCTTCACGCATGGCAATGGAGTATATAAAGCAAGTAAAACAAACAATGGGCCGGTGATGCAGGCTCAACCCTATTTATTTGTCCTTGTCCTCCTTAAGCGTCACGATGCGGTTCAATACGACGTTGTCACCCTCCCTCTCAGGGTCAATGCAGAAGTATGCCGTGCGCATAGCCTGGAACCTGACCAGCGCGTCACTGCCGCCCGCAGGCTTCGTGTCCTGCTTGGCCGTCAAGACGTCCAGGCCCTTCTCGACAACAGCGCCCTTGTGTAGGACCTCGCTGTTAGGGTTCAAATCGTCAGCGTAGCCGCCATTCTTCCAGTCCAGGCCGTTGGGCTCCTCGGCCTTGAAAATCGCGTTGTACTCGCGCGCGACGACCGTGTGGTGGAAACCCGGGCGCGCGTCAACCCAGTGGATGTAGGCCTTGGGCTTTTCGCCCTCAACCTTGGTGGCGCGGATCTCCGTGACCTTGCCCTCGGCATCCTTGGTGAAGGTGGTGGCGCGTACAGCGAAGGGAAGGTTGAGGAGACCGACCGTCTTACCTGGTGCGAGACGGAAGAAGTTGGGGTCATCCTCTTCCCGGAAGTCGGAGCGGTCGATGTAAACGGTGGACGAGTACGTAACGGTGCGCTTATCGCCCTCGGGCTTCTTCGGGTCGAAGGGCACCGAAAGCTCGCCGGCTTGGTCTTCGGGCAGGTCCTCAACGACAATCCTGATCGGGTCGAGGATAAGGGAAAGACGCGGAACATTACGCTCGAGGTACTTGCGCACAGTGTTCTCAAGACGCACAGTCTGGATGCTAGTGAGAGCGTCGGTAACACCGAGTTCCTGGACGAAACTGAGGAGGGCCTGGGCGGGGATACCGCGACGACGGAGAGCAACGAGAGTGTAGAGACGCGGGTCATCCCAGCCACGGACAGCAGGGGGGATGGTCTTGGTGGATGTGGTACCATCGGCGTTCTTTGTCTCCACAGTGCATCCCTCAACGAGCATGGCGATGCGGCGCTTGGAGAGGATGGTGCCCTCAACGTTGAGACGGCCATATCTGCCATGCAATTAGTCTTGTCTTCAGTTACTGAGCGCCAGTGAGCTACTCACTCTCTCTGCATCGGACCCTTCTCTTCCGACTTTGGAACCTTCATGTCCAAAATCTCCAGCAGCCAGTCGTAGGAAATGCGCGACTGCTGAAACTCGGTAGTACACAGCGAGTGCGAGATGTTCTCGAGAGCATCGCAAATGCAGTGAGTGAAGTCATAGGTAGGATAGATCTTCCACTTGCCGCCCGTACGGTGGTGGTGGTTCTTCTCGACAACGCGATACGCTGCCAAATCCCACATCTGAGGATTGCCTTCATTTTGATCCACCAAGCTCTGCTTCATCCGCAGAAGCGCCTCACCGGCCTTGTATTTCCCGTCGCGCATGGCACGGAATTCCGTGAGAGATTCTTCGATCGGCCTGTCACGGTGGGAGCAGGCGAAGCGTTCGCCGCCTTTGTTTTCGCCGCGTTGGCGGTTGACCTCCTCCTCTGGACTAATGTTAGTCCAGGAATACGCGCAAGTTTACCGGAGTTTCCTACTGGTGCAGTGACACACGTAACCCTTGTCCTTCTTGATCATCTCCTCGGCCAGTTCGTACAGCTTGTCGAAGTTGTCGCTGCTGTGGGTGATCTGGTGAGGGCTGAAGCCCAACCAAGACACCATTTCCTTGATCGAGGTGAAGTATTTTTCCTCCTCCTTGGCGGGGTTGGTATCATCGAAGCGAAGTATGCAGATGCCATCGTAGTTCTTTGCGAATCCAAAGTTGACCGCGATGGCCTTGGCGTGACCGATGTGCAGGTAACCATTGGGCTCGGGCGGAAAACGAGTGCGGACCTCCTTGACGGGCTTCTCGTTGTAGACGCGCTTCAACCAGCCTTCCTCGAAAATGTTGGCGGGGGTGGAGGAGGCAGCGGGCTTGGGTCTGAGGGCAGCTTCAGATTTCTGGGCGGCTTTCTTGGCGGCGGCTTCAGCCTTCTTGCGGGCCTTTTCGGCGGCCCGCTTGGACATCTCGGGTGGCGCACCGGCGTCGGCCATAGTGGTGGTAGTGATCGTGGAAGCGTGGAGTGTAGAGATGTAAGGTAGGTGAGCGCGACTGAGGGCGGTGGTGGTGGGGTTTGCCCGCGATAAAACATGACTCATGCGCACACGGCCTGACAGGCGGCGACAGGGCGATCAAATACTGCAAGACTGTTCTGACAGACATCCCGCAACTCGAAGGCGTTTGATTTTCGGTAAGACAAAACGGCACTGCTTGGTTTCGGGTCCGTCTCAAGGAAGCCGGCGGAAAGAGAGAAAGAGTATGTGTGATATGCCAATGCCATAACTGGTTGCTAACCACTTTTACTCGGGTCAGTTGTTGTCCAGTGGCTTGCTGTAGATTTGACCAAGAGAGCTGGGTGATTCTATGGTAAGTAGTAAATTGAGAGGGCAGTACGTGGCGCTGCGAACTGCAAACTTTTTGTAGGCGCACATTCAGTATTAAGAAAAGCACACGGCTATGGTCTTAGTAGATGTAGTCCAGGTTATTAACGGATAGCCATCGTTGATTGGTTACTTATTTGGTTCTGAATGGCTACCTCCTGTCAGTGACTGAGTTTGCCAATGAATGGCTATAGCGCTGGCTAGTCGCGAGGCACTGTACAGCGCCATGACACGGTGATTAAGGAAGGTTAAATTCAGTTGATTTTGAAAACATAAGGAAATGACACAAAACATCCATGTAGTTACCACCGTAGCAGAATGTGCTTGTCGCTTCCCCGTACATACTTTTTTACGAGATCTCTTGTCATCGCTAATTGGTGTGCTCGTCAATAAAATCAGTCGACCACCTTCTTACGGATATGATGTTGAGACACCTTGAGACCAAGTCGATTTTTTATATCAGGCCGGTCTCACACAGTCGTTCAATTTCTGCGAAAACCCAAATCAAAGCTATAATGACAAATGGATACGTGCCAAACTATGACATCTTTGAAATGTTCGACGAAGCCTTTTGTGGGGAGTGTAAGCGCAAGTGGGGTTGGCCTAAGTCATTATCAATATTCGTACTCCGCATGCCCGCTGATCACTCTTTTACACGATTCCTTCCACTGTGTCACTGAAGCGCTCGGGACTGTACGGGTCGCTGAATATCAGTGGACGAGCAAAGAAACGGCCCGTACAGCGCCAATCGTGGACTGCGGATGTGATTCCGCAGCCGCAATCTGGAGACGGTATTTTCACCGCCGACACGTCTGTGGAGTGTGGGCTGGTCGAAGGAACTCAGGAAAAGCCAACCGAAATCATTTCCCTTCTCGCGGCAGATTGGTATGAGCTAGACACCTTCGAGCTTGGAGTGTTCTTGTATCATGGAAGTGTTTCGGTGCCGCTCGGTCAATCCAGGGGGATGACTCCTGAATGACAAAGGTGCGACGCTGGACAGGATACATGACAAGAGGTTCAACTAAACACGACGTCGTTGCAAGGCCTGAGGGTGGAAGGATCCGCAAGCCGGCGGACGTCGGCGACATATTTTGGTCTTTGGGACGCTCAATTACCGTAACGGGCAAAAAGTTGGCCATTTCGGGAGTTCTGCGGAAGCGTGGCTGCATCCTTCGTCTGTTCGCTACCGACTCGGGAGGTTCGGGTCAGGCGTCCAGGGGTCGGTGCATGTCAAACAGACAGCTGGAACCTGCTGGCAAGTTGCAACGGCCAGTGGTTCCCCGCACGTCAGAAGCGGGCACGTTTGGGTAGTGCGGGCGGCCTAGCATCCTTTCGCTACGGTTTTTACGACGACAGTCCTCTGCGCGACTTGGCAGTACCGACAGTGCGCCAGCAACGCGCACTCTTTCATCTCGTCCATGACCGTATCGGCAGCGAAGATTGATCGGGTTTCGCTTCTCCGGTCGCAGGACGACGCGACGACTCGTGCCGTCGCGAGCCGACAGGGAAGATGGCTGCGTAGCGACGATGGTGAGACAGGGTCCGGCTTGCGCAATGCACTATGAACGTCACAAAGGATGTTCGATGCATTCCCAGTGACAGTCAGCAGCTTCGATCTTAACGGCATCCTCTTAAGCCCAGCACGCAAGCTTACTCAAGGGCAATATTTGCTCTGGCCTATTCGGCGGGGGTAGCGGTCCGCAAGCTGATTTACCCGTATTCAGCGATCATATAGCCCTTTTAACAGGAAATCGGCTCGGATCGCGACCGAGGGGAACGAGAGACGCGAGATGGGAGACGATGTTTCCAGCCTTGTCGCGTGGGAGACGTCCGGTGACATTCACCCCATGAAACGAGGCGTGGTAGCATCGACGGGTGACAGCCGACCAGGCGAACGGCAGTTATTTGGCACGTTTGAGAAGTTTAATCGTCTATCTTTAGCATCAAAAGACGGTTGCGTTTCAAACATGCCAAATATTTAACCTAGCGGCGAAGCGAAGCGAAGCGTTCCTTGGCCCGATCGGATGAGCTAACTACTCCTACCTACCTAGCTACCTACTCGCACTGCCGTTGAGCTCTGCGTGGAAACATCAATTATGAAGATCGTGCAGGTGGCGGCGCGGGCAGATCCTCCGGTGCTGATCGTAGTTATTGGAACTTTGGAAGTCATTTCCTAACAGAAGGGCGCTTGGGAGTCGGTGGGAGCAGCATCGAGCCTGAGGACGCGACGCGGCAGAGCGGGAGGTGGGTTCGTTGGGCTGGAGGGAGCAGCGATCGGCCGGCACTCAAGCCGACGACAAGAGGCGGTCGAGGAGACGGATCGAGGCGGCCAGACAAACTGAGATCGACGGCGCGCCGGGGCCCAGCACCCAGTGCAGGGGCGCTGGGTTTCAATCTCCGCGCGTTCGTTGCTGCGCCGCCGGGAAGCCTGCCTGTTCGGGAGCGTAGCGATGCCGGTTGTGGCTGCCCCATTGCCCGCCTCGCAAGCACCGTCCACAAACAGGCAGCCCGCCTATCCTCCTGAGCCCCGCCGCAGGCTCTACTGTTCCTGCGTTCGCGCCTTCCATATCTTCTGCTCTCACCCCGGCCTTGGCACCTTCTCCGAGGTGCATTCGCTCTTTCAATCCTTCTCCACCAACCACACCCCGCCGCCCGCCATGGAGGACAGAAGCCAGGAGGTCCTGGCCGTTGCCGTGCTTTTCTTTGCCATGTCGTGGCTGGCTGTCATGCTGCGCGTTTACGTCCGAATCATCCTTCTCAAGAGTTGGGGTCTCGACGATTGGGCCATGGCCGTGGCCCTGCTATGCTTCACCATCTACCTGATTTGCCAGCTCGGAGGCGTCTACTATGGCACCGGCCGACATTATCATGACTTGGACGAAAGCGACTTCCACAAAGGCTTAGGCGTACGTAGCGCCGCCTGCCTTCTGTGAACCTTGCATGCTAACCGTCTCTAGTTCTGGTGGCTTTGCGAAATCTTCTACGTTTTGAGTTCGACATCACTCAAGGTTGCCATCGGCCTTTTCCTTCTGCGCATTGCTGTCAACAAGCAGCACATTGTCATCATTCACGTCATTAATGCCGCATCAATTGTCTTTGGCTTGGCCTATGTGTGCGTCGTCGCCTTTCAGTGCACGCCGGTCCACACCTTCTGGACGATCCGGCCAAACAACCCCAATTGCCTTCCCAGAGACACCGTCGCCAACGTCACGTACGCCGCCAGTGCCTTGGCATCATTCGCGGATTGGACTTTCGGTGCGTTTATTGCACGACCGTAGCAGCGTAACCCACAGTGCTGACTCCAATCTCAGGTATTCTCCCGGGCTTCATCGTTTGGGATCTGCACATGAACAAGCGCACCAAGATAGTAGTGGTCGGAATCCTGGGCTTCGCGGCCATCGGCAGCACGGCTACACTGGTCCGCATTCCGTTCATCAAGGGCCTCAAGACTCCAGACGACTTCCTCTGTACGCCGCCCCTGAATATCAACCATGACACTTCAAACTAATCTTGTACCATAGGGACCTCAACCGACATTGCCATCTGGTCGACGATTGAACCCGGTATCGGTATCACTGCCGCATGTATCGCCACGTTGCGGCCGCTGCTCCAAATGTTCTTACACCGCACCGGTCTCAGCACTCACTCGCACACCAACACCACGCCTTTCACTCCCAACTGGGGCTCAGGCAACCACCTCGCGACTAAAGGTCGCGCGGGTTACATCCGCAGTGGCAGCTTCGCGCATGGTATGGAGACTCTCCGGCCCGACTACTCGGGCACGACGACCACCGTCACCGGTCGCGGTGACAAGAGCTGGCGCTGTGACAGCGATGACAACAGCTTGGAAGAGAACGTTGCCACTAGCTGCAATGGTGTGCAAATCAACAAGACGGTGCAAATCACCCATATAACCGAAGAGGCGGCAGAAGATCATCACAACCACAGAATATCGGGTGATGATGCAGTATAATGGGCAATTTTTCTTCTTCGAATCTTCCTTTCTCCCTAGGGCAAAAGAAAAAAAGGTGGCATGTTTGATTCTACATATTCGACTCGGCGTCCGGGGTGGCGGTGATGGCGCGCGGTGCAGCTCAAAGCGAGATACCTGGACTGTTATTTTTTCGATTTCTAGCGCCTTCGCGTGGGCATATTCTCTTTCTCTTTTCTTTTCTTTTCTTTTCCTTGCTCTTTTTCCCTTTGTCGATATCCACCACATGACGAGCCACGTGCGCTGCTCATCTTTCATCTTCACTTCTTTCCCTGTCATTCTATTACCTATTACCCGTCTCCAATCTACGGCCCTTTGGCGGTGAGGGCCGTGCGCGAAGCCTCGGGCGTTCACATCAGTAATCACTGCCAAACCATCAACAATCAATTACTCACTCACTCGCACGCGCGTGCTCTCTACATCATGCAACCATGCACTTAAGTCCAGTTATCGGGTCGTGTGGATCCGTACGTAACACCGTGCCTCGACGATGAAACTGCCGCTTCCGTACGCGTCCTCTCTACTTCACACAATCATGCACTCCCGTCGTCCAACCGTGCAGATACGTACGTTAAAACGCGTGTCGACGAAACCGCCCGCTCTCCGAAAAAAAGCTTCTGCAGAATGTATAGGCACATCGGAGTGGAATTAGGCGCCTGTGGCCGAGCTTCTAAGTCGCAATTTGCTGCCTCCACAAGTATTGAAACCTAAGCTTTCTGCGGCACTGACATTACTTACTCCACAACGGCCCCGTTCCACTCCGATGCGCCTACACCATGTACCTTGATATACCGCCTGTTCCTCCAACGCCAATCAAAATGCGGACAATCGCCAGTGGGAACTCTCTCTAGACCTTAAGCCAGAGGGAAAGCACACCCTTGGCGTACTCGACGATCTCATCACCACCCAGCTTGCTCTCTCCGTACAGACGGTCCACGAAGGTGATGGGCACCTCGGCGACCGAGAAGCCCATAGCCTTGGCCCTAACCATCATCTCCATCTGGAAAGTATAGCCCTTGCTCTCGGTGCTGGTGATGACCTTGGCCAGGACCTCTTTCTTGTACAGCCTGAAGCTACCGGTGAGATCGCTAACGCCGGGGCGCAGTAGGGTGTCGGCGAAGAGGTTGGCGCCGCGACTGACAAACTTGCGCTTGAGGTCCCAACCGAAGACGCCGCCATTGCCGGCGTAGCGCGTGCCGGTGACGATGTCGTAGTTGCGTACCTTCTGCACCTTGACCATCTCGGCGATGAACTTGGGGTGGTGACTGAAGTCGGCGTCCATGATGATGACATAGTTGCCCTTCGCGAACTGCAGGCCGTGGACGTAGGCCGTGCCCAGGCCCAGCTTGCCCGCGCGCGCCCTCAGTTGAATGTGGTTGGAGCCGTACGCCTTCTCGAGCTGCTTGGCGACCTCTTGAGTGCCGTCGGGCGAGCCATCGTCGACAATGATGACTTCCCAGTCGAGGTTGCTATAGCCTTATTAGTGGGGTCGTTCCATCCAGGGAGGGCTGGCCACCCGGTAGGTGAATCGCGACAGGTCAGCGAGTCCAGCGGTGAAAACTGGCAGAACCATGTCGCGATTCGTCTGCTGGGCACTCCTAGGCTGAGGGGTAGAGGAGACGTACTGCTCAGTAAAGGTCTTGTTCAGCAACCAGACGATAATGGGGAGGTTGCGGCGCTCATTGTAGGTAGGCAGAAGAACAGAGTACTTGTCGCCGGCCATTGTGGAAAGGTGTATGGAGGTTCAATTGGCGGGTTAAGGAGCGACTGGGTTTGTGAAGGGGGGGATCTGGAGCTTGTGAAGCTAGGTGGCTTGGTGTCTTCCCCGAACGCCGGGGGTCCCTGGGCCGTTGAGATCGAGATCACGTGGATGATAAGATAAACCATCTCCGTCGACAACTTCAATTCAAGTCTTTCGACGTTGGGCAAACACAGTTTTTTGATATTCATTATCAGTAAATGATTAGTCTCCTCAAAACCTAAGGCGCGCGCATCTGCACAGTTTCTCTGAGCGGTTGGCTTTCGGCGGTAACCATTTAGCTTCGAGGATTCTCAGGTCGCTTTCAAGTGCAGCTATAAAGTTTTCTGCGAGTGAATAGGTCCGGTAACAGCTCGATTCTCGAACAACGTTAATGTTCTACGGCTCCGTTGTCCGCCTCAGACGCCCTGTCACGTGGCGCGCGTTGTTCTGCCAGCTGGGCTGTGACGCGCACCCACGCGTCTCTACGCGTCGCCTGTCAGTACAATTTCAATTCCCATCTGAACCACCAAAACGCACCATGTCCACCGACAATAACAACGTCGCTGCCACACCCGCCATTGAACACGAACCACCCTCCCTCCCTGCCTCCCCGCACCCCAAGCGCAGCCGCAACATCGAGCCGGAACCCTCGTTGCCCGCAGCAGTTCCCTCTGCCGCCAGCGCCAGCCTTGCCGCCGGCGACGAATCCGGCACCGCGACCCCAACGCCCCTCGCCATGTCTAGTAGCACCGCACGCGCGGCACCCGCTCCGGAGAGCACCACGCTGCAGATCGAGCTGCTTTCTCCAGGAGCGCGCGCCCCAACCAAGGGCTCCCCCTTCGCCGCTGGCCATGACCTCTATGCCTCCGCTGACACTATGATCCCCGCGCGCAAGTGGGCTCTTGTCCCGACTGATATCAAGATCTCCGTCCCTGCGGGAACCTGTACGTCACCCTTCGTTTGTTTAAGCTGCAGACAAACCTAAATCAAGCTGACTGCTCTTCCTACCTCCAGACGGCCGCATCGCGCCCCGCTCCGGTCTTGCTTACAAGCATGGCATCGACACTCTTGCTGGCGTTATTGACGCAGATTACCGCGGCCCGGTTGGCGTCCTTCTTTCCAACCTCGACGATAAGGACTTTCCTGTTAAGCAGGGCGACCGCATCGCCCAGCTCGTCATTGAGAAGTGTGTCATGGCTGAGGTCGCCGTCGTCGAGAAGCTGGAGGACACTGTTCGCGGTGCGGGTGGCTTCGGTAGCACTGGCGGCTTTGGCAGCAATGGCACGGCTTAGATAGGTTCAGTCCATGTGCATAGTAGTGTAAGAGTGATTGGGAGGAAGAAGGATGGGATGTGTTTCTGCATTTAGAATATACCTAGCGAGATTCGCGGCTTACTACGGCTACATGATACTTTACTGAAGCGAATGCATTAAATCACTATAGATTTAGACAAAAAGATAATGCAATCACACCTATAATATGCTCCTATGGATATATTAAACGCTTCCTTTGGTTTACTTCTTGAATTCTGAGCCTGCGCTCGTGGTGAGACGTGAAGCTATCATAAAAACACCTACGTACCTTCTGACCATTGCAAGAGGCCAGAGATGGCAAGTATGGAACATTGAGGAGTCATCATGATCCATCCCATCCACTTATCTGATCATCTAGACCACCAAGTGAAACGGTCCATGCTCTACGGGTCCAAGCTTCGCGATGGAGTCTTGGACTTTTGGACTGAACTTGGCGCTTGCCCTTACAGACATGTGGGCACAGGCTTGCCTTCGAGCGTGCGTTGGCGGGTCAGTGGTACTGGTCAGTGCTGGTCTTCCGGACTGTCCCCGGCCGAGCATTGACGGCAAAGCAAGGCGGCAGTCGGCACACGCCGGGAGCTCGGAGCTCTGGATAATGTACGGTGGTATTGTAGTCGTCCGTATTGCGCGAGGTTGTTTGTAACGTATCACGCCCGGACCGTCAGAGGGAACCTTGGTGTCAGCCGGCAGAACTGCGGTATTTGTTTGAGATGAGCGCGACGCGACCCACGCGCGTCTTGCACCCGCGTCGAGACTGACGCTTACTCCGTCACTCCGTATACCCCTCTCCCGCTCCACTGCCACCCGCCATGGCCACCGTAACCATGACTGCCAACTCCGACCTGAGTACCCGCTGCGGTGCCGTCCGTGCCGAATTGAAGACCTGGGAGAAGCAGTTCGCTGCCGCCAACGGAGGCCGCAAGGCAGGACGCGGTGACATAAAAGTGAACGCGAGCATCGGTACGACTGCATGAATGCAGACCAAGGCAAACCTGGCTAACATGGTGTTGCAGCATCCAAGTACAAGGAATACAACAAGCTCCGCGACATCCTCGACGGCAAGACCAAAGCCCCCAGCAAACCTGACCAGCCTGCCTCGCCCAAGCGCAAAGCCTCCGCCACCCTTCCGACGTCAGAGACTCCCACCAAGAAAGTAAAGACGGCCTCGAGCATACCGGTCGCCACACCTACCCGACACTCTGCCAACCGGCCAAGCGTGCAAGAAAAACTCCTCTCCGCGTCAAAGCTTTTCTCCCCGTCCCACGCCAAGCTCATGCTTGGCCCCACGCCGCAAAAGGACGGTATTGTGTTAGGAATCTTCGACCTGCTCCCGACCGAAAGCCCAAGCAAGCCGCGCACCGTTCTTGGCGACATCGAGGCCAATACGCTGCGCACACCGCAGAAAGCCACCTCCTCCTACACTGACGATGAGCTCCTTCAGAGCGGCCGGCTCTTCAGCCGCACACCCGTCTCTGAGGGCAAACGTAATTTTCTGGACCAATTCGCGACGCCCATGAAACGGAAGCGTGGCGATGAGCAGGGCACGCCGTCTTCCAGGGGCCAAGCCACTCCGATGTTCCTGCGGAGAGACTTTAGGACACTTGAGACTGTGGCGGAGGATGTGCCTTTGAGCCCTAAGCCGAGGAAACCCAGGAGCTTCATCCGAAGCTTTAGCACCATCTTGCAAGAACGGAAGAAGGAGATGGAAAAGGACAAGAAGAAGGAGCAAGAGGAACTGCAGCGACAGGAAGCCCAAAGACAGCAGGAGGAGCCCGACTACGACGATGATGAGGAAGCCCTTAGGGAATTAGAAGCAGAGGCAGAAGACCTGCCCATGCCCAAGAGAAAGGCCACGGACGTACTCGTCGCAGACAGCCAGGCCACCATGAAACTCGGCGCCGACGGCGAAAACCTCTCCGACACGGACGAAGCCAGCGACGCAGAAAATGACGGCCAACAGCCGCGCAAGGCGTGGAAGAAGCGCGGCCAGAAGCGCCAGACCAAGCGCGTCATCATGAGGCCCGTCCGCACGCGTCCGCAGTCACAACCCTCGGCAGCGCCCGCTGCCTCCGATGGTGATGACGAAAGCGCAGAAGAGGGCGACGAGGTGCATGACGACGAGACCTCGGTCGTGCCCGAGACGCAGCTGCAGCATGCTACGCGCTTGGACCAAGACGACGAGTCAGACAGTGCGACCATTCCTGATGGGGAAGAATTGGACCACGGCAGCGACTACGATGACGAGGCACAAGCGAGTAAGAAGAAACCGCAGACTAAGCCGGAAACCACTACCACGGTAAAGAGCAAGACAAACGGTGCACAGAAGGAGGAAAATAAGGAAGAAAATATTGTCAAGAAGGCGGCGCGCAAGATTGGCGCGACGGCGCACGCGAACTTCCGCAGGCTGAAGATTAAGAACAAGAATTCCAGGGCTGGTGGTGGCGGAGGGAGATGGGGGCGGAGTAGGCGGTAGTGTAAGCTGTACTTTGTTAAGGGTATATTTTTTATAGGTGGTTGATTCATCATCCATCATTTTAGTGTGGAGCAACCGTTTCCGATGAAGACAGCAGTGTAGAAATACCAGCAGTGGTTCTCCAGCACACAGACCAGCACCTGCCTATAAGCACAAGTATAAATACCGGCTAAGTAGCGACCATATTTCCTCTGCAGCCACCAACAACCTCTGCAGTCTCAGACAAGCATTGGGATCCAACTCCAAGCATCATGCTAGGACAGCGCGCCCTCGCGCTTCTAGGGCTCCTGGTCCCCTTGAGCACCGCCCGCGCCTTGACGGAAATGCCCAAGGTAACGACGTACACGGGCATGTACCCCCGGAAACTCTGGACCGAGTATCTCCCCGATCAGAGATGGTGGGACATCAAGAGTAACGACAAGATGTTCTCGACGTGCTGGGCAGTTTGTATGGAATTTGATATCGAGTGTGGCGTGGACTGGGTAAGCTTTGTGCTGCTCCCTCGCTGTTCTCTCTCTCTCTCTCTCTCTCTCTCTCTGTATTCTTTTCCGTACGTGGGAACAAGGTGCAGCTTGCTGACGTGTACGGTAGTTGAATGTGGAAGTCGAAGTAAGTCTTCCCGTCTTACCCTAGGGTCATTATCTTATTCTTCTCGTTCTTCCCCATTCCTGCCTCTTCACAACACCACACTAACCCGCCCCGCAACAACCAGGGCTGCAAGACGTGCTGCGCCGAGCAGACGATCTTCACGTACAGCAGCGAATGGACGGGCCCCGAAGACGGCGTCTGGCGAGAGGGCCCGGAGACGGACTGGGGCAAGGACGACCTGTTCGACGACACGCTCGACCCCTACTACGACTGGGGCCAGACCGAGTTTGTCACTGTCGCCGGCGACTGGGACGATTATCGTTGACGACGGTTGACGTTGGTGATTAAGAGGGAATCGAGCGTACTTGCCGTGATGGGCGGACCTGCTCGTCGTCTGCCTGCTGTGTGTGATGGTGTACCGACCAATGCAATGTCATGGCAGGGCCGCCCTGAGTTGCAAAAAGTATTCCTTGACCTGTCTTCTAGAGCGGGTTGGTTATAGGTAGTCCTAATTGAACACCCCCTTGCCTAGCTACGAGCCTGGGTTGTGAGTTTGAGTGAAGAGCTTTATACGTATGCCGCAAAAATCTGAACTGCGTTTCGTTTCTACTCTGTACAAGTGTTATCATGTTTTTAGGTGGTGAATCTCGCTTGGCTGTGACAGACGTTGCCTATGGATTGTCGGGGTGGTAGATTCGTATTTAGCTAGCAGGGATAATTTTCCGGCGGTAACCTACTTAGGCAGTCGCTAGTGATTTTAAAGATAGCTGACAAAATATTCCGGATAAACCTTCGTATCGCTTACTTATAAGAGCTTAGAGTATACCTGAACAGGCTACCGCCGGAAAAACACCCCTGCTAGTTAAATACGAATCTACCACCCCGACACCAGATGATGCCTACTCATACTCTACGAGCAGTGGCAAGTCTACAAGTCTAAGGGTGAAAGATGGTGAAATTCGTAGCTAGGTTATGCTTCAAAGATATCTGCTGTATTCGTACAACCGGTGCCTATCCCGATCGTCCCTTACTACCTATCCATGCCCGTGAAACCTAGTAAGTTAAGGAATCGACAGTCAATTTTTGCCGCGACCTAACAAAGCTTCCTACAACGACGTGCACTTTCATCTTCATGTTTGTCACCTACTCAAGCACCGGGAGGGGGTGGAGGAGGCTGATCACCGGGAGGCGGTGGCGGAGGAGCATCGCCAGGAGGCGGCGGGGGCGGCGGGCTGCCTGCGGCTCCGTATCCGGCAAACATGCCGGGCATGCCAGGAGGCGGGGCGGGCATGCCCGGCGGAGCACCGTAAGCTGCGGCTTGGTCGCCATATCCTCCGGGGTAGCCGTAGCCATAAGACTGTCCACCCGGAGGCGGGGGAGGGGCAGCAGCGCCCGTTTGCCAGGGTGCCGCGCCGGGCGCCGCAGGAGGGGCACCGTAGCCTCCGGGAGCGCCACCATAGCCGTAACTTTCGCTGCCACTGCGACCACCACCGGCAGCCCAAGGAGGAGCCGAGCCGCTGTCGCGGTCTTCGCGATCGCGGCGAGGTTGATGCCAGGGAGCCGGACCACCGGTCGGGCCACGTTGCCAAGGCTTCATGTCGCGGTCGTTGCCATAGCCATCCGCCTCGTATCCGCCAGGGCCAGCTTCGATACGTTGCTGAGGAGCGCTCCCACCGATGGCAGCCGGAGCCCCGCCACCACCAAGTTCGGACATAAGCGCTTCGTACTCGCGATCGACAGCATCGCCTGCGCCAGGCCTGGGACCGGCGTTGCGCCAGCTTGCTCCACGTTGCCGGTCAGGGCAATCGCGAGCCATATGGCCAGCGTTACCACAGACACGACAGATGATGTTGGCGGTGAAATTACGCTGCTCGGGACAGTCGTACTTGCGATGACCGATTTGACCACAGTTCTGGCATGCCTGGTTTTCGTCGTCACGGAGGGTACCGTTGAGAGCGGCGAGTTCACGAAGTTGGTTGCGCTTGAGTTCGTTCTGGCCTTCGGGGATAGAAGCAGCCTAAGGAATGTGTTAAATTTGACACCATGAGGGACAAGGGACAAGCACTTACAGTCTCGATGACGTTGTGAATCAACTTCTTCGCCTTGTTGACCTTCTCCTCCGTGTCGGCCATGATCAAACAATGCAGGTCTTCTTCCTGGTTGCTGGTGTGAGCAGCGTCAGACCGACCCTTTCCTTCCTTCACGGAGCCCTTGCCACGAATGGCAATTTTGGCGCCAGACTCAGACTCCATTTTCTTGAGGGTGTTTCCACGGGGTCCGATAAGAAGTCCAACTGTTAGTAGCAAAGAAAAGCTAGAGTCAGTCAAATATTCCGTAAGTTATGCAAGGTGAGTGAAATGTGTTAGTGCAGAGAGCAACGCTGCGCACAAGTAGTGTCGCAGACTTTGAAAGAAATGATAAGAATGGGCAGATGTTAGAGGTTAGAAATCGAGGGTTAGCAATCATACTGAAGTTAATCTCCGGGTAGTCGTTGACCGGAACATAGACCTTCTCTTGGGTCTTTGTGGGACGCCTGTAGTCAGATGGCGGATGGTAGTTGGGAATGACCTTCATGGCCTTCTCAATCAGCTTGTGGCGCTCGTCCTCGAGGCGCTTGCGGTAACGGTATTCGCGGGTGTTGACACGACGACCGAAGTTGTCATACTGCGGCGGGGGCGACGGCGACCTGTCACCGTCGGCTGGCACAACGTCGTTGATCCTCAGCTTTTGGCTGATTTCTTCGATGCGCAAGTGCAAAGTATAAGCCTCCAGCTGCTCAGCAGTCATGTGCGCCGTGATGGCGGTCGTCAAGCCCATGAGGCCAGCGGCCTTGTTGTCCGAGGCATCGCCCCACCGATTCCGCTTCTTGCGCTTGCGCGTGCCGTCAGGGTTGAGCTCTGCTACGCGCGTCAATACACCGAACAGAGCGAAGGGAGGGGCTTGTGTCGAACTTACCACGAACGGGGCTGCGACCCCGCTTAGTGCCCATGTCGGTCAAACCCGTCGCGGGCGCAGATGGATCGTAGCCATCGCTTTCGCCCTGGCCAGACTCGCTGCCGAAGCGGCGGCGATTGCCCAACGGGATGTTGTTGGAACCGGTAATGCCCTGATTGCGCCACGACATGGTGATGGCGACGGAGATGCAAGGTGGTGGGTGATGGTTTGAGGTGAGACGCCGTCGCCCACGAAGAGGCGGAGCTTTTGGCCAAGAGTTTTAGCGCAACATCCACGTGATCATCACGCGCAGCTGCCATCGGGCACTTCGCCCAGCAGTCATAAGTGAAAGAGAAAATAGACTGGCTGGAATAATATAAGAAAAATAGGGACGATGAGAGGTGCTTAGCGTATTCTTAGCAGTCGCGCAGGAGAGGGTGTGGTGTGGCGAAACGTTCGATGCTGAGTAGATGTTTGACGTGTTTGCGAACATTTAGTATGGACCCTGAGAGACGTCTAAAGTCGCGTCTTGCAGAACCACTGTCAAATAGTTATCCTTCTTACTACAAAAGTTATCGAGAATAGCTTACGAGCAGACCTATAATGCCTCCAATCCATCTCTCACCGAGAGCTGCTCCTATCGAATGCTCAAAGGTTCTGCCAAAGGCGCGAACGCGTCTATGGGTGTCTCGGTGCACGAATCCTCGCGAAGTGGCGGATGCCACAACTACAGACGCACGGGTGCAGCAACAAGACAAAAACCTAAGATTGAGGCTGTATCTTTCATGGTATTTACCATTCCATAAAGAGAAGCATACATACCCCTGGAACATTTGTCACGTATCCATACCCGACGCAGCCCGGCCCGACGGCAGAAACCCGGCATGATGGTGGATTTCGGCGGGCGGCAAAGCACGCGATGACGAGTGTTTAATGCGCTGTGGATAGGGGAGTTGCAACGGACCCATTTTGGCGTCTTAGATGCCGACGTCCGTCGAAGCTCGACGTCCACGCGTGCGGGCGGGCATGGGTCACCTTCCAGCTTCCATACCACATTCGACGAACCCCTGGTCGGACTCGGGAATTTCCTTGGTCGTTCCGGACTGCCTGAAGAGGAGAGAGTGCCAAGGTGTTGATAAGGCGATCGTCGTGAAGATCCTCCTCGGACGGGCAGCCGCGAGTGAATTTGCGCAGGGAACGGTTCTTTGACAGTTCCCGCTCTGCCGCTCTCTCTCTCTTGCCGACAGATGAGCGAGCGAGCGAGCCATCTGCGACGAGCATCATTCAGACGAAGCAGCCGTTGCTGATCGATCATCTTGAAGAATGCACGAGCAGGGCCCCCCCGCTCGCTCGTGCTCCCCAATCCAATCGCCCGGACTCCAGGTCGCCGTGGTGTCGGATCGGGGGTTCATGCAGCGAGCGGAAAAAGCGCCGCATTTGGGGGTCCACCCCCGAGTCAGCCCAGCAGGGTGTGCCGGCGTCGCGGCGTGGGTCGTGGGTCGTGGGTCGAGATCAACAGGGCCTCCTTTGTCGGCCAGATTGAGTGATTAGATTGGCGCGAGGTGCCTCTTCCGAATTCCGACGGTTCAACGCCAACAAACGACGACGTTGAGAGGTTGATACCTATGACGCCGATGACGATGTCTAATTCCGCCGGAATGAGGATGCAACCTAGACATCGTGACTCGCGCGGGCCGAACCTCGACCGCCTGCCGCGTGCTACGCCGCAATCTGGCCCTGCGGTCTGGAATTGGGCCTTGGAGGGCGCGGAATGGCTGCGCGGTCGACATCCTTGCCGCCCTCGTGGCAGCCCGACGATGAGGGCGCGGGGGCAGCCGTGCGGAGGAGAGACGCGGCGCCGTGCCGTGTGTGGTGTGTGGTTAATGGTTGAGTTGTTGTTGTTGTTGTCGGGGGGTGGTCTCGTCTCGCGGTTGTCTGCCCACACACGCTTGCTGGGCCCTGCTCCGATCAAGCACCTTCCAGACGCGGTTCGGGCGCGCTCGCTTTGCCCTGCTTTGTTTCGACTCTCGTGCCAGACACCGGGCACTGCGTCTGCAGTTTGAACTTTGAATTCCGGGAACGTGCTTCGAGATCTCTCAGGGTCACGGCGGGCCCCGCTCGCCACGTGCTGCATGGCATTGACAAGCGCTGCGCCGCCCGCCTTCATGCGCTTTGATTCGGTGCCCCGTGCACCGCCTTCCCGCCCGTCTGCTTCATCACTATGTGTGTGACGCAGCGAGCTTCAGCGCTTCGGCAAGAGCTACGAGAGCCGCGTAGGATTCGACATCTCCGCGGACGACCTTGTTTTGCTGCTTTACCGCCTGCGTCGATGCACTTTCGCACGGCCTGCCTCTGGCCTGCTCGATTGGGGGGTTGGCCGCGCGGATCTCTGTCCCTTTAACGTCACCGGCCGGGGCTCGGGGTCTCACTGCTTTGAGGCTTGAGAGCGTGGCGGTGTGGAGATGGGGCCTTGCGGGGCAAGGATTAAGGAAGGTTCTTCGTTGTCACCTGGCCGGGTACCTGCGCGCCGTCTGCTCTGGATGCTTTGCTTTTTTTGATCCGTGATTTTTCCGTCCGCGCGGGGAACTCCGATTGCTCTCTCGTCGTGTGCTTGTGCTATTTTGGAGAGAAGGGGCAGGGCGTGCGTCTCTGTTTGATGAGTCTTGTTCGTGCACCTCCTACTTTTCGTGTTGCATGGTGACGTGCCAAACCAAGCGTTGGCGACAAGGAGATGCCCCTTGTACTTCGTATGTACAAGATAGAACAATCAATTTAGGTTGATTGGATCGTCAATTAGCGTTCAAGGTATGTCAAGCATGACTGCTCTCGGCCACAGACCAGCTACTATGAACTAATCCGGTCGTCGGTTGATCAGCAGCATAATGCTCGAGTAGCTACTTTGATATTCTATCATTGTGTGTATCTGGATAAGCAGGATGTCTTTGAGAGAAAAGTCCAGTACATCCGACGTTTCAATGAAGAGACTGTCTGCATTTAGTACAGTCAGGACTCGGGAAAAGCATGTTTATTTTTGAGTCTTAGGATTTTGTATGCCAGACATGGGTTTTAAGGTTAAACCGCTAAAAGTGTCTGGGTTTATTTCATATCATCTCATTTTATCTCTGTTTGTATATTTATCCATTCGCTACGACATAACGAGTATTTACTGTAAGTGAGAATGCTTTGTCTACGAATTCAATGTCATCATGAATAAACAACTATAATGTCAAAGTGACTATCTGAGCCTTTAAGCATCAGTGACGAATTTATTGCAAGCTATACCCGAACAGCTAGTCGTTTATTCATTTTCTTTAGCTATTAGGCACAAGGGAAATTTTAATAAAGCAGTGTTGTAGGCCATCTCCAAACAGTTATTGTCAAGACGAATCCTTATTGACTGTGTGTATATTCTAACAACATATCACATAGTTTCTGATCTTAGACCTGCTTGACTAGAACGACAAGGGAACATTTGGCATACCCAAGAAAAAGCTTATATAAATGATAAGTGTAGGAATGCTTAATTTTACCTAGTGAAAATAAAGCTTTGAAATAGGTTTTGTTCACGTAACTGATGTAGACAGTGCAAAGTAAATGAGGTCTGACTTAAGGCTTACGGGGCGTACATACAATGTACGTATGTCCATTTTAAACACGCGACCCGATGGTATTGATTATTTACTTTGAGCATCGGTAGCGAGTACTGTAGCCCGATGGGGTACGGTAGCTGCAGGGTACTTTAAAGACATCAAATGAATCACTGATTGCACTTTGCACTATTTGACAGCCAGCCTCAACGCGCGTGATGAATTCCGCAACAGCCCACAGAAATCTACAACTTAACACTCTTAACCAATCCCTTCTTGATACCCGTCATCTCACCCTTGTATCCGCCTCTGCCCTCGCCGCCCTTGTACACCGCGCGTACACTGCCCAGCTTCTTCTTCTTCTCCTCAAACTTCTTGCGCTTCTTGACACGCGGGTTGCGCACGTCCTTCTTGCGGTGCGGGGTGAGACCTCTGTTCTTCTCAATCACGTAGCTGATGGCACGCTTGCCGTCGGCACCGACCGCCTCCGTTTCGACGACTTGGCCGCCCTCGCGCGCCGCCTGTGCGTACGCAGCGGCAGCGGCGGCCTTGTCTGCCTTCTTCTTCTTCGAGCGCGCCGCCACCATGTCGTAGTACTCGTCGTCCTCGGAGGCGTCCTTGGCGCCAGCATCTGCGCGTATTGCCCGAGCCTGCCTTGCGTCTTCCTCGTCGCTGTCCCCGCCCAGCTCTTCCTCCTTGCTCGCCTTCTGCTTGCCGCGCTTCACTGCCTCCGCGTTCAGGCGCGCCTCCCGGTCCTTCAGTCGCTCGCGGTACGGAATATCCGTGTCGCCGCCGACGTCCTTGCCTGCAGCACCGCGCTTGTTGGCCTTCTGCGCAATCTGCGACGTGTAGAAGCGCAAGCTCTTCTTCTTGCGCGCCTTCTCCGCCAGCTCTTGAGCCGTGAGCTCCGTCTCATCGCCAAAGTCTGAGTCGCCGTCGGCGTTTGCCGCAGCGCTGCTGGCCTCTCGGGTTGGCTTCCGGGCTTTGGTTGTCTTCCGCACTGCTGCGCGGTCGGTGAGTGATGACAGTGCGGCAAGCTCCTCCTCCGTCTTGCGCAAGCGCTCCGCTCTCCTCGCCTCGGACTCGGCCTGAGCAGCTTCGGCGGCCTGCTGCGCCTTCGTCTTCCTCTTTGACTTGGGTTTGGCAACAGCGTCATCGATTATATCAGCGTCACCGTCAACATCCATGGACGGTTCCTCGAAAGATGCTAGCTCGTTGCTAGTATCGCTGTCTTCAATCTTGTTTGTGATTGAAAGATCCTTGACCTGAGTCCATAGCTCGCGGCACTGGACCAAGCCATCCATCACTGGATGATCACGGAGCTCCGTAGGCGACAAGGCCGTTACTGAACCGTCGGTTGTCGAAGCAGAGGTGGAGGTAAGCAGTGCAAAATACATAGTCATTGCAGCAAGATATGCCGCTAGAGCTCTGTATTTGATGACTGCTGCCGGAGTCTTAACCACCTTGTTCTGCTTCGCAACCATCGTCTTCGCGGCCTTCATCTTCTCCGCGGCCGCAGCCGCCAAAGCCAGTTCGTTGTGCAGTGGTTGTAGGTCCAGGAACTCCTTGGAAAGCGGCTCGAATTCGGGGTATCTTGTCTTGAGGATCTTGAGGCGCTCTGCGGCGCTCATGTCTTTTGTGATTTGCAACTGCGGCAAGACCTCCGTGATCACCTCACCATCTGCATCTGCCCCGGGCTCTTCTTCCTTGTCTGCAGCAATCCAGTCGGCCTCGTCGAATCCGTAGTCAGCTTCGGTCATGCCTTCGAGGTGCTTCTTCTGGAGCCGCAGTGCCTCCTTCTCTTCGTCGAGGGCATCCTGCTCCGTCTCTATCGCGTCGGCATTGTAGTAGTCTTTCTTGGAAGGACCCCAGCCTTCGGCCTCTTCGTCGTCCTCTTCATCGGCACCAGGCGCTTCTGATCCGGTTTCCTGCGCCGCGTCTTCATCGGCGTCGTCTTCGTTCTCGCTCTCAGAATAGTCCAAGACATCCTCGTCAGAGGCCTGCAGGTCCTGTTCTAAGGAAACAGTGAGCAAAGACAGCGGTTTGCATTATCCCAACGCGCTCACCTTCTTCCCGCCATCTTCTACGCCTCTTTGCCTCCGGGCCCTCGTCGAGCAGGATCTTGTCGCGGTTGATGTGGAATTCGTCTTCGGAATCGGCAACGTCGGCGTAGGTGTTGATGGCAAGTTTCGAGGAGCTCGGCGCTTCCTTGGGGGCCTGGGGGCCCGCCTTTCTCTTTTTTGCTGCCATTATGGGTTGCAGTGTCGCAGTCGGTTGGTTTGCGCGCGTCGCGCCGAAATCTCAAACGTCTTTTTCTGCCGCTCACGGGTCTGGCGGTGAGCGAGTCATGTAGTGAGTAACCACTTATCATATCAATCGAAAGTTTCCACGGCTTTCATCCTCTCAAACACTGCCAAGCGGAGATTGCAGTCTGTTGTGGCATCGAATCTATCTATACTGCAAATTTGCTGCTACGTCTACATTCGGAGCCGAGTGACACACCAAAACCCGCCCTGTTCGACTTCCTACACAAGCACTGATAAAGAACACGAAAGGAGCAATTCGAGCTGCTAATATTTCAGAAAACATTTGGCAATGGATTCCCACTTCACCTAGGTACTAAAAGAGGTGAACGAAAGTGTACTGGAGTGGAAAGAGGCTTCTGTTGAAAAAGCCAGGCAGGGCTATCAAAATACAATCGATCGCCCTCGGACTGGAAACGACACAAGATATGTTTCCCCCTCACCACCATGGCGCCGCCGTATCCGTCATGGATGAGGCTCGAATAGACCCTTTTGACCTGTGGAGAAATCTGCTACAATGCCAGAAGGTGGTATCCGATGCCTTGTAGAGCGTTACTCGTATCGCCGCCGACTGCCCATGTAGATGATTTCATCCTCGTCATCGCTCTCCAATCTAGCCAACGCTTGCGGTTGATGGCGACAAGCTTTCTTTTGTGGCGGTTCGACACCCGAAGGCTCCTCAATCATTGGCATTTTCAGAGAAGCGTCTTTGCGTGGCCTTCCCCGCTTCCTTTTCGCAAGAGGCTCTGTGCCTGCGCCGTTCTCGCCCAGTTGAGGATGTTTTCTAGGCCGGTCGGGGCCCCGCTTCATGGGCTGTGTGGTAGTCAAGCACGACGATCCTAAGAAAGCAGCCGCTCCTGATTCTCCTGACACCTGCATCTTTTTGGACAGTGATTTGGTGAGGGCTCGATCCGAGTTTTGGCCTTTGAGGTCACTTTCTTCAAAACCTCCAGCGCCAGAGTTAAGACGGGCTGTTTTTTCCAGATCCGTATTGCTGATACCCTTGGGCTTGGGGCCAGCGGCCTTCTTGGGCTTAGAACCAGCGGACTTCTTGGGCTTAGAGCTAGCGGCATTCTTTGGCTTCTGTCGCTTCCAGTCCTGGTACTCCTGCGGAGCTCCCCGCTCAATGAGGTGCGCTAGAACCCATTTATTTTGGGGTTTAAACGGATTGTAGACTCTTTTCACACCGAAAGAATGCGTGAGACGCATATAAGGCTCAGCGGATAGGTTTATACCTACGATGCTGAGAGGATCGTATTCGACACAAGCCTCGGGAGGGTAACCTTTACACGCATCTTCTCTCGTATCGAGGATTCTACTGAAGGGTGCTCGGTTGCCTTCCTGCACATTGTCTCCTGCGCGGATCAGGAGCTTTTTGGCAATGAGTGCCGGAGCGATCTTTTCCACGAACTTTCGTCCGAAATCCTTGCCTTTCCAATCGACGTAAGTGTATGTCCACTTTCTCGGACCAGTGACGTCGACTTCTTTATCCCATCGTAGAGTCGCCCGCAATCGATCCAGTTGGCCAGGGGAAGACACTGCGGGCTTCAAGTAGTAGTTGACAATCTTAGGGTTTGGGAAATTCGACGGAATGTTCCCCGCTACCGTCGCGTTCTCCTTTTCGAACTTACCTCTATAGTTCGTCCGCAGTTCCTCGGTCAATTGCCGTTTCCATGCAGTCAACTTCTGTGGAACGTTGTCCTCAGATTCTGCGATTTCGCAAAGCTTCCTGCCATAGCCAGCCTTTGCAGCTTGAATGGCAATCTGGGGTCCAAAGCCGGGAATGCTACCGCCATAGTCACCGCCTCCCATGACTGCAATAAGAATGAGGTCCTCCCTCGAGAGCCCGTTGGTCCCGTTTTTAATTGCCTCCATACGGTAGTTGCAAGCCGTGATAACATGGCGACTACGCTTTTCCACTGCGTTGTTCAATACCCAAATGTTTTCACCCCAAACAACAGCGAGTCACCATCTTTGGTTATGATCGCATCAACGATCCCCTCCTTTTCAAGCTGCGCACATTGCGCTTCCGCCTCACCAGGCGCCTCGAGCCACGGGATGCCGAAATAGTCTAGCAGATCCTTAGTGAGCCGGATGACGTGTGAGAGACCGTATTCCATCTCAATGTCTTCCTTGGTACGCATCGAGGACGCAGCCGCGGCTAGCACGGTTCCGATGAAAGATGGGGTGTAACTAGAGGCCTTCCCGCGTTTCATTTGGGGCTTTCCTGGGCCGTCGTAGACAAATACCGGCTCCACTCCAGCAGTAAGAAGGTGGGTTATGCGGAAGAAAAAGTTCCGAACCGGGTGATTCATACCGCCTATGCAACCAGGCGTGAGTGAGAGCAGCAAGACGTGAGATACAGTGACACACCATATTCTTTTGCGTTTGCAGTTGACCATTTGTACTTGAAAATCTCCATGGGCGTATCTACGGCTACTCGAAATGGGCGGCCCTTGGTTTTGACGCATTCTGTACCGAGCTGGGCGAGAGTAACCGTCTCACCGGGCGTGATTTTTCGGACTTCGTCCCACAAACTAGAGGTATAAGCTGGAATGCAGCTGTATGCATGAGGCGACACTCTTATCTGGTCACACCCATGGTAGAATGTGAATTCAGCCGTCAAATCGAGATGCGCGAAGGTGAAGATTGCGCGTCAGGACGTGGCTGACAGACGGGGGTTTTGTTGATTTTGCTGTACGCTTCCGGACAGTTGGCGGATAATGGCGAGGAGGGTGGACAGTGAAATGCGTCAGTGTCGGTGCGCGATTAGGTACCTTTATGTCTACCAAAACGCGACACGCGTCATTACGCGTATACGATGCTGAATCAACCAATAATCAATCAATATGCCCGAGAGCAGGCAGCATTCAATGGGGTGCCATTCGAGCTTCAAAATATTGACTGATTGAGTGCCTGAAGTTTTTTGAATTCGGAATTCAAGACTGTAAAGACTGTAACTAGAACTAGTTTCACCGCTGCTTCTTCAAGTGTGTTCCTCTTGCATTCTGTTGCATCCTGAATTAAGCGCAGTATTCTCGTGATTCAACTCCGAGCCACCTGGGGCTTCTGTATGTGCTAGGTATCCGCAGTATTGTTGTCCTGAGGGTGCTCGTGATAACGACAGCGATCCATTGCGCACCATTGGCTCCTCCTATCTCCGAAAGTGTCCTCATCTTCTGTCGTGCTGAGATGGATTGTAAGATCAATAAGAAAGTCGGGAATTTTCCTGAACCAGTCCCGATGTGCATCCAGGTTGACCCTGAGCTCCCCAAGGCTCTGAGCGGCCATGTCGGCCATAAACTTGCGAAGGGGTGAGCTCCGGTAAGCAGTGTTCTCATAACTCATCTTTACCGCTGACCATGGAAATGTCCAGAATCGTGCGAATGAGTCACAAAGGGCGTCTATAGTCGCATTTTTGAGAGCAACTATAAAGCGTGCATCGGCAAAGATGTAAAGTTCGCAGAGAAGGTCGAACTGATCGTCTTGGTCCGCTTGGGTTGCTTCTGTGGCAATCTCAGGGAGCCTGCGCGTGTACAACCAGTTGAGGAAAGCTTCAACAACTTCGACCGAAACTTCACTTATGTGGATAGTCTTGGTTGAGGCCTCTTGAAATCCGCCGTCGAATGCAGAGCGGAAGTAACGAGATTGACCAACGATGAGGCCCTCATGGACTTGGAACTTGACTTTCGGGTCACCGACTGTGACCGCCACCATCTGTCCGTAGTCGCGACTGTGATAAAAGTTAGTACGGATAAAAGCAAGGGCGATTGCCTACTTACAACGGTGGAAAAGCGTTGAGCTTTTCAGCATGTGGGCAGACACTCAAGCAGTGGTAGTAATCTGGATTAGGCTTCGGTCGCATGGTTGCGAGTCTGCCGTTAGGGTGAAGCCAGAAAGAAGGTGGAGCGAAACCTAGGGTGCAAGGCCTTTTGTAAGAAAGTTCCTATGGCCAAATACGGTTAGCTTAACAGGCTGGTGCTACAGTCACCAATGTGAACGGCTCCTTGACAGAGATTGGAAAGAGTCTGATCAGCACATAACAAGATAGTGACGCTAATTCTGGGACTCAGGCCTCTAGCTAGACAAAAGGTGTTTTATAGGGACTGTTTATACATATATTTCCCTGTCTCGCTAGGCGGAAGATAAACCAGAATCTACCTACTATAGAAACATGACCTGGGTTCAAGTCGTGTAGACAGTGATTCACCAGACGTCATTCTGTTGCGGTAAATAGTTAGTTTCTTGCGGTACTGCTTTTAAAGGCAATTTAGGCATCGAACAATAGCAACTCACGAAGGTGAGGACGAGTGCTGAGCTAATACAGCCTCGTATCGAATCAATCAGCAATTCTCTATATCCTTAAATCTACCATATCCAAGTATCTCGAATGTCGAGGCGGTCTAGATCTTACTACCGGTATTCTTTCGGCGCTCAGCGGTGTTCCTCTCGGCAGGCAGAATGAGCGCGACATGGTGGCTTAACGCAACGATATCCGCGTTCTCGTCCAGAACAACGACCTCCAGGTCCTGTCGTCCATTCTTGATCTGCTTCGCTCTCACACGGACAAACAACCAGTCTACACCTTCCTCGGGCAGGCACTTCTTGATGTCTAAATTCAACAGCAAGGTCGGAAACCAGTACAGCTTGGACTCTTTGTCGGTGATGCTCAGGGCCTCGATGAGCGCGGGGAAGAGGTCGCATACCAGACCTAAGCTCGCATTTGTAAACTTCTCGTCATTCTTCATATGCAACCATTCGTCGGCCAGACTGCCCATGACCTGACCGTCGCGCGGCAGGTACATTTGCACTTGTTCAAGGACCTTGCGAAACTTGGGGAACGGATTGGGCTTTACCGCCCAGGTCTTCTCCTCGCCCTTCACCAGCCGCGCAAGGTCGACCGCCGGCGGCGGCGGCTGTAGCGACCAGTTTGTTTCGAACGTTAGGCCCTGCTCGGTGTTCATGTTGGAATTGGTGATGTAGCTGACGACCTCTTCGCGGTCATCTTGCGTCAACGAGACGTGGATGACTGACGTCTGGCGGCCGAGCTTCGCGTCCCTGACCTTAAAGAGGGCGGGCCCTTGCTGAGTGCGGCGAAGGAACTCGGAATGAAGCGTTATCGTGTGCGGCTGGTTTTGCGCGGCGAGAGTGGTACGAAAGTGCTCTGCCGCGACGCGCAGAAAACAAGAGGTCACGTAGCCACCATGAGGGACTGCACTCCGTCAGCAAGCTGCTGCAAGGAACTTTGGACGCACGATTACAAATGTTACCTGAACCGACGCACCACTCGCTGTGGAAATGGGCGGAATACGTGTGCGAGTCGACGATCTTGACCGCAGTGGCCTCTTGGAAAGTTGCCATGGTGAAGTGTTTGGCGAGCCTTAGGCCCGTCGCGACGAGGCTGCAGCTACATAGCTGGAGGTGGATTGACAAGAGGTGTAAGCGGACGACGTTGTTTGGCTGCCGAGATGCCTCGGTTCGGCAGCGTTTCCCCAGAAAGTGGCGCCTGGTGCCCCGCTGGGGCCGGTTGATACCCACCCGTCAGCCGCGGGGTGCAGCACACCGAATGGGATTGCCTTCTCCAACGGGAATGCCTTCTCCAACTACCGGTCATGACGCTCAACGGCTTTATTTCCCGAGCCGCATATCTCTCCCCCTCCTCCTTCATTCCTCACCTTTCTTTTTTCTCCACACCGTTACACATCCATCATCATGCCCACCCAATCTCCTTACCCTCCTCTCCAAATCCCAGACGTTGACATCTGGTCATTTTTATTCGAAAGGAAAGACCGTCCGTTCCCCGATGACAAAGGTACGTCCCAGTGCGGTCTCGATTATTGTCGCTGCAATGCAGGGCTCCTCGATGAGCGCAAGAGCAAGGAAATGGGCTTCGGCATGCAATCTAGCGAGGAAATGCTGACACTATAGCAGTAATCTACACCGATGCCGAAACCAACCGCTCTTACACTTATGCTGAAGTAAAACAAACCGCCATCGACTTTGGCAAGGGCCTTAAAGGCCTTTGGGACTGGCAGAAAGGCGATGTCCTTAATCTCTTCACGCCAAACTGCATTGATACACCCGCCGTAACATGGGGTTGCCACTGGGCTGGCGGCATTCTATCGCCGGCAAACCCTGCCTATACCGCAGACGAACTGGCGTTCCAGCTGAGAGATTCTGGAGCCAAAGCCGTAGTCACGCAAGTTCCTTTCCTAGGAACCGTGCGGAAAGCCGCGGAAATGGTGGGCTTGTCAAAGGACCGTATTATTCTTATGGGCGACGCGCGAGATCCCGAGGGAAATGCCAAGCATTTTACCAGTGTCAGGAACATCTCGGGCGTCGCGCGCTTCAAGAGGGCGAAGGTGAACCCGGCCGAAGACTTGGCATTCTTAGTTTACTCCTCTGGAACTACAGGTCATCCCAAGGGCGTTATGTTAACTCACAGGAATATCGTGGCGAACACCATGATGAACAAATCTGTTGAAGGGAGCAAACTCAACTGGAAATCAGACAGAATTATAGCATTCCTTCCTTTTTTCCATATTTACGGTAAGAGACCCAGTAAAGGCGTGGTATAGGTTGTACTGACACGCCCTAGGTCTCACATGTATCGTGCATCACAACATGTTTAGCGGAGTACAGGTCATTGTTATGGAGAGGTTCAAACTTGAGAAGTTCTGTTACCTCGTGCAGCACCACAAGGTCACCTTCGCCTACCTTGTCCCACCAGTCGTCCTCCAGCTCAGCAAAGAACCCGTGGTCGACAAATACGACCTTAGTTCCATCCGCATGACCAACTCTGGCGCGGCACCGTTGACGCATGAAATCGTTGAGGACCTGTGGCAGAAGCGGAAATTCCCCGTCAAGCAGGGCTACGGGTTGAGTGAGACCAGCCCCACGACGCACACGCAGGAGTGGAGCGACTGGAACAAGTACATCGGATCAGTCGGCAAGCTGCTCCCAAACCAGACGGCCAAGTACATGTCGCCCGAGGAAAAGGAGGTGCCGGTGGGCGAGACGGGCGAGCTGTGGATCAAAGGCCCGAACGTCTTCAAGGGATATTGGCGCAACGCCGAGGGTACCGCCAACGCTTTGACGGAAGACGATTACTTCAAGACCGGCGACGTGGGGCACCAAGACAAGGATGGTAACTTTTATATCACGGATCGCGTTAAGGAACTCATCAAATTCAAGGGTGAGCTATGTTCCACCCCCAACAATGACTCACAGCTGACCCTTTCGAAAAGGCTTTCAGGTTGCGCCCGCGGAGCTCGAAGGCCTCCTCGTCAGCCACCCGTCCATCAACGACGTGGCTGTCATTGGCGTTTACAACAAGGGGCAAGCCACCGAGTTGCCCCGCGCATACGTCGTCCCTGCAAAGGGCGTCGAGGCCAGTCCGCAGACGGAGAAGGAGATCGTGTCTTGGCTGCAGGAGAAGGTTGCCCAGCACAAGAGACTAAGAGGCGGTGTCCGGTTCATCGATGAGATTCCGAAGAGCGTCAGCGGTAAGATTCTTCGGCGAGTATTGAAGCTCAAGGCACAGGAAGAGGAAGCGAAGGGCTTGAAGGCGAAACTATAGTTGGCCTTGATATTTATGCGGAAGATGTATCCATCCTATGTCACTTTATTGCGACGCTGTCGTAGATTTACGCTGTCATCTGCACGCAGAGTAGATCCAAGACAGATTTACGGCAACAAGTTGAGAGATTAATGTCGTGGACGGATTGAAGTGCCTGCACCGGATTTGATAAAAGGTCCCAAGGAACACAGCGCCAGTTTCCAGCAACATGGAAATTAAGAGCAAAATGTTTGTTGACCAGGCCTTCTGGTTTGCAAGCATTTGCTGTGAGTTGTTGGGTAGAAGTTGGAGATGAGCTTGTCGCTGAACAAAAAGCAAAAGAAATGACCACGCCAGGGGTCGAACCTGGAATCTCTTGATTCGTAGTCAAGCGCCTTGCCATTGGGCCACGCGGCCATTTGATGAGAAGTTGTTTGAAAAGCTTACAATATGTAGCACAAAAAATATTTCACCATTTTTTGCGCCACCTCTCCACCTTCTTCTGCTCGCCCACCTTCACCCGTCTCTCTCACTGACATCATCCTCCCTTCTTCTTCCACCACTCCAGCAGCCGAACTTGCCACGCGACTGTCAACTTTCAACTCGGCGACAGTGACTAATCAAGCACGAGCGTCTATCTTATCAATCCAGCACCTCCACCGCGCCCGACACACCTACCTACACACACACAGACAGCATGGACGGGCCGATCGTATTCAAGAAGCGATCAGGCAAAGCGCAGCCCCGCAAAGCGGTGGCACGAGCGCGCTCAGAATCGGAGTCAGACTCAGGCTCCGGGGGCGAAGACGGCGTGCGCAGCATCAAGCGGCGCAAGACGGGCGGCATCAGCGGGACGTCGACGGCGGCGCAGCGGCCCAAGAGCCACGTCGAGGGCACGACCAAGTACGCGGCGGACACGACGGCGGCGATCAAGGTGACGCAGGACGCGACGAAGCAGTCGAACTGGTACGACGAGGGGGCGGCGGACGCGCTGAGCGCGCAGAAGCTGCTGGGCAAGACGCGCGCGCCTGCTGCAGGAGCAGGAGCGGCAGGGGGAGCGGCAGGAGGAAAGGAGGGAAGCGAAGGCGCGGCGCCAGACGGCACGTACAAGGGCCAGAAGAATTACTCGAGCTTCATCCAGAAGAACCCGGACGCGCCGAACAGGGTCGGCCCCGTCAAGGCGCCGACCAACGTGCGCATCGTCACGCAGATCGACTACGCCCCCGACGTCTGCAAGGACTACAAGCAAACGGGCTTCTGCGGCTTCGGCGACAGCTGCAAGTTCCTGCACGCGCGCGAGGACTACGCCGCCGGGTGGAAGCTGGACAAGGAGTGGGAGATCAACAGCAAGGGCAAGAAGGCCGGGGGCACAACTGTCGCGTCCGCGAACCGCAGCGGTGGCGCTGCTGCTGCTGGGGGCGAGGACGCGGAGAAGGAGGAGGAGGAGAATAAGCTGCTCGAGAAGATCCCGTTTGCTTGCGTCATCTGCAAGAAGCCGTATACGCAGCCCATCGTCACCAACTGCGGCCACTATTTCTGCGAAAAGTGCGCGTTGCAGCGCTTCCGCAAGAGCCCGAGCTGTGCTATTTGCGGCGCGGGTACGGGTGGCAGGTTCAATGAGGCCAAGAATCTGAAGAAGCTGCTTGATAAGAAGCGCGATCGGATTAGGAAGAAGAAGGAAAAGATGAGGGAGGAGGGCGAGGAGGTCAGTGATGGTGATGAGGACAAGGACTAATACTTCATGAAGAGCTATACATTTGCCTTATGGCAACAAATTCATGGATTTCGTGACAGTGCTGTGTGCTTCTATGGTGCAAGCTTCTTGGACGTGGAGGAGACAGCATTCAAAGCAGCTAATTAGAGCATCAGTACTGATGCGAAAGGAATTTAATGAATAAGACAGGGAACCATCGCCGCCGTAACGACGCCCTGGAGGTATATAGAGCTCGAATGTCGGGCCAGGCCCAAGCAAAAGGGCGCAGTGCATTAACAGAATGCTAAAAGATGAAAACCAATACCAAAACCCTTGAATAATGTGAAAAGGACGTCCAGGACGATGGCCCCACGCCACACTGCGCCGTCCAGCCCAACGCCATCAAACGCGACCCGCCCAGAACCCAAGTGAGCCCACTGAGATAGAAAAAAAGGCATGACGTGCGGAGAGCGCAAGCCACATATACACAACATGTACAGGAATATGAACAAGACCAGTGCGAGGTGCACCTCACGCGTAATCCTCGTCGAACAGTTCGCCGCCTTTGACCGCCTTGGCGCAGCCCCAACTACATGCCTTCCGTAGGAACGGCAGGTAGCATTCATTGGCCGAGCACACCAGGGAGTCGGGCACGTAGTGCCAGTACTCGAGCCACTCGGCGCGCGGGAGGACGTATTCCTTGTGACAGACGGAGCAGTGTTGACCACCATTGTCACTGGCCTTGACTGTTTCATCGATGGCGCGCAGGACCGGGTCTGGCGAGTCGGGAGGCAAGAGGTCGCGCAGATCTTTGGGTCGTGCGCAGCGGCTGGCGGTGCGCAGAGAGAGCTCAAAGAGCGAGGGCACGCGGGTGGATGGTATGTCGCGGAGGTCTTCAGCAGGAGAGTAGTCCAACGATGGCCAAGGGAAATGAGAGTCATTGGACAGGACCTGTGAAGGCCTTTGCGGGGAGCCGCGGGCCAGCGAGCCGTCAAACTCCATACGAGCTACGGGGGTGCTGGCAAAAAAGACAGGATACTGCTTCCACGCTCTCCAGGGGCGCAATTCTCGGTAACCAGAGTCATCGTAGCTGTGCGGGGGTGTCTCTGGGATCTCACGCCTCTGCATGTGCTGTAGCATTGTCTCGAAAAGCTTCAGTTTCCAGGCTGCTTGATTTTTGATGGTAGCATCTTCGGAAGTAGAAATCTTTTCCTTGAGACGCGTCACCTCTTTTTGAAGGCCCTTTGCATCATTGGGGATTTCCAAGATGCCCTCCTCCAACTCGATTGCGTGGACGAAGGGGTTGGGCGTGACAGTAAGCCGACTCAGGTTTCCACGAGGAGTGATCAATTGGAAAAGTTCCCATGGCAGCCATCGGAGTTTGTTGCCAGCAAGATTCAATTCCTTCAGGTTCTTGAGATTCGCAATGGCTGGTGGAATCTCCGTGAGCTGGTTGTTGCGCAGACTGAGAACGGTGAGGTTCTTCAAGTGCCAGAGCTCGCCAGGAAGGCTGCGCAACAGATTGTTGGACAGGAAGACCTGAAGCGAAGCGGTTAAAGCTTCATACTGGTCCTCGGTCGGAGCTTCACTTCCAAAGTGTGGGTGCCGTATCATTTGTTCAAGCGGCTGGATAATATCACCGGTGATGTTGCGCAGTTGAAGGCCCCTGTGTGGTCATTAGCAGCAGTAGTAGAAACTGGAAGACGCGCATCAACTCACGAAAGGTCCACTTTCTCATCTCCTTCCTCAATGCATTCTTGGACCTTGGCATTGGCGACCATGTGTTCTGCCGACATGACCTTGAAGCTCCGAACTGGTCGGCGTGGTGTCGTGTCTTCGGGAGCTTGATACTTGTTCGGCTTCGGGGTTATGTCCGACTGAGGGTCATGAGTGGTGGCCGCAGCCGCGAGCCGCTCAATAAGAGAATCGTCTGACGAGTCGCTATTCAACCACACACCGCTGTCAACGTTCCTGGACAATTCGGCCTTGGTCTCGGTCCTCAAGGACTTTGACCGATGTCCATGTGCCCACCATGCGCCAGTGTATTGTCTCTTGCGCCTGTCCGGAGTGGAGTAATTCTCGACATCCTCAGGGGCATCATCACTGGAAAACATCACGGGGTCACTGGAAGTACCCGGGTCGTGGTGAGAGTATGATCGCGTGCGCTTCCGCGAGTAGGTGTGGGGCAGGGGCGGCGGGGAGCTCGGGGGCTCGTCGAAGTCGAATGCCAACGGAAGGCTAGGTTCGCGTGACATTGTGAAAAGAGAGTGATTGCGCAAAGTGGAGGCGGCGGAAAAAGCAATGGTTGACGACGCGTCTTGAGCAGCGAGCGGTACCGGGGCGCGGGGATGACGAGAACGGGGTCGGGGGCAGATGAAGGTCGCAGCGGATCTGGCGGGCCGCAGCCCTTTTCGCAAACAGGACGCGACTCGGGGATTTGTGGAGTTGCAAGCGGAGGAGCGAGAGGGAGGATAGAATGCGAGGGCGACGTCGCGGCGCGTCGAGGACGGGGCGTGACGGGGGAGGGCTGGCGGCGCTGGCGATTAGCGTCATCGTGGGCGACGGGAGCGCTAGACGCTGATCCGCAGGCGGGCATGATGCAGCCACCGGACAGGAGAAGACACCTCACCTCAAACACCCCAAGACCTCAAGACCCAAGACACCCATTCTCCCACGTGTCCAGCCTTCCATTGTTTTTTCCTTGGGCCCCGTTTGCTTTTATTTTAGTACATCCAGCTATTCCATTCACCTGCTCCTTCGGGCATGGCTGCCACACCTGCCGACGGCCCGCCAGCGCCAGCTGACGCAGATCATTCGTCTCTCCTCCACCACTCGTCGCCCACGTCGAGTCGCTCCTCCGTTACATGCCCAGCCGTCTAAGCCTGTCGTGTCTTTGCCAGCCGTGTCTGATTGATCGTTTTTGGCACGATGCAACGCCTCACCTATCGTGACGGGGTGCCTGAGCGCGTGCCTACAGGCGCTTGCCTCGTGGCTTGGTGCTTCGAACCCGGGTGTTGGGTGTATAAAATCCCAGGCCCGTGGAGATGAGACGACGATCGAGTAAGTTTTCCTTTCTGCATTTGACACACCCTCGCTACTATATACACATCAGCCACAATGGGCCAAGGTAAGTTGATGGTTGCCCAAACCCCGCTCCTGGCCTCAGCCTAACGTCATCAGGTGGCTACGTAGACCTGATTAACGGTACACCGTACCCATGGACTCTAACGGGACAGCACTCCTACCAGATGGAGTCCTGGTCGTTCCCCTCGACCATTTCTTCTGGCATGCGCACCTCTAGTTTTGTTTGTGACATGTCGCTCATGCGGTGTAGGTCAATCTGTTCCAGTGTACATTGAATGGAATCAAGAGCCAGGGAAACACCAGGCCGATGATGGTGGTGAGGCGGTGTACGCCATCCAGGGAGCATCTGCTGCCTTCCAAGTCCAAGCCAGGAACACCAAGGGCTTCACCATCGAAGTGGTTTTGACTTCTGTGGAAACGGAGAACAACCCGGTGGGTAGCAACATTGGCCTCGGATTCGACCACGACGGGTCCGTCAATTTCATCTTGGGTGGCTCAGAGGGGAACTTTACCTCGACCAATCCGTCCATCGACTGGATGCAGCAGAACATGGCTACGTTGGGAGGAAGGAAGCTCCGCCACATTTGCATGCCCGGTTCACATGATGCAGGGATGAGCGTCTTCGGCACTCACACAGGCTTGGTCAAGGATGCCAATACTCTGACGCAAAAGTTTAGCATCGGTGAACAGCTCAAGGCGGGATCCCGCTGGTTCGACATTCGCCCAGTCATCAGCAATGGAGGTTTTTACACCGGCCACTACTCGGACACGAAAGTCGTTGGTTGGCAAGGCGCCAATGGCCAGTCGCTTACTGATATCATCAACGAGATCAACTCCTTCACAGAGCAATACCATGAGTTGGTTATTTTGGATATATCGCACAGTCTGGACACGGACAATGACTATAAAGAATTTAGTCAGTCCCAGTGGAACAACCTCTTTGACCAGCTTTCCAAGATTAATGACCGTCTCAATACCACCGGTATCTCGACCACGGAAGACTTGAGTCAACGAACTCTGTCGCAGTTTATCGGACATGGCGCGGGCAGTGTGCTTATTGTGGTGGAGCTGCCCAACGGGATAACCCTTGGCAAATACTTCCAGCAAGGCATCGTTGCCAGCAGCCCAAACTTTCCGTTCTACAACGTCTACTCGAACAGCGACGACCTGGACACCATGAAAGCTGACCAACTCTCAAAGCTGGCTGCCAATCGAAAGACGCCGGACGACCCGTTTTTCCTGCTGTCATGGACCTTGACTGAGACCGCTGTCGAGTCGATATGGGGTAGTATCGGGTTCCCGGGCGATTTCAACTCTATCCTGGGAATGGCTGGCAGCGCATACCAGCCGCTCTTCGAATCGTTTGGCAGTTTCAACGCAAAGTCCTATCCGAACGTACTGTACATGGATTTGTTCGGCACGTCCGAACCGGGAGCCGACAGTCCACGCACAGATGTTGCAGCTCTGGCTATGGCTGTCAACGGCCTCGCCAAGTCTTGAGTTTTGGGCTCATGAGGTTGTGCTTGATCATCTCACAGTCGTTTCCGTTTGGCCAAACACCGACAGGCTTGTCTACGCTCATTGCCCCACCTTATTCCCTCATTGAAGATTTGGAATCCTTGGTCGCTGACGTCCTACGATTGATAAAGCCAAACTGCCAGCCAGAATCCCATCCAACAAGCAATTACCGCAGTTGGTAATTGGCCGCATGGCCCAATGGCAAGGCGCTTGACTACGAATCAAGAGATTCCAGGTTCGACCCCTGGTGTGGTCATTTCTTTTGTCCCTGGACGAGACGACGATCTTTTTGTGCGCCTGACAGCGGTAGGCAAGGCGGGCATGTTTGGGCATGCATGGGCGGCGGGTCTGCCCGAGAGGAAAACTTTTTGCAAGAGCTTGGACACGGCACTTGGACAACGATCTTTTACCCGGCTAAGAGGAGAGAGCTGCCATGTCTATGATAAGCCGACTTTGCGAGCGTTGTTTCCATCCTCCAGCAGCAGCTCACCAGCAGCTGGCAACTGGCCGCATGGCCCAATGGCAAGGCGCTTGACTACGAATCAAGAGATTCCAGGTTCGACCCCTGGTGTGGTCACTTCTTTTGTCGCTGTGGGCGAAGATCGCTTTTGCTGGCGTTGACTTGCTGGTTGGCATGGCGTGCGCGTTGTGGGCCGTCGCAGGAAATTTTTCTTTGGCGTTCGCCGGTCCGGGCCGATGGGGGATGGCGCCCGAGTTTGGGCGGACGTCGGGCCGAGGTGCTGGCTGATGGATGTTGGCGGTTTGCTCTGTGAATATTTTTTTGTTTGTTTTAGGGGAGTGATGTAGCTTAACTATGTGGATGAGGGCTTGTTGAACGGTGACTACATGGCCGGGAGAGCTTACAGAACTAGGCACTGATGTTAATGTCCAGGGGAGTATTAACAAGAACGTGATTTTTGTTTGGGGAATACCAGTCTACCACACACTATATGAATGTAGAAATAGTCGATTCAGCTTCCTCTCTAGTTGTGAATGGTGAATGCCGGGCGCAGTGTACTCTGCAGCACGGCGCACAGGCTCGGCGGTGAAGCCGCAGAAATTCTGCCACCGCACGAGCCACGCCCTCACGCCGCTCTCCAGAATTTCTTATCCAGCCAGACCAACCACCACCACACCACCAGTACACACCCACCACCACCCCACACACGCACAGCGCACACCCAACCCAACCATGGCGCCCCCGAAACTGCCGCTCAAAGCCGGCGACGACTACACCGTCCTAGCCCTGACGATCCCGCCCAGCACCGCCTACCCGCGCGCCGCAACACACTGCATGTACGTGCGGGCGCACGCGCCCAAGATCCCCTCCGCCGACAGCGCGCGCTCGCTGTTCGCGGTCAACGTGCCCGTCGACGCGACCGAGGGCGCGCTGCGCGCGCTGTTTGCTGAGCAGCTTGGGGGCGCGCGGATTGAGCGGGTGGACATTGAGCGAGAAGGAGGGGGGAAGAGCGCGCGCAAGCAAGGCGCAGCGACGGGGACGGTGAGCCGGAAGCGCAAGCGGGGAGGGGACGAGGAGGGCGCGGACGGTGACGGGCTGCCGCTGCCGAGGACGTGGGAGCGGGAGCTTTTGAGGAGTGGGGGGGGCGCGGTGCTCGTGTTTGTGGATCGGGCGAGCGCGGAGGCCGCGCTGAAGGAGGTTGTGCGCGCGGCGAGGAAGCGGCGCGAGGTTGTGTGGAAGGGGGAGGGGGCGCTGGGGGTGGAGCGTAAGTCCCACACTACACTGCGTGCTACCCGCGTACCCAGCACGCACAAGCACTAACCACGCACCTCTCGCACAGGATACCGCACGCACCAGACCCTCACCTTCCCAGCGCGGCACGAGCTCCAAGCGCGCATAAACCGCTACCTCGCGCACTTCGCCACCACGGAATCCGCCCGCGCCAAGGCGCTCGCCCGCCAGCGCAGCGTCCCGGACGCCGACGGCTTCGTAACCGTGACGCGGGGCGGGCGCGCCGGGCCCGCGCGCCTCGACGAGGCCCAGGCCGCCGCCGACAAGCTCAAGCAGCGCCACAGGGCCCCCGAGGACTTCTACCGCTTCCAGACGCGCGAGAAGAAGAAGGAGAGCGCCGAGAAGCTGAAGCGGGACTTTATTGAGGACCGCAAGCGGGTGGAGAGGATGCGGGCGAGGAGGGGCAAGACGCTCGTGAGTGCTGTTCCTGTTGATTGATTGTGTCGTTTGCGTGTGATTGCTTCGTGCGCGTCGTTTGTGCGAGTTTGGCTGACGTGCTTTCTTTTTTGCGTAGCCTGAAAGCTGAGTGCTGCACTGCGTGACTGGCCAGCCGCATGATTGGGTCACGCTACTTTCGTGATGCGAAATACCACGGAACGCCGCGATGGGAAGGAGGATGTGGTCGGTTTTGTATTGAGGGCGCAGGTCACAGTGATTGTCAGGCGTCAATGGAAGCGCCAGGCATCAAACGTTAGACGTCAAACGTCACATGCCAAACGTCAAACATGTTATCAAAAACGAGCAGACGGGAAAGAACATATGGTAGAGCACAGCACAGCACAGCACAGCAGAGCAGACAACAGCGGCGGGAGCAAATGGAAGCAGCATTTGATCTATTTAGCTAGCCGACTATGAAGCAGGCATGGTGAAAAAACACAAACAACGCACTTTTTTAGGATCCGATCCATCAGCCCCCTCAGATTCCACCACCACCAGAGAGAGTCGAGTCCGTCAAGCTCTCGATGAAAATGCCCCATCGAGACAAGAGGCGGGCGCCTTTCAGTTCGTCCACCCATCCCGACCATGTGTCGGGAAAAAAACCAGAATTAAGAAAGAAGGCCTTCGCAGAAGCCAGTCGCCTCGCCGCACACGAACCTTCGTGCGGCGCAACGATCCGATCGCTTTTTGTTTTGCCGTGATGCCTCCTCCCGTGTGAACGCCATGTAAGGTGCACTGCCCGCGACGGAAGATGAAAAAACCCGTCGCCCGAGAAATGCACAGAACCCGTTGACGCTTTTTTCTACCGTGGAAAGACCTGCCCGACGCGGAGGAACAACGCCATGAAACGAAGTCATCATGTCCAGAGAGTCGTGTCCGGCGTAGTGGGGCTGCGGGATCGCTTTTGAGTATTAGAAAGGAAAAAAGAAATCGAAATGGAAAAATGAGATCGGCTTCCGAAGGGCCGGAGAAACGAGTCTAGTTACGGTAGCTCCCCAGAGCAGCACTGATGAAGCAGAAGACGTGAGATTCGTAAAGCGTTCGGGGTTTCCCGTGGAGATGATGCTCAGCCACCTGGCTGAAAACCTCCTCGAGCAACCATGCCTGCCACATGCGTTGACGTGACTGCGCCGTGCCTCCCGTGTCGATGTACTGCGAAAAGCTCATGGAAGGTGTGCCGCAGATGAAGTCAACGCTATCTATATGCTGATCGGGGTATGAGAAGAGCAAGTTCCGGACCTTCGAAGTGGATCGTGCTGAGTCCAGTGCAAAGGAAAAATCGAATGAAAACCAGAAAGAGTAAGCCTCGAAGAGACGGCCAGGCAGGGCATGAGAGACTTTTCATGGGCTGCAGCCGAAAAAGACCTGGGAAATGGTGCATTTACCACCAGGAAGATTGGCCACCGGGACCAGAGGGGTTGCCGTAACCACCGCCGTAGCCACCGCTGTAGCCACCGCCATAGCCGCCGGCAGCAGGTCCGCCGCCATAGCCGCCACTGAAGCCACCAGCAGGGGGACCGCCCCAGCCACCGCCGAAGCCACTTCCACCGCCAGCGTTGTTACCGCCAAAGCGACGAACATCGCGGGTGGCCTGGGAACCACGGCCACGGCCACCACCGGAGCGGCCACCACGGCCGCCAAAGCTGCTACCCTCACGAGCGATGCTCTCGAGGAAGCTGGGAACCTCCTGGTTGGCCTCCTTGAGAAGCTCGATGAGGTCACGGACGACACCACGGTTGCCACGGTTGAAGAAGGCAGTGGAGATACCAGTGTTACCAGCACGACCGGTACGACCGATACGGTGGACGTAGTCATCAATGTCGGTGGGCAGGTCGTAGTTGACGACGTGGGTGACGTTGGGGATATCGAGACCACGAGCGGCAACGGCAGTGGCAACCAGGATGGGGCAGCGGCCGCTGCGGAACATCTCGAGGGCCTTCTCACGCTCGCGCTGGGTGCGGTCACCGTGAATGGACGTAGCCGGGAAGCCCTGGTTGATCAGGAAGTCGGACAGAGAGTCGGCCATGCGCTTGGTCTCAACGAAGATCAGGGTCAAACCGGTACCGACGGTGTGCAGAATGTCGAGCAGAACAGAGCGCTTGTCAATGTCCTCGACGTACTCAACCTTCTGGGTAATGTTCTCGGAGGTGGAACCGACACGGCCGACGGAAAGGAAGATGTAGTCCTTCAGGAAATCGCGGGCGAGCATCTGGATGTCGCGGGGGAATGTGGCCGAAAACATGAGAGTCTGGCGGCCATCGACAGGGGGCATGTCCTCGCCCTCAACGATCCTCCTAATCTGAGGCTCGAAACCCATGTCCAACATGCGGTCAGCCTCGTCAAGAACCAGGTACTTGATGTTCTGCAGGGAGATACGGCCACGCTCCATCAGGTCGACGAGACGACCGGGAGTGGCGACAAGCAGATCGCAGCCACGCTCGATCTGGCGCAGCTGAGAGCCAATGTCAGCACCACCGTAAACGACGCAAGGCCTGACCCAAGAGCGGTACGCGAACTTCCTGGCCTCGTCGAAAATCTGCGAGACAAGTTCACGGGTGGGCGCAAGAATCAGCGAGGTGGGGTAGGCCTTGCGACTGCGCGCGTAGCCACCGACAGCGGCGTTGGCGGGCAGAGCGCTGGGGCCGGTCTGGAAAGCTTGAGAGAGGATGGGGAAGAGGAAACCACCAGTCTTGCCGGAACCGGTCTGGGCGCAAGCCATCAGATCACGGCCACCCATGACGATGGGAATCGAGTACTTCTGGACGGGCGTAGGGACCTTGTAGCCGGCGAGCTCGATGTTGTTGATGAGGTGGTCGTCGAGGGGAGGGTTCGTGAAGGTCGTGACGGCCTCGGGGACGCCCTGACCGGAGGCTTCGACGGGAATGTCATCGTACTTTTCGAAGTTGATGCCGGTGTGTTGCTTCGAGGGGTCGTTGGGGATGCCGAAAAGATCGCGCTCGACGCGAGGGTTAGAAGGACCGGGGATGTGCTTGCCATCCTTCCACTGTCCATCACCCGAACCGCGAGCGGCACCTGCGCCACCCGAACCTGGACTACCATAAGCTTTGGGGTCGAATGAAACCGGAGGCTTGTAATTCCAAGACCCTCCGGTTGTAGTGGTGGTGGTGGTGTCGCTACCTCTGTTGTTGGGAGTGAAGTTCGGAGCGTTGGCCCAACCGCCTTGGCCGCCGCCGCCGCCCACGCGAGGGGCGCCGCCGCCATACCTTCTAGTTTGAGTTAGCGATCACCAGTCGCCTAACAATCGAGTTGCGACACTTACCCTCCTCTGCCCCATCCGCCGCCGTTCATGGGCGGGGGACCACCGTTCATCATGGGCGGGCCGTCCATGGCGCCGGGCGGGGGACCGCCGCGGTTGCGGAGGTGAGGCGGGATGTAGGTGGAGCGGCCACCGCCCATGCCGTGGTCGGCGCCGGGCTGGGGGGCGTGCTGCGAATCGTTGATGGAGAGACCGTCCATGGGGAGTTGATTAGCCATGTTTGAGATGAGTGGCGTGTGACGTGATGCGCGGTTACGGCTGGGGGTCGTGCGAAACCGAGAGTATGGGCCTGGCGAAAAAGCAGACGCTAGGCGAACTGAAAGACGAAGATTGAAGTAGTAGGCAGAAAAGCGCCCTTTGGTCCTGCGTGATGGGGAAAAGGTGAAGCGGAAAAGCCTCGATCTTCCCGATAACGACAGATAAAAGAAGACGACAGAGAAGCCAAGGAAAAGACCTCGTTGGTTGATGAGAGTGGGAGATGCGGAGGAGGGGGGAGGTGGTGGGAAGGAAGAGGACTGACGGCGGCTCACAAATTTTGTAGGGCGTCGCAGCAGCAGGAGGCGAAAAGCCGGCCGAAAGCGGTTTAGCGCTGCCCTTGGGGGGCGGCGTCATCGCGCCGCTGGCCTGGCAGCTGCCAGTCGTCACAGTCGCGGTCACGCCCGCTCACGCTCACTCATCAACACGTCAACCGTCATGCAATTCACCTCTCTACGCTTCTAAGCAACACTCTTGTCCCACTTTTCCGGCCCGCTGCTCTGGCTCGGTCGCGTGCGCACAAAAGCAAACACAAGCCCCACGATCACCGCCAGCCCAAACAACTTTTGTCCAAGCGTCAATCCCGCAGCGCTCATCTCCCCTCCAACTCGCGGCAGCCCGGCGGCCACCTCGTCCGCGCCCAACTCCACGGCGGGCTCAACGGTTCCGGCGAGGTCATCTTGAACGCGACAGTCATCGTATCAGCATGCATTGATGCCCCCACAGCCGTTTGGCTTAGAGCTCCACGTGGATACCTTCTGGGGGAACCTCGAGCTCTCCGCTCTTGGCGATCTTGACCGTCTTGATCGGCTTGTCGCCCGGCGCCTTGGGCACGTTCTGGATCTTGTCCACAATGTCGTAGCCCTCGAGGACCTCGCCAAAGACGACGTGGCGGCCGTCCAACCACGACGTGACGGCGGTGGTGATGAAGAACTGGCTGCCGTTGGTGTCCTTGCCCGAGTTGGCCATGCCTGCACGCTGTTAGTAGGGTGCCCGAGACAATGAATCGGGACTACATACTCAGCAGACCAGTCTTGCTGTGCTTGAGCTTGAAGTTCTCGTCGGGGAACTTGGCGCCGTAGATGGACTTTCCGCCGGTGCCATCGCCACGGGTGAAGTCGCCACCCTGGATCATGAAGTCCTTGATGACACGGTGGAAGGTAGAGCCCTCATAGCCAAAGCCCGACTCGCCGGTGGCCAGAGCACTGCGAGCGTCAGATATAATCGAGTGATGGATTTGGATGTGAATGCATACCGGAAGTTCTCAGCGGTCTGGAAACGTGTCAGTAACTTGAAGTTGCAGCTGTTTCAGGTGTTGCGTACCTTGGGGACGGTCTTGCCGTAGAGACCGATCACAATGCGACCGAGTTCCTCATCGCCGTGAGTAACGTCGAAGTAGACCTGCGATGCGTCAATGGCGTGCTACGAAGCAAACAGCTACGAAGCTCAGTACCTTGTGGGTGATCTTGGGGCCCTTGGCGGCCTCTGCCGTCTGAGCAAAGTAGACAAAGACGACGCTCAGAATGAGCAGCACGGAGATGACGAGTCTCTGAAAAGTAGCCATGATGGAGAGCTGCAATGCAGAATGGCAGGTTGCAGCGGGGGGTGTGTTTTGTACTCGAGAGCTTGCGGGGATGCGCGAGCTGCATTGACCCACTCGCCACGTGACACGGGAGTTCGTCGAAAGTTGCGCCGCCCATCACCGCGCAGAGGGCAGCCAGAAGCAGACGGCAGACGACACCATGGTACGTCGGTTGTCCCAATTGTTGCATGCCAATCGCTAATTGTTTGCCCAGGTTTTCATCTTCAACGTCAACTTCCCGGGGCCCGCCCTGCTCAAGGTACGCCTCGTCACGACTCACCTCGCCACGAACTCACGCCTCGCCCGGAAGCCAAGCTAACGACCGCGCAAAGAAATCGCTCGAGACCTTTTACGGCGTCGGTCCCGATGTGTCGCGCCGGCTGATGAGCCGCTTCCTGCTGCACGAGCGGACGAGAGTGGGCGCGGTTCCGCAATCCACTATCTTGGAGTTGAACGCCGAACTGTCCAGCATGAAGCTCGAGAACGACCTTCGTCGCAGTATCCAGGACAACATCAAGCGTCTTAGGGACATGGGCACGTACCGCGGTAGGCGGCACGCCATGGGTCTGCCCGTCAGAGGACAGAAGACCAGGAACCAGGTGAGTGGCCTGTGGAAATGGATGCCGAGTTTGAGGGTACTGATGACTGGTGACAGATCCAAACTGCGCGGAGGCTCAACAGGATGGAGCGCAAGTAGCCGTCGGGTTTTTAAGCGTTCTATTGTATCATATCAATATCAGCTGGGGCATATGGGCGGCGCAATGGCAAGGAATGGATTGAATTGGCTTTATTCTTGCTGCAAGTACGCTGTGCAGCCTATACTGTTGGTATGACCTTCAGTCTGATCAAGACTTCAGTCCCAAAACAATTGGCTGATCTTGACTGATCCTTGGCTGCTTGTGGATGCCGCAGGCCAAGTCACGCGGCTGGCTTGTTCACCAGTACAATCCAGTGCCAAACTCTTCACGCAGCCTACACGAGTTTCACCCTCATCAAGAATGAGTATTAGAAGAAGCAGATGCAGCTAAGTTTCTATGGCAATCCGGATCAAGCTGATTATTATGAGAAACGTATTTTACATGTATTCGTACAAGTCATGGCCACGGCCCATCAATTCTACAAGTATTTCTTGAACCACTCGATACCCTGCTTTTCAGCATCGTCCATGGCCTTCTTGTCATTTTCGTTATTCCAGTCTCCGCGCAGCGCGAAGCCGTGGACCTGATCGTGGTAGATCTTGATCTCATGCGGCACTTCGGTCTTCTTGCCCATGAGTTCCTGAATCTGTTCGACCTGCTTCTGGTCAAGCAAGCTATCCTTGTCGCCCAGCGCCAAGCTCAACGGCTTCACCACCGGATCGAAGTCGCCCGGGATGGCGACCAAGCTCGGATGGCACGCATACGCGGCGTCGACTCCCTTGCCTGGCTCCGAGCTGTGCGCGCTCAAGATGGCGTAGCGGCCGCCCCAACAGAAACCGATTGCTCCGACCTTGTCGGTGCCCGGGATCATGCGCACCGTGTTGATGAAGCCATCAATGAGCGGTTTGCTGACGGCCTCGCGGTGCCTGATCAGCCAGGGCCCCAGGGTTGCTCCCGTCTGGGCGGTTGAGGCCGCCTTGTCCAACACGCCCATCTGCTCGCGCTGCGGTAGCTGGGGCTCGACCGTCTGCAAGAATTCGATGGGCAGAGAGTCGGCCTGGTGCACGTCTGGGATGTAGCAGTAAAACCCTGCCTTGGCGTAGTTGTCGGCAAGGAGGCGGACGTTGGGGAACTCATAACCGAAGACTATCAAGCGCGTTAGACGGCGGGGGGCGTAGGCGCGGGGTAATGCCCACTGTCAACCAGGAAGATGATGGTTTTGGTTGTTTTGCCGTTTTCGGGTTCGGAGATGTAGGTGGTGAGGCCAGCAATATCCTTGACGTATCCCCTTGGCTGGCCGCTTTGAATCTTTCCGGAAAGGCAGCAAGAGCTCACTCCAACGCCGGTAGACATGATGGGTGGTGCGATTTGGGAGATGAGGGATTGCGGAGTTTGGAACGAATTTCAATGTCAATTGGTTGTGAGAGCATGGAGAGCAGTTGTCGACTGAACGCAGGCGGGGTGTTGTATTCGACATGATGTCATTGATGTAACTACTCTACGTAAGGATTTGGAATTTAGCGCTGGTCCGCATGCAGCCTGCGAAGTAGGCAAAATAAAAGCAAATTGTGCTGAAGATATTATTATGAAAACCATGGAGGCGTGGTGCTTATATTTAATACTCGAGGTTAAGTGTTTTCGCACCCAATAACTCGCCATTCAACATATAAACCTTTACCACCAGTGCCCTCTTGCAACACTCCGTATCTCTTCAACCCGATTGGCGCCTGCTGTCACTGAACCCTAGACCTTCTCCAACTCAGCCACCTATCGCCTGCCGACAAGGCAGTTTATTAGCAGTATCCTTTGCTCCCATGGGAGATCTACAGAAAACAACATACCTGAAAGAAAAAGGTGAAGGGTCGCTCTCGCCAGAGTAATCAGAATCGAATGATACTAGAATATAGTACGCCGCGTATTGCACTAAAGTGTCGCGCGCTTTCGCGCGCACACAATCTTCGCATAGGCTCCCATAGGGGTACAACACGAGCGACAGAACCCGAAAGAACTGCGTCGGCTGGCCCTGAGATTTCTGATGCCCGATGCAGACGTGAATTCACGCCAGACCCTTACGGGCAGCTGCCAGAGCCGCCATAAAGACGGATAGCGAGTGAAGGTGAAGATTACTCCGAATTTCTCATTTGCATCTAGTGACGGGCTGAGCGGGGCTCAGTGTCTGTTTGTGAGCAAAGAAACGCAGCGTTGGCAAGAGCGACCCTTGAGAAGGAAAAAAAGAAAAACGGAAGTCCAAGTCAAAGCTCGAGGTTATAACTTGGGCCCGCAAATCTAAGCGAGGCGTGTACCGTGGTGCGTTGCTGCGGTCAGAAGTTCTACCACATCACAACTCAAGCGCTGAGAATAATTCATTATCGCGCCCTTGATAGCGCAGGATCTCAGCGCCACTGGCCTCGCAGCATCTAAACGCGCTGTGTCGCAATCGTATACTCGCAGCCACTGGTTGCTCAACGCGTTGAACGCATGCAGGGCTCTCATCGTGCAACTCACTATGGAAGACACTGCAGTAAACCCAAAGCCACTACAGAGCAGCAGCAGCAGCAGCAGTAGATTCTGTCACTGTCTACCTCCCACTTTTGATTACTCACAACTTCGCATGCGGTACCTCAAGGGATAGCGAAAAAGCAAAAACAACGTTACTACGTCGCGCTTAGAGTCCCGGCCAGACGCAGATGCCATCGACCCACAAGGGGATGAAATGGCCGTTGCAGTCTTCACACGTCTTTCTCGCGGGACTCAGGCGCGACTAACTAAGACGGACGTCGTCAAACCGAAGCACGCGAAGGAGGAGTATAGCCTCGGAAGTTGTATGGTTATGCAGATATTCATCACTGTTTGTTGGTGCATATTAACTTCGCACAAAATTGCTCGTACACATCACTCTGTCTCAATACCGCAGGGCAAGGTACATCGTGGATTCCCGCTTAAGTGTGAGACACTTGACAGTAACATCCACTTTTGTTCGGAACTAGTCTGACGCATCGACACTACCCCATAGATGGAGAGTATTGCTTGCATAGCTCCGGAGAAGACCTGCATTCTTCCTTGAGACAGGCATTCGCACTATCAAATGGGCTCGGAAGAAGCGTGGGTTTCAACGCGCGCTTTCTTCCTTGCGTAGGCTCCGACGCCATCGTGTCTCGGCTGCCAGCCTCATAGAAAACGTAAAGTTTCGTGATTCTTTTTAGATTTCAAAAGGCCTAGAGCAGCAAGGGGTCGTTAGCAGAGCCTATACTTACCAGTGCAGGCCGCACCGCCAACCCCCATGGCATAATGCAGAAAATACAGCACTACGTGCTGAGTGGCTTCAAATAATGGTGTTTAGCATTATAGTTATTCTCGCGCGAAATACTACCTATGCCGCTATCTCTCATTCACATTGCCGCATCACCTACTGGACTAAGGAAAGAGTCCAAATTATAAAAGCTTGGGTTCCTTAGGGTAGGAGCACGGTAACATGGGAGTGTAGTGGAGGTGTCTGCCGACCGCCTCCAGTTAATCCCTGTGGTAACTTTTCTGCCTCAAATTTCGAGGGACTCAAGGATCGATAGGCCACACTTTATAGTTGTATACATACCGAGAATCAAAATATGCCTTGCTATCTCCCGTATGACGCTAGCGATATGAATTTGTGTGATGTTTCTTTGTTGTTTGTACCCGATGCGATGCACTGGAGGTCCCGCAAGGCATGGCCTACTACCTACCACCTTACGTAGCAAATCACGATAACGGTGTCGGAAGACTTAAAAAGCTTAGGGCAAGACGAAGGCGCTTATTTCTCGCATGCGAAACGTAGCAACAGGGCTTTCTCGAATAAATTTGGAGTGACGTTGTGAAGTTTGTTGGTCGCTGGCAACTTGGTTTGGTGGGGCGCGTGGACCCTGGGGCGCAGGCGAGCCAAGCACGTGCCAAGCCAGAAAAGCGCCCAACAAAAATTGAACTTTATGAGCCCAAAGCGCGAACATATTTCTTGCCTTCGGGCATTTGGTCAATTTGAAACGATACAGAGAAGATTAGCATGGCCCCTGCACTAAGGATGACACGCTCAATCAAGGAGAAGCTTAAAAGTTTTTTTTATTTCCCTTAACTTCTAAAACATACTGGTCGAGTGTTCGAAGCTGACTATGGCGCCGTGCACTTTTTGAATTTTGCATTTTTATTTTTTTGTTGGTGATGAACATCGGTTACGCGGGCTAGCGGTGATGAAGGCGGCCTGATCCGCGAGCGTAACCCCGGCAGAAAAAGTTCCAGTTCCGTCTCGGAGCTCTTTTGCGCCAAACCACCTCCCACCCCGCGCCAACCGCTCACCTCACTATGGCTGAAACGACACAGCAGCCGCCGCTGCGCTTCACGGGCCACAGGTCTCTCGTGCACCGCCTCGTCATCGCCACCCTGACCGGCCGTCCCATCCGCATATCGCAAATCCGCTCCAACCACACGAACCCGGGCCTGTTGCCGCACGAAGTGTCGTTCATACGCCTGCTCGACTCGATAACAAACGGCTCCGTGATCGAATTCTCATACACGGGTACCACGCTGGTCTACAAGCCGGGCCTGATCACCGGCAGCGCGGCAGGCTATGGATCGAGCGGCGGGGTCGTCAAGCACGAAGTGCCGCGCGAGTGCACGCGCGGAATCAGCTACTTCCTCATCCCGCTGTGCCAGCTCGCGCCCTTCTCGAAAGCGCCCGTCAACGTCATCTTCTCGGGCCCGGGTGTCATGACCAGCGCGACGCCCAGCGGCGACGTCTCCGTCGACACGGTGCGCACGGCCATCCTGCCGCTGTACCAGCAATTCGGGATCTCGAACAACCTGGAGCTGCGGGTGCTGCGGCGGTCGAACCCGGGGCCGGGCGGGCGCGGCGGTGGCGGCGAGGTCCAGCTCGTCTTCGGGCACCAGGTGCGCCTGCCCAAGACCATCCACGTCCTCAACCCGGGCCGCGTCAAGAAGATCCGCGGCGTCGCGTACGCGACGGGCGTGGCGGCCGCCAACAACGCCCGCATGATCGACACCGCCCGTGGCGTCCTGAACCCCTTCGTCGCCGACACGTACGTCTTCTCCGACGTCGCGAGCGCGCCCCTCGTCCCTTGGCCGACCAAGGACAACCCCAACGGCAAGCGCAAGATCGGCGTCGGGTTCGGGCTGAGCCTGGTCGCCGAGAGCTCCACCGGCGCGCTGTACAGCGCCGACGTGGCGAGCCCGCCGCAGGGAGGCGAGCCGCCCGAGGACCTCGGCCGCCGCTGCGCGTATCAATTGCTGGAGGCGGTGGCGGCGGGGGGGTGCGCGAGCGCGGTGGCGGCGCCGTCGATGCTCACGCTCATGGCTATGGGCTCCGAGGACGTCGGCCGCTTGCAGCTCGGCAGGGACGTGGTCGGCAGCGAGGAGATTGTAGGGCTGGCGCGGGATCTGAGGGCGTTTGGAGCGAGCGGCTGGGGGCTGCGCGATGCAGGGAACGAGGAGGGCGAGATTGTCGTCAGTATTGTGGGTAGGGGCGTGGGTAATGTGGGGAGGAAGATTGCTTGATGCGCTTTGGGCGAGGCGGGCGGCGAGGCGGGCAGCGAGATGGGCGGCAAGAAGGGCGTATATGGGCGTCATTGGCGCATCTGGAATTATGTTTGGTGCTAGAGATCTTGAACCGCGTTCGTAAGAGCATCTACGGCTACTTTATACAGGCGATATAATCTAGCCGCTCGAGACACTGCCGGGTCTGAACACTTTCCAACAAACACGCCACACGCCGCACGCCCAAGTTGCCCCTCTCACCCCCTGAAGAAGAAGAAGAAGAAGAAGAAGAAGAAGAATAACCAACACAGCCCCAGTCAGCGCAGCAGAGAGTACCAGCACTCAGCACTCAGCAGTGCCTACCTCAACTCCAACAGCAGCCCCAACCAAAAGCAAAACAAAACCAAACCAGTTGAAACAAAACACAACGACATACATACAAACCTACAAACCCAAAAACCGCTTCCAGCTTCCAGCTTCCAGTACGGCATTACTCGTTACTAAACTCGTGGGCTGAAGAACGGTGCTGAGAAAAAGCGAGTTGGGGGGTGTGGGGATAGCTAGTCGAGGTCCTGTCTATTTGGTCTAGTGTCGTCGGGATATAAAATGAATCCGCAAGCGTTCCCCCAAGCCCAAGGCGCTGACAAGTAAACCTGTAGGCGTTGGGGCGTTAGGGTATTTGCCTCCTTTACTCTCTATGTTCTCACCAGGTGAATAGTACGCATAGGCGCGCGCATTTCCCACCGCAGACAGTTGCCCTAGCACCTACCTTTGCCGACAAGAAGATCGGTCTGTTCTCTAGATGGTAAATGATAAATAAGTAAACAGCTTCTTTTTATATTAGTTAGTAATGCTAATGCCAAGGCTTGATTTCAGCGCACTCTATGCAAGTACACGTTCGCCATGGTGCCGGAAACGAAATACTCGAGCTTCAGCCTTGCTGTAATTGACTTGGCATTCCTACCTATGAGTATTGCCGACAGTTATCACGTAGCCATTGTGCTGCCGTTGTGGCTTGGATGTGTAGTGCCTAGGCGCGCCCGTTACTATGTTCGTGCTAGCGCGCACTGTTTGTATGCGTTTGACGTGGACGTCGCGCTGCGTTCGCTGGCTCATGAGTGTTGGTGGCTGGCCGGCGGCCGCTGCTGCGGGTTGCGTCGATTGTGTGCGTAGTTGTTTGTGTGGAGGCTCATGGCTGTGAGGCAATGTTGATTGAACGAGAGAGAGAGAGAGAGAGAGAGAGAGAGAGAGAGAAAAAGAGCACCAACCTCAAAAGCTAAAACCAACCAGCCATCGCCCCAACCAACGCAATCAGGCAGCCAACACACTCCCGACATGTATGTATACATACCACCAACAGTGCAAGTCCCCTCTGTTTCCTCTCCTCCAACTCCTCCAACAGCAAGCCATAACGATAAACCGAGCAGCATTTTTAGTAAGAGAGGCGCCTGGCTAAGAAGAGATGCCCTACCGCTTATGAGAAGATGCCTGGTTCCAACATGATAAAAGACGACGATTGAAGAGGATGCATAGGCTATGATTGTGTCTTTATGATTGCGTGTCTGTGTGCGGCATGTCTTTATACAGCATCACACCACGGCCATGCTGATGTTAGCGTTCCGGATCATGGTATTCTCCACCGACAGACTTCAGTTGCGTGGGTTGGACGTCGGGTCAAAGACAATGGTATTGATGCGTAGAGACATCCGGGGTCTCAGAGAGGTATTTCAGAGAGGTGTCGCATGCGCAATTTGTTGCTCACCGCAAATACAAGCACGCTTGCGTCAATAAACGGCGATAGGGATTAATACCTACGTCTACACTATCCTGACTTAACCCTATCTTTCCTTTAGGCTGCCCCTTGGCACCGATAAGGAAGCCTTTCTGTGCTCCGTAGGCTGATGGTGGAAACGAGATGATATGGCGATACCTTCTGGGTAGCTGGTTGCGTGTTCTCTTTGTATGTAAGTTCATTTCATGTCTTCCAAGAGCGGTCCTTTATTTGGAAGCTTCAGCAGCTAGATAGGTAGCGGGCTGGTAGAGATATGACATGCGTGAATGAAGGTGCTTATTGGCACAGCCTTTTGGCTTTTTCTGACGTCGCGTTGACCATCTGCTGGGCGGGGGTGCCCTCAGATGGGCCAGCGTCAGCCAGCCATTGGCGGTTGGAAGCGCCGGCCTCTTGTCTCCCTTGTTCTGTTTGGCGGCTGCCTGCATGGCCTGGACCTTGTCCCTCTCCGCATTATCGGAGTTCCCAAACTCGTTGATTGGCACCTTGTCGGCCCTAAGTTTCGAAAGCGCGAGACGCTTGACAGGGTGGCTAGTGCTACAGAGCTTCAGAAGATCTCGAGGCCGGTGATGTGACCTTTAAGAAAGCCAATGTCCATGTGGGGGGCCAACTTGGGAATTGCCCAGATGCTTGCCCCGGGCATTCTGGACCGTATGGCGTTGGAATGGTAATGGTTCAAAGACGTCACCCAGCGCTCAGAATAGGGTGATTGCCAGTGAGGGGTGGGCGGTGATGGGTGACACAGCATGCGGATGCGGGTATCTCGAAGCGGAAGTGGCACTGACCTTGTTGTGCGGCTCGCGGCGGAGGACGTAGGCTCCCCGACGGGCGCGCGGACGTGTAGTGTTGGACGCCGATGATTTCAGAGGAGAGGGTGCCTTGGGCCGTCAGCAAGGCCGACTACTTCCAACTACTTCGTACAAGGCGCGGTAAGTATGTGCAGGGTAGACGGATGGACGCGCATCATCTTGGACCTGATCGACCCCTCCCAGTTACGACATGGTCGACGTGGGACAGCCGGGGGTTCTTGCGCGACGCATTGTCGGCGTCGTCTTCGGCGGTCAGATGGATCGACCCAACGGGGCGTTGCGGACCATTGGTTGCTGAAACGAGACGCGCTGAAACGGCGGAGTCGGGGCGGAGTCGGGAGGCGGGCGTTGGCGTTGGCGTTGGCGTTGGCGCGGGCGTTGGGCGCGTGGGCGGCGCCTAGTCACGTGTGGAGTGGTAAGGGTGCAGATCTGGGGGTGGTGGAGCGGGCGGTGGCCAGGGCGCGCGACCGAAGAAGCCGGAGCCGGAGGGAGGGAAGATGGTGACGGCAGACACACGGGATCGTGAGGACAAGAGTTACTTCGTACAGACGCACGTGGACGCGTCACGGACAGACAAGAGTCGTTGGTGATTGTGATTGCAAGATTGAGCCTCGCGCGCATGGCTGCATGACGACGAGCGGGCGTCCGATAAGAAGATAGCGTGGGCCGGTCAGTCAGTCCCTCGCAAGTGACTGGGTACGAGTAGCTCCCGCAGCGCAGCACGCAACTCTGACCGCGCACTCCCTCACTCTCCCCGGCCTCGACCTACCTCGACTCGTCCTCTCTCTCTCTACGCTTTCATCCTCCTCACCGCATCTCCACTACGCTCCCTTGCCTCTCGCTGCCGCCTCCCGCAACGCAACCTCGCTATCCGCTCCGCACGCTCCTCTGCCACAACCGTCACCACTCGACTCGACCTGGTCCCTGTTGCTCGGTTGCCGGCTCATGCGCGACTTCGTCGTCGCGCCCCCGCTCCCTCGCCCCTGGTGGTGATCCAAGTCGTCCTTCCACACACAGTCGCCGTTGGCAGCAGAGGCCGCCCACACCCCCTTCGTCATGGCCGCTCCCGCGCCGCCCTCACGGCGGCCCTCGTCGCACCCAAACCAAGACCCCGAGATGGTCGGCCCCTTTAGGAGGATGGAGCAGATCGGGAAGGGCAGCTTTGCCACCGTCTATCGTGGCATCCATGTGGTACGTGACGGCCGTCCGGCCCAGGTCGACTCGACTGACACCATGCAGAAGAAGCGCTCGCTCGTAGCCATCAAGTCGGTCGACATCACCAAGCTCAACAAGAAGCTCAAGGACAACCTCTCGACCGAGATCCAGATCCTCCGTAGCCTAACACACCCGCACATCGTCGCCCTCATCGACTGCAAAGAGGTCCCCAAGACGATCCATATCGTCACCGAGTTCTGTGAGCTCGGTGACCTGTCCAGCTTCATCAAGAAGCGTAACAGTCTCATCGACCACCCGGCTACGGCCGACATGATGAAAAAGTACCCCAACCCGCCCATCGGCGGCCTAAACGAGGTCCTGGCCCGCCACTTCCTCAAACAAATCGCCAGCGCCCTCGAGTTCATGCGCGCCAAGAACTACGTCCACCGCGACCTCAAGCCCCAGAACCTGCTTCTGAACCCTCCACCCATCTACTATGCCAAGCATCGTCCCGAAGAGGTCCCCCTGGCTGCTGCCGAGAACTCCATGGTCCCCGCTGTCGGCATTGCCACGCTGCCTATGCTGAAGATCGCCGACTTTGGCTTCGCCCGCTGGCTGCCCACCACCTCTCTCGCCGAGACCCTCTGCGGCTCGCCTCTCTACATGGCCCCCGAGATCCTCCGTTACGAAAAGTACGATGCCAAGGCTGATCTGTGGTCGACGGGCACCGTCCTGCACGAGATGCTCGTCGGTAAGCCACCATTCCGCGCATCAAACCACGTGGAACTCCTCCGTAAGATTGAAAAGCAGAATGACCAAATCAGCTTCGGCCAGATCCAGGTCAGCAGAGAAATGAAAACCCTCGTGCGGGCCCTCCTAAAGAAGACGCCCACCGAAAGAATCTCCTACGACAAGTTCTTCGAAGACCCCGTCCTCGTCGAGGATATCCCGGGCCTCGTCGGCGAGGACATCCCTCGGGGCCCTGAGGTCGATGAGGAACCTTCGCCGAGCCTCATCGAGGAGAGGCGTATCGCTTCTAGCTCTGCGGCGGAGCAGGCCATCCGCCAGCAAATCACTGAGAGGGAGACTTCTGCCTCCCCCCGGCAGAGACTCGCTCCTGACGAACTGACGCTCCAGGTTCCTCCTTCGCGGCCCGTCTTGGCCGAGCGCGCAGCCACGGTGATGACCCCAACCTTATCATCTCCCTCCAGACGGTCCAGCAACGCCCCGTCGCCCGGACAAGAACGTCCGGTCTCGGCGCAGCAAGACCGTCGCCCAATGCTTACCACCCACACCACCGCCCCCCCTCGTCAGACAACTCAAGAACGTCCTCCGTCCGCAGCCGCCGTGGCCATGAATCGTCGCAACAGCCGCCCATCGCCGTCTCCCGGCTCTTCGATGCTGCGCGATCATCTGGAGAGGGAGCGCAACCCTCAGAGAGCCGAGGAGAGGGCTTTGCGCGAGGCCAAAGAGCGTGTGTCTCAAGACATTGCTTTAGAACGAGAGTACGTCTTGGTCGAGAAGCGCAGCGTAGAGGTCAACGCTTTCGCGGACGAGCTGGCCGCGAGCCCACAGTTCAGCAAAGACCGCCCCTCTTCATCGCATCAGAACAACGCCATGATCAGGCGCGCCACTACACAAGGTGCACCCACCTCCACAACCGGTGCACAAGGCGCCACACCCTCACATGCCATCCAAATCGCCAGTGGTAGGCAACGTCCGGAGAGTCTGCACCACCGCGCTAGCTCCTACGAGAGGCGCTACGGCCCGAGCCCCGGTTCGGCGACCTCAGCCATCTCCAAGGCTCTGAACATGGCCAGCTACAGGATCTTCGGCGCAGGAGCATCCCCTCCCGGGCGTGGTCCATCGCCGCCCAAGGGCTATTCCAACTTTCCCATGTACCCCACGTCTCAAGGCAGCATGGTGGTCGTCGGCGACGTCGTCAAGCCTGCCAACACAGGACCCAAGGACAAGGACACGCGGATGCTCGAAATTGTCGAAGAACTAGCCCAGCGTAGCCATGTCATCTACGGTTTCGCTGAGGTCAAATACAAGCAGCTTCTCCCCGCGCCGCCGAGCGACCCCGGCCTGGGCATCCGTGGCGAGCACCCCAGGGACGATGACGAAGATCCGCTCGACGAAGATCTCACTTTGGATGCCGTCTTGACCATCTCGGAAGAAGCTCTCGTCTTGTATGTCAAGGCGCTCGCGCTGCTTGCAAAATCCATAGACCTAGCAGGCAGCTGGTGGGGTCAGCGTAACCGCGGCGAGGTCCTCTCCGAGGCAAGCTCGCCTCGCTCAACCCCTCCTAGCCCGACCGTCGCGGCGGTTGGCGCGAAGATGAACCAGGTGGTGCAGTGGGTGCGCACTCGCTTCAACGAGTGCGTAGAAAAGTCCGAGTTCGTCGGCCGCAAGTTGGTCGAAGCCCAGAAGCAACTGCCCGCGGATCATCCAGCCCACCCGAACAACCTCCCCTCCGCTTCGACCTCAACGACCAGCGCGGGCACCTCGGCGGAGAACATCCACCTGCCCACTGGCATCACAGCCGAGAAGCTCATGTACGACCGCGCCATTGAGATGAGCAGAGCCGCGGCCGTCAACGAGCTAGTGAATGAGGACCTCCCGGGCTGTGAGCTCAACTATGCCACGGCCATCCGCATGCTCGAGGCCATTTTCGAAGGCGAGGACGATTACAGCTCGCGCAAGTCGATCGGTAGCAAAAAGCAGGACGACGAGGCCATCAGTGGCTTGGAAGAAGAAGACAGGGCGACCGTTCTCAATTGTAAGTGCACCGGCGATTTGCCAAGTGTCGAATGCTAACTATTTCTAGTGATTGAAGGAATGCGCGCTCGCCTCAAGGCTCTTCGCAAGAAGATTGATGACCAGAGAGCGCAAAGGGCGCAAAAGCGCGCCTCGCTCCCGGCGCCTGGCAGGAGCTCGCCTTCTGGCGCCTCTGCCTTTGCTCGGTGAAGAATATCGCGAACCCCAGGGCATTATACATAAACTTGCGGTCAAGCAGTTTTGCCAGCGATCAGTCGCCATGACGTGGCGCAGACGAATGATGAGTCGACGATGCACATGTTTCACGGCGTTTAACAAGATTGCAACCATCACTCAAGCGCGGGACGGACAATACCGACTCGCGTGCAGCCCGCGCAGAGACGTGCCGTTGAGTACAGTCCTCTGCGCGGAGCAACTTCTCCCAGGCCACATGCGGCGGCAACTTTGATGACGTCGTACGGAGGTGCGGTGGCTGATAGCGTCGGTGCTGAAGATGAATAAGGCTCGTCGCTCTCAACCTTTTCCAATCCCACCCGCTTTTCTCTTGGCCTTCAGGGCCTTCCAGTGGGCTTTCTTGCCACTCGTCTTCTTTGCCTGAATATCGCCATACTTTTGCGTGAATTTCCCATTCGTCTTCTCCTGAGCCAGGACTTCCTCGACAAAGGTCTTTTTGCGATCCTTGTTCTGGACGCGAGCACTGAAGAATTCGGTGGGGCCTTCGACAATGGTGCCGACTTGGGAGTATTCGGGTACGGCGAATTTGGAGTTGTCCTTTTTGTAGTGCCTGTGGGGGTCAAGGACGTTACGCATTTTCAGCAGCTGGAGATCGCGCTTCAACTCGGGAGTAAGGTCGGTCTTTGGAAGGTTGAACCATTGTTCGCCGGCGGTAGCCTTCTTCTCCTGCACATGGGGCGAATTGCTTGTGTTAGCCTTTTCTGCTTGCTTGCTTGCCAATTTGCAACCTTTCCAAACCCCCATCCATTATAATCATGAATGATTGAGATTTTTTGAATAAACAATGCGATTGGGAGCGCAAAAAGGAAAAAAGAAAAAGGGTGTGCCGTCAGAGTAACTATGATATTGAAAACTCTCAGTGTTGCAGGATAGGCCCAAGACGGGCCTACGGATCTGCTCAAGAAAGAAATTTGGGATTGTTTTTCCTCATAGGCAGCGCAGGGGGGACATCGCGATGGCGGTGGGGTGGACGCATGGAAAAGAAAAAAAAGAAAAAGGACTTACCACGTCTCGCCGCCTCTGCACCACGACCGGGTCCTCGACACGCCGCAAATGGTCCGCCGCGCCCCGCTGCCGCTCGTCGAGCAGCTGCGCCGCGTCCACGCGCGCGACTTGGCCGGACGTGCGTATGTATGGCGCTGCGAGCGCGCCGGCGGAGAGCTTGGGCAGCTTGGTGAGTGCTGCTGCTGCGGCTGGGGCGGAGGCGCGCGTCATCTGCTGCTGCTGCTGTTGCTCCTGTTGTTGCTGCAGCCGCGTCTCGGCTTCGTGCAGCAGGGCCGCCATCTGTGCATCCGTGAGCTCGGCTTCGTCGTCGGAGGTGTACGGCATCTTGGTGGGCTGGCGTGCGCGTGGGTTGACAGGGCACGTAGGAGTGTCGAGGTTGCGCCGCGCCGCGGTGAGATGGCGGGTGCTTGGGTGGAAATTTTTAGGAGAGGGTTTTTCCGACCCGGAAGGCGGTGTAGGTGGCGTGGCAGGTCGAGGTGGAGGTGGATTGTTGCCCCGACTGGATGGATGTTTCTTTGGTCTGCACGTGTTTGCTTTCGGTTGCATGGGAGTAGGAGTGCTCCGTGGTGGGATTTCGTTTGTTTGGGGTGCTTTTTGGCCTTTTGTTTTGTTGTTTCCTCTTTTCTCATTTTGTTCGTTTTAGCCTTTTTATTTTATTTTATTTTATTTTTACTTCTTTTTTTATGTTTTTACTTCTTATTATATTATTCTTATTTCCTTGTTTTCATATTATTTCTTTCAATCTACCTACGGCGCAAAGGACTAGCTCGTATGTCTTTCATTCCAGTTTTTGCGATAATCCATTTCCTCTGTTATGTATGTATCTCGCTCTCATCGTCTCCTATGTTTCTTCCATTTCACGGTTTCCGTCTTATAACTGCACTGTTTAATGGCTCGCGCGCAAGCAGCTTGGGTAATCTTGTTTGGATAAGGATGGGATTGGGTGGGTTGGGACGGATCGGACTGGGTTGGATAGGATAGGATAGCGCAGGAGAGCAATAAGAGCGAACTAGCAAACACACAAACGGATGAATGGGTATAATACGGCCTAGGTAGGCGATTACGTGTGACGCGCGTGCGTGATGGCCTGGTCTACCTACCTAGAGAGCAGTGTGGATGCCGAACATGGAGACAGCAGCGGGTGCAGACTTGACCTTCGCATTTTCCCGCCCCATCCTCTTGCGACGGACAGTGCGTTCGCGTTTCTCGTTTCTCGTCCGAGACAAGACGGACATTGGACTGGAGACGTGGATTATTTCATTGAGAGCGCTGCCGAGTGTCTTAATGCTGCAGTGTGCACCAGTGCACTGAGGCTTGAGCAATGCCGTATACCGAAGAGGGAAATAACATAGAATGCATGCCTTTGCGCCACGCTTGCTGGGATGAACTACCTATCATCGTGGAAACACTGCCTGGGATAATGGACTAGTGGTATACGTCTCAGACAGAAACTAGCAAATTACCCCCAGCGCCGTGTCTGCGAGAGCCAGGCTTGTTCTCTCGCACCCTCAATAAACTCAGACGTTTTTGTCCTGAATATTCGATACAGCGCGCATTGTTGCGCTAGCGATTGCGGTGCCAGTCGTGATTCAGCGGAATTAAGACGGGACAGAACAGCTCATACACACTCCATCCCGTCGGCGCACGGGTACTTGTATCCCGAGCATGCGACGAGCACGCAGTTTCGTGCGGCTGGGGCGCGCTGCCAGCCGAGCTGCTGGTGGCGAAGATATGGGAAACACGGAGGGAAGCTATCTGTGCCCGGCATCCTCATAGATCCGTCATGTTATGCTGCTTGAACTTCTTGTTCGCGCGGTCCGGCGCCCTGTTCTCGAACTGCGAGCCGTGCAGCTCGAAGACCAGGCTCCGGGGCTTCTCGCTAGGGGCGTCTGGTGCCGTCGCCGGTGCTGGTGCCGCTAGGGGGATCTCGAAGCGGAAGATGGTGTGTTCTTTTGGGATGGCTAGAGCGGGATACGGTGTCAGCACAAGAAATCGTCTCTCGCAACCCTCCCAGCACCCAAACAAAACTCACTCTTGACCTGATCCCGCGGCGTCACAATCTCAAACGTAAACTTCGTGTCCTTGACCACGACGCCCCTCACCCCCACGCGGCCCACACACCGCGCCCGCACCACCTCCACCACCGCGCCATGGAAATCCGCACTCGCGAGCTTCGGCCCCGCCGTGGCAGCCGTGACGTACGCCGCAGCTCCTTCACCAGCACCAGCACCACCAGCACTACCACCACCAATACCCAGAATCTCCCGCATGTACGCGCACCACATGCCATGCAGCGGCTCCCACACCGCATACTTGCGCTGCGCAGCGGGCAGCTCATACAGCCGCAGCGCGCGCTTCTGCGCCGCCGACAGCGGCCTCGGCTTGGATTTCGCGCGGGCGCGCGCAAGCTGCCGCGCGGCTTGCCGCTGGTGGCGCGCGTCGCTGTTGCTGTTGTTGATGGAGGGCTCGGTGGGCCGCAGCAGCAGCGGCTTTTTCTGGACTTTGTCGGCGAAGATGCGGGCGCTGGCGTCGGGGGAGTGGGCGCGCGAGAGCAGCGCTTGTGAGGGGTTGGCGGCAGAGAGAGCTGGTGTAGAGGCCATTTTGGCGGCGTGCGTGCTGTGGTGCAGAGTGCTTTGCGTAGTGGTTGCGGGAGTGCTTCAAAAATGCCCACCCACTCGGTGCGCGGCGTGCGCACCGTCCGCGGAAACGTCCCGCGCGGCCAACCACACAGAGTACCATCTATCTACTCCGCTCTCCACCATGGTCCATGTCGGCAAAGCCAACGCACCTACCTACGGTTGACAGGCGCCGGTTCCATCCTGGTTCGATACCTTGACGTCCAGCCCGTCAAGGCTCAAGGGTCAAGCGTGTTCACAGCGCGTTTATTTCGGCACCTTGATGGCCAGCCCACGGACGGAGCACATACCTACTCGTAGGCTCGTCAGCCGCATCGCGTGCTGCGTGGACGCGGACGGAGGTACGAGGAGGCGTCATCTGTGTTAGGTGGAGGCTCAGCTGCCGCCTGCACGCCGTGACGCCGCCTGAGGTGAGACCTACTCTACCTATGCGGCGCGCGTGGTGCTGTGTGTGACGTCATGAGGTTGGTAACGTCCGTCACCGTGAAGCGAGATGGTGATACGTGTACGGAGTAGAAGAAGAGACCCAGTTAAGTTGTGTAGAGGCTCTGCACGGAGAAGAAGAGTCCCAGTTAGGACATGTAGAGCCTCTGTATGCTCTAAGACCTTTTTACCCATACCGGGGACTCGGGATAGGAACTAGGCAAGGAGTACTCTGTAGGGACTGCTTGTATCATCCCCTGTCTCGCTATACGGTGGCTCTCGGTTCGTAGTAATAGACGTCGCGTTATATCGCGATATCTTTAGTCGTTAGGGTAAGTTCGGGCTTAGAGCTAGATAAGGAGCACTCTATAGGGACTGCTTGTGTCGTCCCCTGTCTCGCTAGACGGTAGATCTCGGTTCACGGTGACGGACGTTACACGATTTGGACAGTATGATTTTGGTGGAGCAGATAGTGATGGCGGGGAACAACCTCTTGCTCATGCAAGATAACCAGTCGCTCAACACTGGCGATTATCAGCATGCGCCCTCTCGCTGAATGGCTGCCTGATATGCTCAGGATGCATGTAGCGACCGAAGGGAATATAACTTGAAAAGCTATGTTCGTTTTTTTGTTGCGCATGTGCACAGTGTTATGGACATGCTCAAGCCTAGAGGAGACGGCAAACGTTGACTGTGACTGTACATAAATATATCCAGGTCAGATTAGGGCATGTCCGAGGACTATACTACTCCTACATGTCAACTCCACTGCGAAAATAACTACCTGTATAATTGGAGCTGCAGAAGTACTACACCGAGACTAGTCAGGACTTATTCGACCACGCCTTGCATATCGCCTCTAGCTATCTGGTCATTATAAGATAATTTAGAGCAAACTTACATAGCCCCCATACTGAGAACGACATATTATATCTAGAAGATATTAAGATATTTTTCTCTTATTTTTTAGGCGTTTCACTACTATCTGTGTAGGCTTTTAACACTTGCTATAGTATAATGCACCGTCTCCTCGCAGATTTCTCTCTATGCACGTCTTCAATATGCTCCCGATTTAATATCGCTGAGTTTTGGATACTATATGGTCGGCTACAGCGATACTGGGAGCAGTACTAACAACGTCGTCACCACCGCCAGTACAATGTGGCTAGTTGCAAGCAGCACTGGTAGTGGACTCAAGCGCCCACGGCCACTTCACTGACTTGCCCGAGTCTACCTCCAGTGACTACAAGCCTCTCTCCACTCGCATCCTGATCCCTGGCCTCGGCGGCGCTGAGATAGCTATTACCAGGGGAAGCATCCTACTCACTTGCCCGCTCGGAGCAGCGCGGCTTACGTTACTGTTAGCAACGTTCTACACGTTCCGAGGCAGCCATCCAGCGTCCTCTCACTGGGCCGATTGCAGGTCAAGAGCGTCTATCTTGGGCAAGGACTTACGCAGTATTGCAAACAGACAACCACCTGATCGCACACTTCGCTCCAACACCTCCGCACAGCTAACAAGACGTCCACAACCAACACCAACCCGTCAATATATCTCAGCAAAACACTTCGTGCTACCAAGCCAGACGTGAGCTGGGGTAGCAGCATCAACGCCACGAGCGACATATTAACTTCCGCACTGAACGGGCCGTAGCAGGTTGGGCTCCGCAGCAGCACTTTCAACACGTTCAGATCCTTTGCGCGCCTGGTATCTGCCTGCGCGGCGCTCGCTGTTTAACTAAACGCGCGCGGAGTACTCGTAACAACGTACCTTGTGCTAACAGCATCAATGGCGCAAATTCAAACCGCGCTAAAAGTAACTCTCTGTGTGTGTGTGTGTGAGTGTTGCACAGGCAGAAAGGGCACACCTACCTCACGCACAATATAGCAGCGCCGCATACTCACCAGCCCACTCTGCTCTACTCTACCTCGTTGCTCACAACAAGAGCAAGCAAATCCCTACTCTACCTACCTGCTCCACCAAAATCACACTATCCAAACCGCGTACCTCACCTTCCAGCGCCCGCCAGCTATCTTCTTCTTCCTCAACTTCATCTTCACATGTGTTGTCGCCGACATCCTCCAATACCTCGTCACTGCCACTCGCAGACCTCGCGAGTGAATGTCCGTACCGTGACTTATCATCCAGCCTCTGGATGCGTAGCAGCAACCCTCTTCACCATCACATCAATGGCGTTGATAGCCTCCACGGGTGTTGGGGTTCTCTCTTTACTCTTGGTTGGGTTGCTTGGCCTTAATACTGCGAAAGTGGACGGCTGGCGTTAAAGAGACATATTTGTGTTGGATAAGTAAGTGGTCACTTAATACCATCGAAGAGTGAATTGGAAGAGTGTGTAAGATTTATACTGACTCACCTCGCTACTCACCCCTGCAACTACGTAAACGCTCGCGACAAGGCTGAGCGCGCGCGAGGCGGCGCACGTACCACCGCGGGGCAAGCGGCCGGACCCCTCCACGACTTTTTTCTGGATTTCCAATCGCTTCTGTTGACTCAGGATTCTTTTCGGCTCGTCTTTTCCCTCCGCCTCGCCCTCTCACTTCCGCAAGGCACATTCCTACGTACCTACCTGTCGCTAGACTTTTCCGCCTCTCGTCGCGACTTCAAATTTTCGCATATCGCATTCTCCGCTTCGCTGCGCCCGACTCCGCGCCCAACTCCGCACTCGGCGATCATCATGGCCGCTCCACACAAGAGCCTCGCCCAGGACCTCTTCGAGGACATGGGCCGCAAGGTCGAAGAGGCTAGCCAGAACATGAACGGCGCAGACGAGAAGATGGTCGAGGAGATTGAGTCTCTCTGCATGAACTGCCACGCCGACGTGCGTTTCCCGCCGTACTCTTATGCCTCAGTGCGATACTGACTGCGCCACAGGGCACCACGAAGCTCCTGCTCACCAAGATCCCCTTCTTCCGTGAGGTTGTCATCATGTCCTTCGACTGCCCGGACTGCGGCTTCAGGAACTCGGAAATCCAACCGGCGGGCCAGATTCAGCAGCGCGGAACCAAATACACCTTCAAGCTGGACAGCGAAGCCGATCTCAACCGCCAGGTTGTCAAGAGCGACACCTGTGTGCTCCGGATCGAGGATATTGACCTTGAAATCCCGGCTGGTCGCGGTCAACTCAGCAACGTCGAGGGCATAGTGCGCATGGTTCACGACGATCTCGAACAAAAGCAAGAAGAGCGGAAAGAGCTGGTGCCCGAGGTTTATGCTAAGATCCAGGAGATCCTTGATACCATGCAGGCCATGCTCGACGGCAAGAAGTTCCCCTTCACCATTGTTGTGGACGATGCGGCTGGCAACTCCTTTGTCGAGCCCTCGACCACCGACAAGCCAGGCAAGTGGGTGAAGAACGACTATGCCAGGACACCTGAGCAAAACACCACGCTTGGCCTTGGCGACACCAGTGCTGCTGAGACGGGCGCGCCTGAGCCTACTTTGCGCCCCGAATACCACGCCAACCAGATGTACCCCAAGATGCCGGAAACCACCAACACCAACAACGTTGACGAGGAGGATATTATCGAGAACCAGGTGTACTCCTTCCCCGCTAGCTGTCCCGGCTGCACCAGGCCTTGCACCACCAACATGAAGATGGTGAACATTCCCTTCTTCAAGCAGGTTGTTCTGATGAGCACCGTTTGCGACGACTGCGGCTACCGCAGCAACGAAGTCAAGACCGGAGGCGAGGTGCCCGAGAAGGGCCGGCGCATCACTCTTGCGGTGGAAAAGTCGGAAGACCTTACCCGCGACATCCTCAAGTCCGAGTCGTGCGCCATGTCGTGCCCGGAGCTGTCGCTGCAGGTCGAGCCGGGCACGCTGGGCGGCCGCTTCACGACCGTCGAGGGCCTGCTCACGCAGATCCGCAACGACCTCCGCAGCTCCATCTTCGGCGACGAGGACGAGAAGCACGACTCCCTGGAGACGGCGGCCAAGGCCAAGTGGGACGCGTTCTTCGCGCAGCTCGACGAGGCCATCGACGGCAAGTCCAAGTTCACCGTCATCCTGCAGGACCCCTTGGCAAGCAGCTACGTGCAGAGCTTTACGGCGCCTGAGCCCGATGCGCAGATCAAGGTCGAGGAGTACGACCGCACGGATGAGGAAGAGGAGGATCTTGGTCTTAAGGATATTAAGACGGAGGGATACGAGCAGGACGGCGAGGAGAAGGCGGACGAGCAGGCATGATCTTAATGAACATTTAAAGCATCAGACCAAAAATACGAGGTCGTCGAGCTGTTGCTGCACATAGACTAGACGACACATAGCAAAGAAAAGGCTTACGAAGGGTATCATTGGCAGCCAGACGTGCTGATAGGTACGGAGCAGACGCATCCCCCCCCTACTTCCGCCTCGCCATGCCCTTCTTCCGCTTCCCCGTCACGTCCCTGCCCTCCTCAATCTCCAGCATGGCCTCCCTCTTCTTCTCTGCCACGACCTTCAACGCGTCCCGCACAACCCTCGTCTCGAGATTGACGCCCTCCTCCGCATACTCCATCATCTTAGTACCCACTCTCGCCTCGATCGCCAACACCAGCTCGACATCGCGCTGGCCGACGACGGTGACGCTCTCGCCCTTGCGACCCGCACGCGCCGTGCGGCCGACGCGGTGGATGTAGTCGTCGGGGTCGCGGGGCACGTCGTAATTAACCACGAGCTCGACGCTGGGGATATCGAGACCGCGGGCCGCCACATCCGTCGCGACGAGGATGCGGGCGGCCCGCGCCCGGAACCGCGCCAGATTTGAGATGCGCTGCTGTTGCGGGAGGCCGGAGTGCAGGCTGGTGACGCGGTGGGCGAGCAGGCGCAGCATGTGCTCGAGCAGCTGGGCCGTGGCGGTGCGGTTGACGAAGACGATGGTGGATTTGGCGTCGTTGGCGGGGGTGAGCAGCAGCGTGTGCAGGAAGGCTTCGCGGTGCGTGACGGGGGCCTGCAGGTACTTCTGCTGCAGGGTGGCGGGGACGGCGAGGGCCTCGGTGTCGACTTCGCAGACGAAGACGGCGGCCTTGCCCGCGGGGCGGGGCAGCTCCTTGAGCGCGCGCACCTCGGGCGTGACGGTGGCGGTGAAGAGGCAGGTCTGCCGCGAGGAGGAGGGGGGGAGCAGCGACATGCACGTCTCCACGTCCGGCAGCATGCTGCCGTGCCCCGCCGCGAGCAGCCGGTCCGCCTCGTCTAGCACGACGAACCGCACCCGTCGCAGCGCCCCGACCGTGTCTTCGCCTGAGTTGGCGATGTGGTCGGCTAGCCGCCCCGGCGTCGCGATCACGACGTGCGGCCGCGAGGCGAGCGCCGTGGCTTGCGCGCGCATGTCGGCGCCGCCGGTCACGAGGATCGTCTTTAGTGATTGCGGGCCGCCGATGGCGTTAAACTGCTCGTAGATCTGGAGAGCGAGCTCACTGCGCACGTGTGTTAGTAGCGATGTAAAGAATTTTTTATTTTTTATTTTTTTGTAGGCATGGTTGGCTGGACTGGACGTACCGTGTCGGGGTCAGGACGACGGCAAAGATGCCCATGGGGTCTTCGCTCCATTTCTGCAGAATCGGCACTGCGAAGGCGACCGTCTTGCCCGAGCCGGTCCTGCTGCCGCCGATGCAGTCGCGGCCGTTGAGGATTTCGGGAATGCAGCCCTTTTGGATGCCGGTGGGCTTTTTGATGGCCATGGCCGAGAGCGAGGCGACGAGCCATGGGGACACGTTGAGCGAAGCAAAGGAGAGGTTTTCCTTGTAGTTCTGGGCGGACAAGATGGAGGCGGGGGTTTCTTTCTGCGTCTTCTTCGCCTTCACGCGCGAGAGGGTGGATGTGGACGCGGGCATCTGTTTGGGTGGTTGCGGGGCCTCAGCATCATCATCATCGGAGACGGCCTCGGGCGACAGCTTCCTCCTCTTTCTCGATCCGCTCTGCTCCAACTCCACGTGCGAGGCGTCCGACTCGGCACCAGAAGAAAACTCCTTTTCCGAGGGCGAAGACATCTTGGCGCGATGCTATGCTTGCATACCTTACGACTTCCAATTGTCACGGTCAAAAATCTTAGCGGAGCCGGCGCGCGGATTCTCCGCTGTCGCTTAGTCACTAGGTGCCGGGCCCGAGCGTCATTGCGCCGGGTAGGTGGTGCGGGGATTTCGTCCATTCCAACTAGCACTGCTAGAGTAGGAACCCCGCGCTGTATTGACCTGGTCGTTACCTCATGGTGAGAGCTGTACAATCCAGCTTGCTGGCACCCGGGTTTCATAGCACCCTCGCTACCGGGCCATGCCTTGCGCGCTAGATATAATAGTTCCCGACGAAGCCCTAGCCCCAGCCGGTGACCCATGTTGAACTCATCGCACAGCGGGTGTGCTAGTTTGGAGTATAGGCTAACATTCCTAGTCAACTGGATCGACCGACGTCCCTCGAACGATATAAACCACGCAACCGGCCTTGTTGGGTGCTCTCCATTCCCAGCCCTCATCCATTTACCTACAGACTATATTCCCAAACACTGACCATGTTTGCCTTCAACAAGATAACCATCCCTCGCCTCACCGCCAAAAAATCCCCTTCCTACCGCGCGCGCGAAGCCGAAATGCGCGCCAGCAACGACATCTACACCACGACCACCACCACCGACTACGCCGCTACACCCTTAACCACGGGCACGCTCATAAAAACGCGCACCAAAGCACCCCCACCACGACGCAAAAGCGACGGCAACGGCGGCGGCTACAGCGAACCCCTCACCCCGCCCCCAGCCTACGACCCGTACCGCGTACACTTCGACTTCTTCACGCACCCCGTTGCAATTAGCAAAGCGCTCACTGACGCCGCCGCCTCCGCCACCACCAGACCTCCCCATGAGATCGCCGCTTCCCTCGACGCCCTCGGCATCCTGGATCTTCCGCCCAACCACCTCGATGCCCTCGCCCGCATGGGGCCGCGCCGCTTCGAGCTCGAGCTGGAGATCTTGGCTGCGCGGTCGCGGCGGCAGGAGAGGGCGCTGGGGGCGCCCGTGCTTGCTCCTGCCCCTTCTGCTAACCCCGCTCCTATGCCCACTCCCGCTCTTGCTCCCACTCCTAACCCCACTCTCACTCCCACAAGAGCAAATACGGGACTGGCAGCAAAGGCGGGAGCAAAGGCGGGAGCGGAGGCGAAAGCAGAGAAGCGCAAGATGCCAGAGTGGGGAACTGCGCTTGAGAGCGGGAGCAGGGAGCGCGAGAGCGCGAAGCCGAGGTCAAGGATTTTTCGGGTCGGGCTGGCGATTTGCGCGGTCGGGCTTACGGTGGCGCTTGCTTTGGCTGTGGCGGCTGCTGTGTTGTGGGAGTAGTGTGTGTGTGGTGGGTGGGAGGGGTAGGGTGCGGAGGAAGGGGTGGGGGGTGGGGGTTGTACGTGGTGTGGTGGCGTTGTTTGCTGCGTGGAGGGATGGGGTGCGTCTGGTTGGTTTTGTCTGGTTCGTGGTGTTTGAGAAGTGTGTTATGCTACTTGTTGTAGCAGGTTTGCTATACTTACGGAGTACTACTCGGGAATTTGTAAATCGCTTCAGCTTTTAACGTATGTTGTGCTGGATAGTTATGTTTGAACGGTATATGAAAGTGGGCGCGAGACTCCATATATATACGGAAACTGATGATGGAAGGGAGTGATACTGATACTGCCTCTAAAAGTCCTGGACGTTTGAATACAGGAGGTCCGAGAGTGTTTTAATTGGTTTTAGGAAGTAAAGTGTACGAGGATGCTAGAATTTAAGATAGGAAGTGTATGAGGATTCTAGAGTATTCTACATAGGTTTAGGATAGAAAGTATATGTTGTATCTTACGGGGGTATATGAAATTAGATAATATGATATCCGTCACCGTGAAGCGAGATGGTGATACTTGTACGGAGTAGAAGAAGAGATCTAGTTACGATACGTAGAGTCTGTGTGCTCTAAGACTATTTCACCCGTACCGAGGACTTAGGCTAAAAGCTAGGCAAGGAGTACTCTTTAGAGGCTGCTTGTATCGCCTGTTGGCTCGCTGAATGGTGAATTTCAGTTCGTGTTGACGGACTTTTAAGGACACGAAAAGACTCACAAAGCTACGAAGATATGAACTTATATAAGGGAAAATAGTGTGCCTAACTCTCTACCTTCTCCCTCCTTAACTCCCCTTCTACTAAGCACGTCACTCTTCTTAAGCACCGTATGGTTACTCTTCTCCCTAAGCACCGTGTAATCTTCTATCTATACCCTGACCTCTTACATCTGCAGCGCCTATCTTAAGCTCAACTTCAACCAGTCCTTGCCAAATCATTCGGTATTACACCGCACCGCTCGATTTGAGAACTTGAACTCTTGCTCAAGATCTGAGGCCAAGGCCAGAGATGCTCAACCTCTCTTCTATCCCTAGTCCAACATGTATAGGTATGGTATTACGTAGGACAGGCAGGTTGTCGGAAAGCATGGTTTCATTATCATATCACACACATGAATAGAATAATTTTGCCATGGATGAACACCTCATGGTGTTGTTCATTGCTTTCCACTTATTGTTCCTAAGTGTGGATCTAACTAAGTTGCTGTGAAGCTAGGCGCGAGGAATTGGACGCCGCTTGTCCTCCTAGATTACTGCTACCTATAGAGGTATATATGCTGCTATCTAAAAGAACACGTTTCTTGTTGAGATCCTTAATTCCTTGCAGTAGAAGAACGTGTGGTGTAAGGGAGTCAGTTTATTGTGTAACAACTAACCGTAGGGTTGAAGCTGTGCGTTGTTAGAGTGATACTGGCTGACAGTTGCATTGTCGTGCGATAGTAACCGTGGCTATTGATCTAAACGAGCATCTAACAGAGTATCCCAAGCTGCCCAAGGATGGGCCTTCCCGCAGATCGGACAGTAGATATATTCATGCCGAGAATGGCCG